AAACCCCATTGAGATATAATCTCTTTTTCAAGGGAAACCTGGTCAAGAAACAGCATTTGAAAGTTACATTGACACACAGCGACGTGTTGGGGAATAACTAGTTACATGTATTTTAGTTACATAATTTAATTACAAAGTACATGTAACTGTAATCCGTTACAGCTATTGGACAAAAAGTGTAATTAAGTTACAGTTACTTCTGAAAATGTTCATGATTACTAGCTACATCTGAAAATTTTCACTAAAAAGCTCGGCTATTTGTTGAATAATAGGCCTATTCATTTTGTTGCTATGCATGTTTTTCATGTGCACAATGTCTTCCTTTGCCATTTCCAGCCATTTAGTAAAGTTTGATGCTGTTCTGATGCTTTTGATTGGTTCTAGTGTTTGAACTTGCAATTTGCAGCGCCACCCGTCTGCCAGCTAAATTTCCTCTCAAGCTGTTTTTTCAAAATGGTTAACAGTATAAAAGATTCGTTAGAAATTCAGAAAAGTAACCAAAAAGTAATTAAATGGAATAAGTTACATTACGTTGATAAAGTAATTGAACTAGTTACACTACTATTATATTTTAAATAGGGGAACTTGTAATCGGTAACCAGGACCAAGATCAAAATCTTCCCAACACTGCAAATGACAATACGGGACAAATATATATCAAGACACCCACACATACACTTCCATCCTTTCCAGGCTATGGGAAACATCTACACTCCTCCTTAAGGACATCAACCAGGGACTTGAACTCCCTAAGTGGTACACAATATAAAAAGGCAGTTTTTCCTAACTTGAAACAACCCTGGAGACTTTTAAAAGCCTGCCGTGTTTGGTAACTACTGACCACAGAGTTAGGAGGCTACATAGGTAATTTGCACGTGATTGTCTTGTACATAAAACACAATTCCCTTACATCATAAATAACGACAGGTAGCCTAGGTCGATAACTTTCTTGAAATCATTTATGACGATTTGTAATTAATTACGCATGCACAAAACAAAACATAGGGACAACAAATAGACTTTGCTTCAGCATGCCTTTATTTATTTATCGAGGAGACACATAACAGATGTGGCGTTAGATCTCCTTCAGGTGTGGTGGTGCGGAGGCTGCTGGGTTTAGTGGTACTGCTTTCCTAGAGCAGACGTCACCACGGCCAGGAACTTCTGCCAGGCGGCCTGCGTTTCTGGTGTGAAGTTGGCCCCCATTTTGGCGGCGATGACGATGGTCAGGCAATCAGACAGCAGCTATAGGAAGGGAGAAAAACTTTCAATTATTTTCTTTTTTACGTGCACTTCAATCACAGTTATGACAGAAGTGCGCTTGGCATCATAGAAAACAACATTTTGAAATGGGATCAATACATGTTTTAATGTTCGTGCATATGCAAGGATTTAAATATATCTATCTATTAAATATTCTTTGGTAGGGCTACAAATTGATTTTATATGTCAACACATTTCTGAGATTCCCTAAATTTTGTGTGTGCGATTTGACTATTTAGGTGGAGATTTTGCGCCAGAGGCTGAAACTTCACCCTGAAGTTGTCGGGGTCGACGTGGAGCTTCTCGGAGTGGAGGACGCTGAGCTCGGCATAGGTGGCCTTGATCTTGTCCATGTTCTTCACAGCCCGGTCCAGACCGTGCAGCACCTTAACACCGTGGGCTGCGATGTTTGGGTTGCTCTGGATGGCCTCAGCATTGTAGAGGTTACCGTAGGAGGAGAAGTGCCTCTGAGTCCAGGGGTAGACGATCAGCAACCTGCAGGGGAAGAGAGAATTCAGCATCTAATAAGACCAGTGAAGAGAAGCATTAACTGCATGTTGCAGAAACAATATATCGCAGTTTTACTTAGGGCTTCAGGAGTGTTCCGTACCTGCAGATAGCTTTGGGGCCGATCTCTTCATAGTCAAGGTTAGAAAAGATGCTGGTGATGATGCTGCGCTCCTTCTCAGTCCACTCAACCATGGCTGTTGTTTAATGTTCGTTCAGGCTTGAAAGAAAGGGCTGAATAATACTTCAACTCGACCGTCGTCTATTTAAATGTGCCAATGCACGTCCCCCCGCCCTAAGGGAGAAGGTGACTGTGATAGGCTGGAGATGAAGAGTTCCAGATAAAAGACTGACTCCTTCCAGAAGTTTCTGGAACGGTTTGATATTACCTTAATGGTATTGCGGATTTACAAAGACGCCAGAGATTGACGTCAATTTTTCAGACTTTCAGCCAACATGTTATCGGACAATCTGCACATTTAGAGGCGAATTAATTAAACAGTAGCCTACAGTGTCAAAAACGTGGAGTTCTTGTGCATGTGAAGAAAAAACTATGCAAGTTAGCACACTTTATTTTTTTTATTTTTTAATCGTTTTCCACACACAACTTAAAATCAGGACAAACTGCACATGAAACCCTTTTTAAAATGTTTCTTTGCGGTGGTGGTTCTACTCTTTTAAATTCATTTCACCTGCAGGATCGGCCTTTGTTTGCAGCACTGGGGACTATTATTTAATCCTGAACGACCTAACCGAGGTCTTTTTACTTTTTGACTTTATTATTTTATAGAAAGCATAATTTATTGTTAAAGCAGTAGCCTGTCAGTAATGCTTAGGGGATATATTACATGTTTTAATAGATAAATGAAGCACCCTACATAAAAAAGAGCATTTCTCAGAATGCTTTGGTTGAGAACAGATATAAAACAATGGTCTCTAATAAATGCTAAAAGCAACTGTATTCGTGTTTATTTATTTAGTCATTTCAAATTTCCCTCACTGTCCAGTGCAGTCCAGTAGCAGTGTTTGGTGCCAGAGTGTAATCTATAGAGCCACACTGGTATTATCTCCAGCAGCGCCCCCTCCACCCAGGCAACAGCTGCCAAAAGCTACGTAGGTTTTGATTAAGAAAATACATGAGGCCGATGATAAAGGTAATGAGCGCTACCTCCTCCCCTTGATATGAAATAAACTTATGGCCAGAAACAAAAATTCCGAATTAAATTAAATTAAATCTTAAACAGTGTTCGCAGCTGCAACGCGATAAGACTGTAATTATTAATAGGCCCAGGAATATTATTTATATAAAATGATTAATCGAGTGCACGCGGCATGATGCAGGAAGCCCAAATAAACTTTCGGCACTCATTTTGTACTGTTTCCACCTTTGATCTGTTGTTTCAGCCCACAGCAAAACATGTCACACATGCCTCACAACCTTCACTGGCCGGAACGCTAGAGCCTTGTATTGCCCTTACTGTATAACCTATCTAATTTAATTGATCACGTTTATTGATTTTTTTTCAAGCCATTTACTGGGGCGTAAACTCACCCAGGCCTCTCAGTTGGCAGAGATGCTGCTCCTATGTCATGTGAGATGCCCTCCCGCACCATCCCTAACCTCCACTAACACACCAGAAGCACTCATGTGAGGACTCTTTCACAGTATACGTAAGTGGTTATGCCAACCGACGCCCCGATGTGAGCAACTGATAGGCTCCCACCTCTCGGGCTGGCAGCCGGCCACATCAGGCGGGGGTGGGGAGGGTCCGATCTGCGTCATGTGGACGCGGCTTGGCATCCGTTCCCGTGGGTGTGACCTTCAAGCCAACTGAATTTAAGCAGAACTCCAAGTCCGATCCAGGTAGCGAGAGATCAAGAGAGAAACACGCCAACATGAGTCTGAGTGACAAAGACAAGGCCAACGTCAAGGCCCTGTGGGCCAAAATCTCCAAGTCAGCGGACGCTGTTGGCACTGATGCTCTGAACAGGTAAATCTTTTGCTTATAACTCAAGCTAATGTCAGAGGTAGTTTTATAGCCTAACATGTTTTTACTTTTTGTCTGCAGCAGATCAGTCATTTGTTTATTTGCCTAAGATCGCCTGTCACTGATGGAATGTCAGTGCAAGGAAATATCCAACTTGCCAAAGTGTCTCGCTTGAACGCACTAACAGAGGAATTTGGTCAGTTTTAGTTCGAAGCTTAGTTACTTCTTTTCTTGAATTGTTTACTGGTGCAAGAAAGGTGAAATCGTGGAAATCATTGAACCTTTTATTAAGTTTTTTCAAAGTGATAAGCCTGTCTGACTTTCCATCAATTCAAAATCGGCTCCAAATCTGCATTTAACGTAAAATAGGCCTAATTGGAGAATTGTAAGTAGCTCTTCATAGACACTGAATCCAGGCTTCTTCTCAGGTCCCAAAACATCTAGGCCTGCTCAGCTCAACAGCTCACAAATGCCTCGAAATCGCAACCTCAGCATCACTCGGCTGAATAAGCCTACTGTCTTCAAAATAGACCACAAGTGGAGCGTGATCAATAGAAACATTCAATAGGCCACTGAAACAACATTTATATTCATAATATTCTAGAGGATCTACAGAGAGCTCAATGTAGTTGGTATGGCGCAGCTGTCCACCATACCGACCACTTAACGCCCCTGCTCTCCACAGGATGCTCACAGTCTATCCGCAAACCAAGACCTACTTCTCCCACTGGCCAGACCTGTTTGCCAACTCTGCCCACGTGAAAGCCCACGGAAAGAAGGTCATGGGCGGAGTCGCCACGGCTGTGTCCAAGATTGACGACCTGACTAACGGCCTTCTGGAGCTCAGCGAGCAGCACGCCTTCCAGCTGAGGGTGGACCCTGCCAACTTCAAGGTGAGACAGGGCTCACTGACATTATGTAGAATACACTATGACATCATGATATCATAAATGTGCTGAGATTAGGATCAGCTCTCACCAACATGACTTGTGCATACTACATTACGCATGTGTGCTGCAAAAAACCCGTAATAAATCTATATTTGTATACTGGATATACCTTTAGGCCTATTGAAATTTTGATTGGAGCATGTTTTGCACTGCATTGGTATTTTAGAGTTTAAATAGGCCCTACATATATAATCAATATGCCTATCTTAGCTGTGTAAACCATACAGTGTATGTCTGCAATACAACTGTTTCTTCTGTCATCCACAGATCCTGGGCCACTGCCTTGTCGTGGTGATCGCCTGTCAGTTCCCCAAGGAGTTCCCCCCTGAGGTCCACGTCAGCTTCGATAAATTCCTGAGCGCCCTGGCTCTGGCTCTGTCTGAGAGATACCGCTAAGCTGTCCGCAACGTATAATGCGGTCTGCCGCTCTTGACCATGTAACTCATGGCGAAAAATTAAATAATAAACAGCATGCCGCCAAAAATTGAGACTACTGTGTCCTTTTTTTGTCTCTTGAAATGCGTTATCACAACATACATGCACAGGAAATAGTAGCCTATGATGTCTACCGACATATAGGCCTAGTTTTTAGTTTTTTTATAGGCATGGGAACAAATAAAGAGATCTTCTCTATGTTTTTTAATCTTTATTTCATCCTGACAAATCCACACAGTTATCCCATAGTTTTACATGAAAAAGAAAACTTCAGCATCAAGCTGACCTCATGGCATTATGACATGATCAAAAGTATCCACTCACATGCCGAGACATTCAATGTTTATAGGTTTATGTTGTCCCATGGATGGTAATAAACGCACAAAAGAGACTGTTAGGATTTCATAACGACTCGTAACTTATCATCACCGAGAATGAGCCTGCAACAAAAGAGTGGCACAGTGAGTCTGGTGCTATATTCAGTCATAGACTCGCTCGTCTGTCACGCTTCACTTACCTGAGCAGAGCAGCGGCCACAAGACCTCCTCCTATGGGGCCCACCCAGTAAACCCAGTGATATGTCCAGTGGTTGGTCATCAGGGCTGGACCAAAAGCCCTGGCCGGGTTCAGACACGTTCCTGATACATCACCCCTGCACCGACAAGGGGCAAGAAAGTTTAAATATTAAAACGATTTGAAATTTTAGTCTGCCAAAGTCATGGTACAGCTGTGGTAACAAAACACAAAGCCTACATATAGGAGGAATTCGTAATAGCCTATGTGATTATTTTGAAACAAATGTATTTGGATATTAAACACTGAATCAGGAATTGTTACACCATTTGAAATTCTTCGGGTGGTTCAGGAAATATTAAAAAATAAGACTAAAAACCGTAATAATAGCCTAAAAATTACTGTATATTAAATTAAAAAGAATGACAACGAAAACAGAATTCATGTGCTGCATAAACTAGCATTTTAAATCAATGTAGGCTATTCTGTTTAGTGTCAGTGTAAAATTAAGTTGTGGTTGATTTTGAAATGATTAACTAAATAACAATTTTTAAATAATCTTCAAATAATTTTAATTTGAAATAATCAAACAATGTAAGAATTTAGCAAAAATAAATAAGGCGTTGGACAAGATTAAATCAAGTTAAATCAATAAAGGCAATCACTTCCTTTCAAATAAAATAAATCGGCTAATATAAATAAAAAACAATTTTTCTGAGGGACATCTTTATCACCACACCTTTAATGTAGGCCTACTTGTAGCCTAAACATACTCAGACTAACTTTAATGTTTGATTCTTTTATTTGCATGCTTTTTATTTCCTTTTATGAAACTTCTTTTTAGTTTCTTACTTTACTTTTTGACTTTACTAGTTTTTTACTTTGAATTAAATGTCATTAACGTCGGGGTTTGGTGTATGTTTAACACAGTGCACTGCTGACACAACCAACTGTTGAGGCACATCACGCCATCGTCCTTTTATCTCACCCTGCCAGGACGTTAATGATGACGGTACAGCCCACCAGGAAAGGAGCCAGCGGGGTTTTCGTCTTTCCGTTCACCGCCACCAGCAGCACCACCATGGTGACCAAGCAGGTCATGGCCACCTCTCCAAAGATGGCTCCAGACAGCTGGCTTTGTGACTTGAGGATATCAAACGCAGCTCCTGTGGCGTTTAAGTAGCGTTCTGCGGGGGTCATCAGCTATGAAATGTGTTATTAAGGATTTTATGGTCACCTTTAATTAGATTAAATATATTTAAGTGTGTGCAAAAGAGGCTGAATGCAACCCGGTCCCACTCCCAACGCTTCAAACACTGCCGCTTAGTTCGTGGTCCTCCGTTTTAAACTATGATTCTCTAGGTAGGCCCACAGTATCTCACAAAAGTGAGTACATCCTCACATTTTTGTAAATATTTGATTATATCTTTTCATGTGACAACACTGGAGAAATGTAAAGTAGTGAGTTTACAGCAACGAGTCACATGACACCGGGGAGGGAAAATGGCTAATTGGGTCCAATGTGGACGTTTTCACTTAGGGGTGTATCTCACTTTTGTTGTCAACGGTTTAGACCGTTTAGGCTGTGTGATGCATTATTTTGAGGGGACAGCAAATTTACGCTGTTATACAAGCTGTACACTCACTACTTTACATCGTAGTAAAGTGTGAGGGGTGTGTTCACTTTTGTGAAATACTGTATGTGCCCCTCTCGCATCAAATCTGAAAGTGCAGGGCTAAGCGGTCAAGTTAGCAACAATAGCTACATAATGTTGCGTCCGGTCAAGTTAGCAATAATAATAATATGCAACATCCGGTTAGACTTTCAAAATAAAACGTGTATAGTTAAGGTTGTGAAACTGTTGAACTTTGTTTAGGTTTAGGCACAGAACTTGGTTAAGTTAAGGAAAATAGTTACGTTACGTACCTGACGTTGTAGTCCACTTACATAGGCAACATAAGGCCTAGGTAGTCTACTTAAAATAAATAATTTACTTTCAGTTTCGGGGGTACCTTAGGCAGGTGGCTGGTGTCTCCCTTAGAGATAGGGTGAGAGTGGTGAGGGTGAGGGCCATCTGTAAGGAGCTCAGAGTAGAGCCGCTGCTCCTTTGCGTTGAAAGGAGCCAGTTGAGGTGGTTTGGGCATCTGGTAAGGATGCCTCCTGGACGCCTCCCTAGGGAGGTGATCCAGGCACGTCCAGCTGGGAGGAGGCCTTGGGGAAGACCCAGGACTAGGTGGAGAGATTATATCTCCACACTGGCCTGGGAACGCCTCAGGATCCCCCAGTCAGAGCTGGTTAATGTGGCTCTGGAAAAAGAAGTTTGGGGTCCCTTGCTGGAGCTGCTCCCCCCGCGACCCGATCCCGGATAAGTGGATGAAGATGGATGAACTTTCAGTTTCACACAGCAGCAGTCTCCTCGGTTAAAGTCCTGTCTTTGTTTGTTCCATTCATCCAATCCACCTCACGTCATCCACAAGTGAACTTTCGTGCTAAACCCTCTGACTTTGATGATGAACGTGTCCAGAAATTAAGCGGAGGGCCACTGACCAAGAGGCAGCATTTGACAACCTAGAATGATAAAATAGTGTGCAGTTCACTGACCTTGGACATTCCAGCTCCCAACACCCCTCCAATCAGCTGGCTGATGATGTAGGGTCCCACCATCATTAACTCCATGCCTCCACACAGGTAGATGGCAATAGTGAAGGGAGGGTTGAAATGGGAGCCACTGGAGGCAGAGAAGCAGCAGAGAAAAGGTGAGATCTGCGAACACCCGTCCAGCTCAAAATATATGATTCATCCCACAGGCCATGGGAAAACACATAATCTGACTCTACTTCAAACTAGTTAACACCAATTACCTGATGTTATCCATGACCGCCACCATCACTGCCACAGCCAGTCCATGCACCAGGGCTGGCTGCAGCCGTCCAGCTGCTGGCACATTCTCGATGACAGACACGCAGCCAATGAAAACAAAGAACATGGTCCCCACTATCTCAGCCAGGCAGGGCTGGAACAGTGTCTCATATTTGTTGGGAGGTTTGGACACAGGTGGCTTCTTGCTCTTCTCCATCAAAGTAGAGCCGGTGTCTTCCATTTCCATTTTCTCTACTCCCATTGTTGCTAGTCTCTGACTTTTGCCTATTAGAGATTTCTGTCCCAGGATGATTTTCACAGACACTCTACACCTAGAGAACCTGCAGCTGTGCCTGACGCAGTCTACAGATTAAAGCCGAAGGCACTGCGAGGTGTTGTTGTTATTTATAACCAGCAGCTAGTACACTAAACCTGGAATTGCATTACAAGTCATAAAACTTTTAAGGTGAAGGTTACTAAGATTCATTATATCAATACAATCCCCACCCAAACATGTTCCTTGACACCTGCCCACCTCCGTCTTCAAGTGGAGTCAGGCCAGGTAATCCAGTCCACAAAATGACCTTTTGTAAAATGGATGATAAGGTTTTAAACAATACTTGAGGTGTTCAAGGTGGACTTCAGTCCATGGAGTTAAGAAGTGCATTTTATTTATCATCATCAGATGCATAGGCATTCCCTACAGTATCTTAAATAGATAAGATAGATCTGGATCATAGACTTTACACATACTCAGTATCGGTTAGTGCCTTCATGCACTCCTCACTCTACACCTAAGTGTGTTACACTCATCTGAACATTAGATTATATTAGACTCAGTACTTATTTATTTGACACTCAAGTAACTACGTACATTTACCAAGTACATTTTACAGTATTGTACTTGACTATGATTTTAAGACTTTCCATTTTATGCTACTTTATAATTCTGCATGATATGTTGTACATTTTACTCATCTACATTTATTTAACAGCTTTAGTCACACGTCACTTTGCAGATTAACATTTTATATTTTTAAACCTTTTACACTTTGTAAAAGATTTAACTAGCGTTTCCCAACTTTTTTGGCTTGTTTCCCCTAACAATAAAGCAGTGTTTAGTTAGGGCCCCTTGTCACATTTCAGATGTTAATGAGTTGTTAGCAGTTCCAATAAAGAGACATTTCAAGGTATCAAGGTAGTTTATTTATCATTATACAACACAAGGTTGCACAACAAAATAAAAGTTTGTAGTCCCTTCATGCTATACACATAGAACTTAGCAGATATTTCAATGTAGAATATGGTAACACATAAAATAAACATATGTATAATATATAGTTATTTATATACATATATACATACACGTATACAACCAGGAAATAATTTTGCAGTACATTCGTTTAATTTGCATCAGTGAGAATGAAACCCCTCCAAACTTATTACATGGTTTCATTTGAAGAACTGTTTGAGGCCCAAAGAGGTGAAATTAAACAATGCTTCACAAAAGTCTAAAAGATTAATACAGATTTCTGTAGCAGAACTTTTTATTCCCCCCTGTCCCATTAACCTGCCAAATTAGTCATCTCACGACCCCACATATTTATCATTTAAACCTTTGGAGGGGACCAGACCCCTAGGTTGCAAACCACTGCACTAGTGTATAGAAAGTAGTAAAAAGTAAATCGACCAGCTACCACAATAAAATGCTACATGTACATTACTGCATCAACGATTGAATAATGTCATTTATAAAAACACTCAATGGGACCATTTTTTTGCAAAATTGTACTTTTTTTACTTTTTGAAACACTTTAATGATAATAATTTAGTGCTTATACTTGAGTAACATTTTGAATGCAGGAATTTTCCTTGTAAATAACAATTTTTACATTGTTTTACAGGTACTTTTACTTAAGGAAAACATCTGAGTATTTAGAGTACTAAACTATAAGAAAGAAAGAATGCGCATGCTTACATATAGAGAAGAAGGGGTTCCTGAATACTTTGATGTGGATGAAAATGATTTAAATCATACACTTTGGCCGTGACAGTCACCAGATATCAGGTAATTGTACACCTTCGGGAGATATGTCAGGCAGCGCTCTCCACCACCATCATCAAAACAACAAGCAGTGGTACTAAAGGAATTTTCTTAGTTCATGCTATCTATTCATTCCTTCTTATCAAGTCATCTATCGCCCAATGTCAGCTGTGATTGGCTCCAGCCCCTCCTGCACCCCTGCACAGATAAGCAGTTCTAGATGAAGGATTGATGGATATTTTCATTGAAAAACCTCTTCACTGGACTACGTTCCAAAATAAAGTTTCAGTTTCCATAATTCTAGTGCAGCAAGTGAAAGAACATTGTTAAAGTAATTGATTTAAATTAATAACAGTTTAAAATATTATTACTGCACACTTTCTTTAACTTGTTAAAGAAAATAAGTTTTTAATAACCCAGTTACAGACAGAAATGTATTTATGATATTGGTGGTGGTGTATATTAAGTAGTCAAAATTAGCTCCTATTTATCCAACTCCAACAGTAAAAGTCTACTTACAGATTACTTTCATATTCATCTATAATATATTATGTATAATACAACCCCATCTACCATCATCTTTTCTGCATAGTGGGTACTTTTGTTACGTTAGTATATTTAGGCTTATAATACTTCTGTGCTTATGCTTAACTAAGTTTTTGAATGGAGGACTTTTACTTGTCATGGAGTATTATTACATTGCAGTGCACTACTTTTACTTAATTAAACGATCTGAATTCTAGTGACACCTGTTTTTACATTTGACTTTTTACTCACTCTTAAAAATACATTTTCATATACTGCAGCATATTTACAATTTACATTATATTTACTTTTTTTATGATGCAATACATGCTACATGTTTTCATGATTGATTTCTACAGCCTTGCTCATGTACACTACATGCATGGATAGGTTGGCAGTGCTAATGATCCATTGTCATCGTTATTGTAACCATCATCCATATTTTTAGGATGTGTATAGTCTGGAATACAAGAATTTCCTTTTAACTTATTGCAGCGTTTCAGCTGATCTCTCACCAGTTTATGATTCTAATCTAGCTTTATTGTAGGCCACATTGTGGTGTGCCATGTGGTGTGCCCGCAGTGCCATGTCCTTGTAATAACAATAGTAATAAAGCTATCAAAGCATGGTTTTCCATTCAGGACTTTGACCAAGGGGAATAAAAAGACTGACTGAATGACTAAATAGATAACAGCAAGTGTGGCAATTTGTACAAGATTTCATGTATGAAATTTATTATCAAAAGAACAGCAGTCATCAAATACGGGCTGTTAAAGCTAGGAGTAGCTATCAGATCAACATCATATGAAACACTTTATTGAATTATGAAATACAAACTAATTGAGTAGGAGCCAACAATCGTAGCTGGTCCAAGGACAGGACTCAAGGACTCATTTTGATGGCAAATTTCAATATTACAGTTAATTGTTGAGTAACATGTGACCATCCAAATAGAAAAGCTGTCAACATGTCAGTCGGGTGTCCTCTCTCTCTTCCTCTTTAATAAATTAGACATTCACTTCAACACAATTCGAGTCTTATGGTCACCAAACAACAGCCTGCAAAAGAATGACACTTCAATTAGTGAACTGATCATTATTGGTCAATGACAACAGTACAGAGAATGATTTAATCTATTAAGAATTAAGAAGGACCATCCGGCACAGGTGCAAAATTACTACAAAGAGATGCAAATTGTGTATCGTTGAGGTCTGACAAACACACTAAGTACCTTTCCTTCCTCATAAAACAATTGTGACATGTATTGTAACGTGCTTTGAGTGGTTGGAAGAACTAGAAAGGTGCTACAAATATGCACTGTTTACCATTTAGGAAGCCTTTTAAATAGTAGATGTAGAAAATGTGTGGTCTCTTCCTAAACTACCACTGTGTACTGAAGTACGCATACCTGATGAAACTGACAGTGATCAGTGCACCGCAAATGGGTCCAACCCAGTAGACCCAGTGATGGTTCCAGTGGTTCGCAGCCGCTGCAGGACCAAAAGCTCGAGCAGGGTTCATACAGGCTCCGGACACCATCCCTCTGAAACAACAGCCAGCGCACACTAACACTGTAACACACACACTGCTGACCAAAGTGACGCAGCTCAACAGTATGCTGCTCATTTTGGAAGTTGCAGTTACCTTTGCAGGAACAGAGACATCCAAAATGGATCAGCATGAGACAAAATGTTATGATATTATTATTATTATTTTTGACACTTTCAAAAATAAAAGTGTAACTGACAATCCAGTACCTAATGCTTCATCCCCAACCTATGGCCCCTGTCTCTGAATGGTACTTATTATTAAGGACAAACTTTAAGCCTCATAATGCACTAGGTAACACTGGGGTGAGAAATGAACACATACAAACAAAAACATATTAATTGGACAGTATCTAGAATGCAAGTGTTTAATTTAACAGTGGAAAATAACTAAGTAGGCCCACATCTACTCAAGTCCTATACTTACATCGATTATTTTAATTTCATGCTACTTTATACTTCACTACATTTCAGAGAGAACTATTGTACTTTTTACTCCAATATATATCTCTGACAACTATATTTACTAGTTGTTTTGCACATTAACATGTCCACTAACAGTCAATCAGACCTATCAAGGTTAAAACCGACACCAATAGTGACCCTTGGCATCCATCTGATAACTGATAATCAACACACGTGGTGGGTTGTTGTTTCTTTTTTATGGTCATTTGAGGTGTTTATTAGTATAGGGGGACTTTAGATTCAACATATAATTTTTTGATACTGAGTATTTTTAGTACATTTAAATTTCACTACTTTTAGGCCAACAACAGGTATTTAGCATTTTTCCACCAGAATTTCATCCTGACCTTAGACCTTGTAGGGAAATAAAACATTAACACTTTCTCTTTTTATGGGTCCATAATTTATCTCTAGGAAACTTATTTTCCTAGGAAGTCTCCTGGAGATAATTAGACACACTTAAAATATGTTGATGACGTTGGGGATGACTGCTTACCCAGCAAATATGTTGGCTGTCACAGTGAGGCCAATGCAGAAAGGAGCAAATGGTGAGCTGGTTCGGCTGTTGATGGCCCCCATGCACACCACCATGGTGAGGAACAGGGTCATAATTATCTCTGCCAGAGTGGTTTTACCCAGGTCATTGTTGACTACTTCAAAGGCTCCTCCAAGGGAAGCAGCGAACATATTAGCAGGGTACATTGCCTGAAAGTAAAATAAATTTGATATATATGTGATCTTGTGCAAGATAAACATGACTAGAGTGAATCGTTTTCATTTATTTTCACCTTTTTAATTATTTTCCACCCAACAAAGCCAGCTTAACCTCACCAGAAAAACGCCATTTAGGTCAATTTATTAAAGCCACTCTAATTATGACGGGAGCAAAGGTGGAAGTCAGGTTATGTAATATAAAAAACATACAGAGTTTCATCCGAGAGACCGAGGTTTGTGTCCCATGTTAAACTACGTCAATGTTGAGTAAATTAAAGTTTTAAGTCACATAACGTTATGTAGGTGACTTTTGTTGAGTCAAGATTTCAAGAAAAAAGTTAGAATAATGAGGATAAGGACAAAATGTTGACTTGCTTCATCAGAAAGATGAGATATTAAAGGTCCCATATATTATGCTCATTTTCAGGTTCATAGTCTTATTTTGGGGGTATACTAGAAAATCTTGCTTTGCATGTTCAAAACACATTCTTTTCTCATAGGGGAGATCGGGAATGGTTGTAACACGGGGAGAGTTGTAACACCACCATTTCCACCACTTAGAGATAAGACAGGAGTCATGTGATCATTTCAGTATTTACCTACTTCCTCCCTGATACCGCATGGTGGTTGTCAGGTCTGGAAACCGTCAAATTGTGAATTTATAGAGAAAAAAATGATTTTGACGTAAGAAAGTAAAGTTTTTGACCAAGATTAATTTTTGTCTAGTATCTATACTATTGCACATAAAATTGTTTGACTCATGTTAGAAGGGCAAGTCAGTCACATCAGCTGCGAAGGCACATGGGATCTGTCATGTAACACTGAGCAGATACTGCAAATCACTGCAGAAGCCGAGAGACAAGGGGTCCAGTGATCTTCCCAGTGTAGGTTACAGGAGCAGCAACAGAGTTTTCTCTGAAGAGCAGGAGAAAGTGTTGGCAGACTATTTGAGTCAGGCAGCTGACCTGTATTATTTATTGACTACACGTGAGGTAAGCATACGAAAGGTTAGCTACTGGAGACCAGAGTAGAATCGAACACTAGTATAGGTGCCAGATAAATAGATTTTTTTTCTATTTAGTCAGGTTTTCTATTTCACTTTCTTTTAGGTCAGAACGTTTGCATATGAACTGGCTGTAAAGTATAACCTCAAATACCCACAAACATGGGGTGAGAAGCAGATGATAGGGCCTGACTGGTTCACATTCTTCAGTCCAGAGGCAACCAGCCTTACACAGGCCACAAGTTTTAACCCCATAAATGTGGAACGTTTCTTCAACAGCCTCGGACAGGTCATTGAGAGATACAACTTTGATGGGAGTGACATGTGGAACAATCCAGTTACCAGACCGTGTTGTTGCACGTCGTGGAGTCAAGCAGGTGGGTGCGATGACATCAGGTGAGAGAGGTGTGCTTGTGTCAGTAGCATGTAGTGTTGTAGTCAAGACCGCCCAAACCGAGACCAAGTCAAGACCAAGACCAGAGTTTATCAAGACCGAGACAAGACCAAGACATTTAGGGGCTGAGAGCAGTCGAGACGAAGACCGAGGGAAGGTAAGACCGAGTCAAGACCAAGACCAAGACCAGTTCCCTGCATTGCATGGCACACAATAAAATGTGGAACGAGATCATAGGTACTTCTCAAATTGATCTGAAAGATCCACATTCCCATTAAAACACCCACATACAAACACTAAGAGCTGAAATCAACGTAAGCATCACAGGGAGGGGTGACAGTCATTAACAACACATGTTTTAGGGTTACTGGTTGTATTTGAAGCAATACATTTTACTTCCAATCAAAGTTGGGATGTTAACAAATCAGACAATGCAAAAGCAATTTTTTTATATTCCCAAATTTATGGTCTTGACTGGTCTTGAAATAAAATTCAGAGTCCTCAATGTCCGAGACCGAGATAAGACCGAGTACAAAGGCGGGCGAGTCCAAGACGAGACCAAGACCATCAAAAAGTGGTCTTAAGACAAAGACCGGTCTTGAGTACTACAACACTAGTAGCATGCACTGTGCAAGGACTGGGAAATGCAATTCCCCCCTTCTTTGTATTTCCCCGTAAACGTTACAAGGACTACGTATTTCAGAGTGGCCCAATGGGGAGTGCTGGAAGCGGAAACGCCTCAGGATGGATGCAAGAGGAAGACTTCCTGTTATTCCTTGATCACTTTGCAAAACACACAAAGGTCAGCCCAGACAAGAAGGTTTTGTTTTTGCTGGATAATCACTGTCATGTATCAGTAAAAGCTATCAATTTCTGCAAAGAAAAGGGGATTGTGCTACTTACCTTCCCGCTACACTGCAGCAACAAGCTTCAGCCACTGGATCGCAGTGTCTACAGCCCATTTAAGAAAATGGTGAACACTGCAAGAGATGCGTGGATGAAGATGAATCCTGCCAAGACGATTACATATATGATATTCCAAGTATTGTGAAGAGCGCCATCCCCAAAAACATTCAAGCTGGTTTTGAATCAACAGGTATTTGGCCCTTCAACCCTGACATTTTTCAGGAGTGTGACTATGCACCCTCACAGGTCACTGACCGGCCTGACCCAGGTACCTCATTGACATCTGGAGCTTTCCAGCTGGACTCTCCTCCAACTCACTCTGGGATGACCTCCTCTCCTCAAACTGACCTGGGGATGACCTTCTCTCCTCCAACCTACCTGGTTACGTCTGGCTCCTCTGCAATTCACAATGTCACCATGTCCTGTGCTCCAGATGAGCCAGGCACCTCAGGGTTGTCTTTGGGTCTGGTATTCAGTCCTTCAGCCACGCGGCCTTTTACAAAAGCAGGGCCAAGAAAAACAATTGGCAAGATCATGAAGAAAAGGTTGTCTGAAATATTCACTGATACACCAGTGAAACAAGCACTGATGGAAGAACAACAGGGAAGAGGAAAGAAAAGACAGAGCATCTTAGGTAAGAATAAAGGCAAGAAATGTTGGTGAGGATTCTGACATCTCAGATGAGGAAAACATTTGTGTTGTTTGCATGGAGCCATGTGCCCGATGCAGTCTCTGGGCCCACCTTGCCTGCACTCCAGGATTACCGACATTAATTTGTCAGCACTGTGACTCTGATTAAGAAGACAAACACGCACACAGATATTGTTTTTTGTTAGAAATTGTAATATGTTTATCAAGTATACTGTTAAGTAAGTTTGTTCAAGTAGACAAATTTACATATACACACACACGAGTTAATCAGACAGTCTGTTCCAGAGAGGGAGTGAGACATTGTTCTTTTATGTCAGCAAACCTGTTTTTGAAGCATATCATATGTGGCATCCATTTTTGCTTCTTTTGTGTAATTGTTACAACTTACCCCAGCATGTGGTATAACCTACCCCGGTATTGGGGCGGGTTGTAACAAAGGTACACCATGTATTTGACAACAACTCACAAGGTCTTGTAGATATTCTTGTATTGAATACGAGGATTGAATTGGTGTCATTTGTAGTAAACAAATGTGGTTACTTTGTGTAAAAGTTTATGAACTCTAGCGGCAAAATTCAGTGAGTTATAGTTGCTGAAGCCAAAAGTGTTACAACAGTACCCGGTCTCCCCTACTGTCCATTGCTTCAGCACCTCTTTTCACCCTCTGTGAGAAAACAATTTTAGCTCCTGTCTCTTTAACGCCTTTGTTACGTGATGTGTTGTGGTATAAATATTACAGCTGAAATAAATAGAAAAACATGTTTGTTTGTTTTTTAAAATAAATTCATAATATATTACTACATATTTAAATATGTATAATCTCATTACATATTTTCCAGTACGACGTTATGATAGACTGATGCTCTTATTGATAGCAGTACTGATAGTAAAGTAATGTGACTGTTTGGTGCTGTGGTGACAGAATGTTGAGTTCATATGCTCCATTAACTGCAGGACATGATTTCCATTTATTTCAGAAAGTGAGTAAACATTAGTAAAACACTTGCAACAGCAGATCCTACCCCTAGTTCAACAAATGATCAAATGAAGATATCTCTGTGAAAAAGATATCCCAACTATGACGGCCTCACATGGACAGCTGTCAAAGTCTCTGGTGGAACAAACGAAAATAACACATGCATAGAACGGATCCGACAGGCGGCATGGATCGAGCACTGACAGGCACAGTTCTGAAATAAAGCGTGGAGATAGGTCTGGCTATGCGACACTAGGCAGCATGGCTGTGCTGAAGGGCTGGAGGAGGTCCTATGCTCAACAGACCCATTCATGACGTCAAGAAAGGAGCCAAATTCAAGCGACATGTTTGCACACAATTTTACTGAAAGATGTAGCAGGAGAAAAAGAAAGAGTGTTGTTTTGTCTCATAGTCTGGGGGTCTTTAGACAAACCCGGGAAACATTAAAAAAAAATAAATCAATTACTATGTCAAGATTTTGAGACATTAAGCTATACTTATTTTGATTCATAATCTATTGTTTTAACTTTTCTCAAAATGTTGATTAACTAAATCAATATGAAGAGATAACTGTAGATTAGCATTTCTTATCCAGTATTTTAATGTATTATCGCATAGGTTTGATTTAGTCAGTCGAAATAAATTTCACCTGGTACAATCAAATTTTAACTTGACATGAGTAGTTTCATGTTTGTTTGGTTTCTATAGTTCCTTCTTACCTTGGCCAAAAAAGCACCAGTAATCCCTCCCAACATCTGAGCTAGGACATAAGGCAGCAGGAGAAGAAGCTCCATCCCTCCACACAGGTAAACGCTCAGAGATACCGCAGGGTTAAAGTGCCCCCCACTGCAACAAACATAGGGAACTTCACTCTTTGTCTCTCAAAGGATGATATGAACTGTTAATAACAACACTCATCCATTCGACACGGCATAAACAGAATGTGCAAATGATTCTTTGAATTTGTATTAACTTTATCTATCAAATAGAACAAGTCGGTGAGTGACAGAAAATCATAAGACACTATTTGAAACTATAGCCCACTCTGCTGTGTTTGCCAATGTATCTAATGCTGTCTAAAATAAAGTAAACTCATTCACATGCTGAGGCAAATTCACTTTAAATAAGACTTTTTGGCAGGAAATTAAGAGCAAGCTACCATAATAATAATAAAAATAATAATTTGTATATTTTTTATTTAATCTTTATTTTTACAGACAAGTCCTATTGAGACAGTCCCTTTTACAAGGCAGTCTTGTAAATAATAATTTATCACCTTTAAAAATAGAGTTTACAGGTTCCAGAGACCTTCTTATGTTGTAAAAACAAGAAATTATTGGTCAGCTCAAAAACATACAACATCAAGCATTTACAACATACAACAAAACAGAATGTCATTATTTTTTACCTAATTTGACCGAACACCATGATCAGCACTCCTAACGCCAGTCCATGTGCCACAGCAGGCTGGAGGACACCAAGTGTCCCCACATCACCAATAACAGACGCACACCCCACAAACACAAACAGGCATGTCCCAAACAGCTCAGCTAGGCAGGGCTGCACATATTGCTCAAAGATGCATCTCTTCTTATTTGTGTCGCTCATGTACTTCTCCACTGCCGGCTCCACCGTCTCAGCTATCGTAAAGACCTCTGTCTTGGTTTCAGACATACTTTCTACCCCGTGTCTGTCAGATTCACTTGTTCCCCTGGTGGACCACAGTCTGAATGTACAGTGCGTCTATATGAGCCATTCTTTGGGTGATGACTAAGGGACATCCCCATTTGTGAAGTCTGATGCCACACCTTCCTGCAATTGTTTATACTCCCCACACTCAATCCTGTGAAGCTCATAAAATTATTAGCACTGTTGTGAGAGTAAGACAACACACACACACACACACACACACATACAGATAAGGCTGAAGGGTATCTTATCACTCAACAGCAACACTTGTTTTAACTGATACCACATCAGTAAAACCATTTATACAAAGCTGAAGAGTGTGTAAACTTTCTTTTAATGTTAAACCTGCAATAACTGATTTTCTTTGAGACCCTTGGAAGTCTAAGATCAAATCGCTCATCTAAATTAAAATAGAAAAGGTCTGAAAATACTCTGTTAAAAGTAAAAGCCCTGCATTCAATATCTTACTCAAGCAAAAGTACAACAGTAATTAGAATTAAAATATACTTAAAGTACCAAAAGTAAAAGTACTTCTTATGCAGAATTATATATTATATTACTGTTATATTAGCAATGCATTAATGTGTACTTTAATGTTTGTAAATGTGGGGCTAATTTTGAATAACTTTATAGAATTACATCTTAGCTTAATCTATAATAATATATGTTTATGAAAAATCTTTTCATTTTTTAACATAATTTAAGTAATTAGGATGTAATATTTTTTCATGTCCCTTGAAGTGGACATCGGTTAAGTCTTTTCCACAAAAAACGTAATCTACATTTGCAAAGTAACTAAAGCTATCAAACAAATGTGGTAGAGTTAAAAGTAAAACATTTGCCTCCAAAATTTAGATGCTTAAATATGGAATATATACCATCAAAAACATAGAAGACACGCCCACAGTGGCTGCAGTGATATCTGCAGCCCTGACAACAACCCTCCTCCACACGTGTTTATTATCAGTTATCAGATGGATGCCAAGGGTCGTTATTGGCTTTAGTTTTTACCCGACATGTCAGTTTAATATTTAATAGGCATTCTGTAGAGAAAATTGTGATATAACCTGTCTATTTTGAATGAACATTGTAATTTGCTAAACAACTAGCTTTCAAAATAAATAAAAACACTCAAAGTACAAGTACCTAAAAATTACACTAAAGTACGGTACTTGATCATGTAAACTTACTTTCCACCACTTGTTAGCAAACATTTGTCCTTCCAACATGTAGGGAGCAACATTAGTATTTAATTGGAGTCGTATTTCTGGCCACCTACAGAAAGTAAGAAAGTAACATCTGGCTTTTAGCTTCTAAATTACATTTATTCATTTAGCTGATGCCTTTATCCAAAGCATCTTACAATTTCTATATATGAGATCGCATGCCTCTGGAGAAACTACAGGTCAATTGTCTTGCAGGGACGCATTGGTGGATGTGTCATGGTGGAGAACTGAACACCCAATTGCTCCACTTTTCACCAGCTAGTCCCAAAACGTTGGTCTGCCTTTTGAGGCACAATGCATACAGTCTGTTGTTCGATATATTGCGTGAAGAATTGCCCCCTGAGTATTGCGTGAAGAATTGCCCCCTGAGGCTGGAAACAATGCTGATGAGGGCGGCGACAGTCATCCAAAACAGTTCAGTTGCGATCAGTTCAGCAGAACTCAAGAAAACTACCGTCAGACGATAATGGCTTGTGGGTTCAAATACAGTCACTTGTATCTGTACTTATTATAAGAAAAAATATGGATTAAAGTAATTCTGGTATCTGAATATAAGCCTATTTAAAATGCTCAAGAAAACAAAATTTGATTTCTCTATGAATGGGCCTTACAGCACAATCCAGTTTATAGTGCATACAGTATAACTAAATACAGTCATACAACTTATTACAGTGATATTTTTCTTCAGCTTGTCCCTCCCACTGCAGGTAACTCAACTGATAACAAAGTAAATGAACAAAGCAGGTTCTTACATAAAAAGAACATTTTATTCAACTGAACTTGAACAGCATTCATTAAAATATATTCTATCACAAATTAATCTGTCATGTCCTCTTTGCTGTATGAAGCACAGGAACAGAAAACATTTTATGGACAAATTCAAATTAGTCAGGAGTTGCATGTTCTATTGCATGCATGTATGTTGTTTAAGAAAATGTATCCAGGAAGGACAAATGATAAATAAATAAGATCAAATTGGCATACACACCAGACCAGGACAAATATATGACATCTGAAATTCTTCGAACTTCATACATTCTTTAATCTCCAACACAGGGGAGCAGATTTTGAAACAGTATTTGATTTGATTGCGTCGTAAAATATGTCCATAAGCAAAAAATAGAACATGATCCATGCAACAAACCTCTTCACAGCTCTCAACATAATCGTCTCTTATCTTCAACACTGGGGCTACAAAGGACGCTTATGTAACCACGTTCTGCTGAAGCAACGAGTTTTCACGCCAGAAAAGCTCACCAGACGAGGGCTTGAAGGAGAAAAAGGGCTTCGTCTTTCCCCAATGTCTCCCTTTACACATCATCTCCTCTTGCTGATTTTGGCATCCACACACACACACACAAAGCATGTCCAACAGTGGAGCAGTTTCACTCTCAAAATGCCAGCTGTGACAGACCTGAGGAAACAGAACATGGCCTGTTCTTGTAAATGAGCACAAAAGACATACAAACTGGGCAGATGAAATATGAAAAATGTAACACGAGTAGCACTAACTAAATAAACAGCATGGAGCTTACATACCCATTAATTTAAATGTAGCTGTAACCTAATTGTGCATTACCCAGATTGAGTTTGTCCTTGGTTGCCCAGCAGATGCTGTAGTGTTGAAGAAGTTGTTGCAACAGCTCCCTCTCATCCAGGAACTCCAGACGCTCAACTCTGCAAGTAATAAAATTAATTATTTCATCATCTATACAGCATTTTCATCATAGAATGTGATCTTTCATGTCAGACTACACACAGAAGGAGAGCAAATGACCAGAAAATATCTTAAAAAAGCAACAGGTCTGCAACGCATACTAATATGTTGAGGCTCATAATGTTCTTTTTTGTCGGGTGTCTTTCATTCAGCTTTACAAATGCAGGTTTCTGGCAACCCGGCAGCACTTGTAGAAGCGGTAGCTCCTTTAGACTTCGCTACACTGTTTCTCATCTGTTTTTTTCTGGCTTTATTGCTGAAACACGTGTTACCTCTGACAGAATTAGAAATTCATCGGAAAAGGAAGACGAGGGTTTTGGATTGGGGTGGTGACAGCGCAGTAGATGAGTTTACTACCTTTGGTGTGAGAGATGTTTCCCTGAGCAAGACACTTATTATTATTATTATTATTATTAACCCCTAGTTGCTCCAAAGGCATGTGACCTCTGATATAGCAATTGTAAGTAACTTTGGATAAAACCGTCACCTTAGTCTGCCTCCCCCTCCCACTGGATTAAAGAGCAGCGGACCACAATCCATCCGGCCTGATCAACTGGAGGCGGGTGGGGTGATCACTCAGAGGAGAGGGAAGAGAGTTGTGATAGAAGCCATTTGGCCCAGCTTGGACTTAAGGCTGCTCCTAAAGGTCCGGTCTGTACAAAATGGGCCACATCTTTTCTTCATGTTTGTGTTTCACAGGAGTGGAGGGTTTCTTTTATCAGTGTTTTTAATTTCTACTGCTGATCAAAGTCAATGAAAGTCATAAATCATTATTATTCAGTATGCATTCCAGTACAGGATGTTTGGGGGACTATTGACGGATAATAACAAAACAAAACAACAAAACCCACTTTTAGTTCCAAAAATCTGGATGCTACACTTCCCATAATGCAACTCGGTAACATCTTTCAAACATCCCTTTGAACGATCACATGTGATGGAAGAGCAGTGACAGCTCTGGTGTGAAGGCACAATGCAAAAGTAAAGTGTATATCCACCAAATGGATACAACTCATGGAGTATTAATTACACACAAGGGCTTTGGCAGATGCTGGGGGATGTTAAGCCTGCATTACCTTGCCACATCATCCTGGGGCAGCATACTGTAGACCGTCATCATGTCAAGAGCATCAGCATGCTCCCAGCCAGTCTTCAGAAAACGCTCCTTCTGCAAACAACACACATTCAAATACTTAATGTCTGGACATTCTCAATAAAAACAGAGCTAACCGGTTCATGACAGAGTTTGCAAAGATCCAGAACATAAAGAATAGTGATAGGCTGATATCTGGCACACATCTGCAGGCAGCCTTGACAGTGTGGCTGCTGTGGAACAATGTTAGTGCTCCCCCTATGAGTTTTGGGAAGGTGGTGAAAAAGTTACCTTTGACCCTTAAATGTCCTCAGTCACTATCGTCTTTTCTAATGTTAATACATTTCTCTCATCCTAAATAACACCTAATCAAATCTAAAACCCTTCCTGACTGACCTCTAGTTTTGTGTGTTGCTAGTGTCCTCGTCACTACTGGTAGCTTGAGGCGATACCTATAGCCCATTCAAGTTGCACAGGTAGTCCAGCTCCTCCACGAGGGTACATCCATGAGACCATAAGACACAAGAAAGTTTGCTGTGTCTCAAGAGCATGGAGGAGATACCAGGAAATGGGCCATTCCATGAGGAGAGCTGGACAGGGCCATAGAAGGGCATCAACCCAGCAGCAGGACCGGTATCTGCTCCTTTGTGCGAGGAATAGGAGGAGCACTACAAAATGACCTCCAGTGGGCTACTGGTGTGCATGTTTCTGACCAAACTGTCAGAAACAGACTCTATGAGGGTGGCATGAGGACCCAAAGTCCTCTAGTGGGATCTGTGCTCACAGCCCAGCACCATGCAGCTCGACTGGCATTTGTCACAGAACACCAGAATTCGCAAGTCCGCCATTGGCGCCCTGTTCTCTTCACAGATGAGAGCAGGTCCCCACTGAGTGTGACAGATGTGAAAGAGTCTGGGGAAGCTGTGGTGAACGTTATGCTGCGTGCAACATCATCCAGCATGGCCGGTTTGGTGTTGGGTCAGTGATGGTTTGGGGATGCATATCCTTGGAGGCAACGAAGGTTAAAATGAAGGGCAACTGGACTTGGTTGAAGCTACTGGAAGACGTTTCGTCCCTTATCCAAAGGACTTCTTCAGTTCTGGACTGAAGAAGTCCTTTGGATAAGGGACGAAACGTCTTCCAGTAGCTTCAACCAAGTCCAGTTGCCCTTCATTTTAACCTTTGTTGGATAACTATGACCTGGATGACTGAGAATCTTCATAGACATATCCTTGGAGGGTCACACAGACCTCCACATGTTAGCCAATGGTACCCTGACTGCTGTTAGGTACCAGGATGAAATCGTCAGAGCCATTGTCAGAACTTACGCTGGTGCAGTGGGCCCTGGGTTCCTCCTGGTGCAGGACAGTGCCTGGCCTCATGTGGTCAGCGTGTAAGCAGTTCCTGGATGACGAAGGAATTAATGCGGTTGACTGGCCCTCAAGTTCCCCTGAATCCATTTGAGAACCTCTGAGATGTTATGTATCGGTGCATCCCACACCGCCCAGTAGGACAAAGTTGGATCAGCCTGTGATTTAATATTTTTTGCTTTGATTTACGGTGTGATTTTGAATCCAGCCCTCAATCGGTTGGTGATTTTGGTTTCCACTGACCGTTGTTATGTAATTTTGTTCTCAACGAATTATAATTCTTTGTTTTGATATCGGCATTATATCGGCCACCCTGCTCTCTAAATATCGGCATCAGCCACTGAAAAACCCACAGCAGTTGACCACTAATTAAGACCCTCACATCATTCTTACATTTTGGACATGGACAGGTTACTAGTCTCACAAAGCCACCAAATCATAATAATATGGAGATCACCTGAGAGTCCAAAGACCGGCAGACCTCCACTCCCGCCAAGGTGCACTGGCGACGCTGCAGGTTCTCGATCATCACCTGGCCAAATCGATCACTCATGTTCACCTGGATACACAGATCAAGGCTACATTATTAAATCTCAGCTCAGACACACGTGTACTATTCAAAAAAAGTTCCGTATTCAAAAACGGTCACGTCAGATATCAAATTTCATTTCAAGTGTGTTGAAGCCACTTTTATCTATTATCTATTAAAAGAACAATAAGGGACACATTAAGATTAAAAAACAAAACAAGAAAGTACTTAATTTCTAATTATTGTGTATTGATCATCTATAATCCACTACAGCCGTAAAAAAGTGCTTTTATATAAATAAAACATCCAGACACTTCCTCAAGTTGCAACATGAATAACAAAAGCCGAAAGCTGTGTCTTTCTGCTGTACCGGGATGAAGTCATTTGTTTTGTTTACCTGTTCGTAGTTGATGAACATGGCAGTGTGGAAGGTTTCTGCGGCCCAGTGAACTAGATTAGAGGACTGGGAGGTCGTCATGTAGACCAGCACACACTCTGACAAGAGCACTGTGGGTAATCTTAGAGTGAGAACAGTACGTTTAACCACAACAACAGAACCAGAAATCCTCCAAACTTGTTATTTAAATTTCTATAATTTCTGTTATCTGCATCCAGATATGCATCAAAGTAAACAGTGTACTGATTTATTCATTCAGCACAGTACAAAACAGTGAAACTGTTCATTAATCTTGGATATACAAGTGGATCAGGAGAGACAACAAAGCCATTTCCTGCTAATTGCTAATTGTAATTATCAGCAGAGGCACAAAGACAAAAAACAATTATACTGATGATTGGCTTTTCTCTGGAGTATCATATCTGACTGATTTTAAAACTTACACTATAAAATCTATTATATTCACAAAGGAATATTACAGTGTCACTCCAACCTTTATTGTCTACTATAAAATAGTGTTTGTTGTTCCACTGCTAACACTAAATTTATATTCCACCCTAAATCTTTTACAGTAAGTTAAAGTTTAAACACTGGCTTTAAAGAGTACACTGCTAACATGCCATGCTACCGCCCTCCTTGAAGTAGCGCATTTAGCAATATGTTAGCAAAACTATGTTTTTCAAAACACTGAGCGCACAGTCACATTTCAAGTCGACAGGGGGTTGAGTGTTTGTTACTCAAAACATTTTGGGTGGGGCATCCTTGCGAATCAGGCCTTAGACGTCAGATGTGACATCTGCATTACAGCCATAGAGACACTGGGTAGGAGTGACTCGGTTATCTCGAGTTACTCACAGTGAGAAAACACAGAGATAAGCTTCAGTTCTTGGATTTCTTAAGACACGCTACAACCGACAGAGAACAAAAGGATATCGATCTCTGGTTAACTTACGCTTTCTTCCAAAACTAGGTCATTCACTCAGCACGACTAGTATGAAAGATAAAACTAAGATGATGAAAATATATATTCACTCTGTATTAAGCTGGAACTTCTTCAGTTTTTCATCCAAATTAGAGATGTCTCTGAGGTCTGCCCCAATGATACAGTAACGGTCAGAGTCAAGGCTATGGGCATCTGCGCAAAGAAGACAGAAACATTCACTGTACAGATATGAAACAAATGCACAGAAAGATTTTCTGACAAGAAGAGTATTTTTACATTAACCACATAGATATGTCATGTAAGGATTGTAGCTTGTGTTCATTACCTCAAGGTCAAAGTTTATTTATATAGCACATTTACAAACAGTCACTACTCCCCCCAAATGCTGTACAGACACAGAGAACAGCATAAGATAAAAAGCATAATAACATAGCATAAATAATAATAAAGCATAATTACCTAGTAGTAAGGAGTCTGATGAGTGGGTTTCGATGAGGGGTTTGGACAGGGGTGGTTTTGTCCTAGTCAAAGAAGAAAAAAAAACCCATTTGAGTACGTAAATAAACTGCACCTCAACAATAAACATAAAGCTACATTAGCATTCAGCATTTTACAAGCTACACCAGGGGCATTCAAATTTCAAAGTCTGAGACTGTGGGCCTCCCCTCAGACAAAGCTTTAAAAAAGGCAAACCTACCTTCGATTAATAATAATAATAATAATAATAATAATAATAATGATGATGATGCTGTTTGGACAGCACAGACTACACTAAATATATTATAATAACAAATAACAAGCTCTTGGAATGTGGGTAAATCTGTATCTGTAAAAATCTCCAAATCTCCTGTGTCTCTGAACTCTCTCTTTAACCAAATAACACACATTTTGGCTATTCTATATACCCTTTTGATATCTAATGTAATATCTTTTTCACTGAGCCTCCCATGAAACAGTTTGGAGCTCCCCTGGGGAGGCCTGCCTCACACTTCTGTGCTACCCTTTTCAAATCTCCAAAAAGCATCATATATATACACCGATCAGCAACACTGATTATCTCGTAACCATGGCACCTGTCAGTGGGTAGGATATATATGGCAGCAAGTGAACATTTTGTCCTTAATGTTTATGTGGCGATAGCATCATGTGATCAAGGCTCATTGACACACGTGGGGAGCGAAGGCTGGCCCATGTGGTCCGATCCAACAGACAAACTACTGTAAGTCAAACTGCTGAAAAAGTTACTGCTGGTTCTGCTAAAAAAGGCGTCAGAACACACAGTGCATCACAGTTTGTTGCTTATGTGGCTGCGTAGCCAGTCAGGATGCCCATATTGACCCCTGTTCACTGCCAAAATCACCTACTTGCGAGCATCAGAACTGGACCCTGAAGCAATGGAAGAAGGTGGCCTGGTCCGATGAATCATGTTTTCTTTTACATCAGGTGGATGTCTAGGTATGCGTCCGCTTCGCTTACCTGGGGAACACATGGCACTAGGATGCACTATGGGAAGAAGGCAAGCCGGCAGAGGCAGTGTGATGCTTTGGGCAATGATCTGCTGGAAAACCTTGAGTCCTGCCATTCACGTGAATATTATTTTGAGACGTATCACCTACCTAATTATTGTTGCAGACCATGTACATCTTTCCATGGAAACAGTATTCCCTGATGGCAGTAGCCTTATTCTAGTGAAGTACATGCCTCGAGGAGTTAGGACTGTTTTGGCAGCAAAAGAGCGACCTACACAATATTAGGCAGGTGGTCATAATGTTATGGCTGATCGGTGTATATAGTTTTTAGTTTAGTACACTTAGCTAAAAGTAATGCAGTATAATACAGTCCTGGAATAAATTCTAACTTCATGAAGGTTATAATGTATATTTTTTGTTGAAAATGTGGTCATCATTTGTTGGACTGTATCTTTTATATACGAGTTGTTCCTAATATTTTCTCATGTATTTACCACTTACAATATATTTCAATGAGAGTAGTCTAAATATTAGAAACACCTCTCATTATAATGCAATTCAATTCAACAGCATCACAAACTACAGCCTCCAAAACGACCACACAACTGAACAGACTCCTTTGTGAAACAGGTGTACCTGATAAACTGGCAACTGAGTGTATACATGATGTTTTTTGAACATTGCATTGCATTTTTTTAACTTAGGATCCAAGGTAATGATTGTGATAATGTTGCACTACTGCAGTTTGCCAGATATTTCTGACTGAACTGTTCTTGTAAAGAGATTATTCTGATTATTGGTAGTTATTATTTATATACAGTAGACATATAATACATAATAGACATCCTGTAAGGGTTATGTAATGATAACTTACAGTTTAAATAAACTGCCACTGTTCCTTGAATTAGGTATAAATGTAGAGACATTACTTTTGTTAACAAACAGCACTGTCTCCCTCTACAGATGTCAACCCCACATTGCAATACCAAAGCCAGAGAGGGAAAATAAAAACATCATACCCTTGTGCTGATGTACATCCCTATGATAGTTTTAGTAACTAAATTTAAATTAGAAATTAGATTTTCCTTATTATTATCCATTTTGATGCATTTTAATATGGACCATCATTACCACATCTTCTAATCTGTAAGGTCATTTATGGGGGAAAAAATAAACTATATTTTCACCAGTTATAATAAATATAATATTAGCATGGTTGTCTTACTTAATATGGTGAATTTTCCTGGCCACGACTGTTGGAAAGTCAACTTCAAAGAATTTCCGCGGCATGAGGTTTTCATCCTATCCACACACAAACACACACACACACACAAAAATACATTTAAGATCTGAGCATTGAGTCACATTTTGAACATAAGTGTATTTGATGCAGCCTAGACAAATCAGACAGGATCAAAAGGCACATCAGACCAATGGGGAATGACATGTAGACCAGAGTGCGGGCAGTGAGCGCCAATGCATCAAACCTTAAGTCTCCAAAACGTGGTATCCATTCCAGCACCCACGTTGATTACTTGACAGTCACACTCTGCTTTCTTTATAAACGCGTCAAGGAGATGGTTAACTCCTTGAACACGGGCATAGTAACCTGTCAAAAGAGATAAGATGACAATAAAATAAGTTAATAAAGACACACGCAATGGCAGGTATTCCTCAGACTGTTTTTGCTGTTTTGGCTTTTCAATGTAGCATTCAAAACACTGCACACATTATGACTGTGTTGGTGGGTTAATTTACATTGTAAAGTGAGGTGTTATATAGATGGCTATACAGACAGTCTTATAAGTCATCATTACTCTGTACACTGCTGTGTACACTGCACACATTCTTTCAGCTGTACAGTATTGTCCCTTTTGCATTTGCAGACTATGTTCATTTTATGTACTGAAATATTATGAGTTGAACCTCGTGATTCCTCTCACTGAGCTAAAGAGGTATAAATGTATGTAAAAGAAGAAAAAGTCTCACTTACCTCTATTGATTTCAGGTGCCTTCCGCTCGCCTACAGATCTTGCGAAATACTGGATGTAGGGGTCCTTCCAGTAGTTTTTACTGGTAGCAAACCTAGTAAACCAATTATTAATGTGATGAGGAAGTGACATGACTACTTAAAGCTCTAATGGTTAAACATTTTTAATATTATCATTGATTGTCCATGACCCAGCTCTTCAGATCTGTGCAGCACTTCTCTGCTCTATGTTTGGTTGTGCTGGTCCACACTGTATGGCCTGATCAATACAAGTCTCCCAAACTGCCCCTTAATAATCCATGGGCAGCAGTGAGAATACACTACCTGCCCACTGTTAAAGTGTCTAGAGCCAAGTTGAACATATGTCTAGTGAAGACAACTAGCAAACTACCACCATGTTGCTCAGTGTAAGCTAGAACTCTAATGCCTTATAAACATCCTCAAGTCCTCAAAGTTGACTTTTCAATACTCTATAGCTGAGCAAAACATTAGCAAGGAGGGAAATTTTAAGGATGTTTTGGGGGATAATTTGTAAATTACAACTGGTTGTTGCCTTCTATTTAATGTGGGCTAACGCTACTTGATTAACATTACCTATAACTTAACTATACCGTTAAAAGTAGTAGGTTAATTGTTTCAAGAAGGAGGACATTTTATTTGCAATAACTGTTTTACTTCTTCATCTTAGGAGATCTTAACATGACAATAAAAGCCATATGATTGTAACGTTGACTGTGCTATTACATATGCTGCTGTTACCTTTTACATACGGTTGCATCGTCACAGGTCGCCCTCACTGCTTCATCCGCAGTGTCCGTGTCTGTGAAGGGTTGCCGAGCTGCCATTAATGATCCTTGTCCTAACGTTATGTAACTTAAACTTTAAGGGTTGAAAAATCCCTTCCACCTGCTTGACACTGACTAGCTCCAACAAGCTAACTCGCTAGCTCAATTTGACAGGTGGGCTTATTTAACAGAACGGGGAGAAAGGACAATAAAGCTGGTTGGCTCAGGTACTTGTGTAAAGTAAACAAACAGCGAGGAGGATGAACATAAGCTGTATTTAACGGGTGAATAATATTTTGCTGGCTAATAACAACTTGCACGGACCTAGGAATATTTGGACAATCCCGACCAGACGTCACTTCCGGTTAATAATTTCAGAATAAAACTGCAACACGCTACACAATCACAGCAGTGCTTTCTGTGGTGATGTGTGTGAAGCATATTTACGTCCTCTATTATGTCTGATGTGCACATTACTGTGTTTACACTGGGCATCATCTTTTGGTTGACAGAAATAGACCCATTTAGTTTGCACTGGTTTACTTTTAACCTGAAATTGACAAATACAGTCATTAAAACTACTGTACAGACAAGTGATTTGCTTAGGGTCGCTTTTTTGTTATGATAACAAAAAGGCATTTACAAAAAAGATTATTAACGCCTCTTGATGTCTCAGAATATGGAAAATGGAGTTAAAATGATTATTCTGAATAGTCAAAAATCAACTGAACCTGTGAAATAAGAACCTGAATAAGAGGCAGAACCAGCCTACCACTCTCATCTGTTTTATTCTGAGGATGAGAGTGAAGACAGTAAGTATGATAAATGTGAAAACAGAGAGTGACATGGGATCACACTATGGGGAGTCAAAAGAAGAAAGAGATTAGAGGGGGCAAACATTAAAAAGGTGCAGAAGTGACATGACATCCACCCAGTCCCATGTGAAATATTGAATCCAAAAACCACTCTGACATTTCCTTGTAAACTGTGTGGGAAATCCTACCATTGCAAAGCCAACCTAATCAAGGATGCGTCATTCAAACTCAGATAATCGAGAATTCCTTTGTGGCATGAAGTGTGTGTGAAGTCCTCAGAGAAGCCGGTGCAGAAAGGCACATAAAAGAGAGGAAGATATGTGGTACAAACTTAAGCTGCTTTATTAAAAATCCATTTGAGGTAGAAATAATGAGAATGAAAATCTGGGTTTTTGGTCTCAAATATAGCAAAGTAAAAGGCCCTCTGTATAATTGGAATTCATTTCAATGACTAAATATGCCACATTTGAATTCAAGGACCATTAAACATATTTTAATATCAAATCTGACTTTCTTCTCTTGTATTATCATGTGTGAACTTCAGATATAAAGCAACATTGCTTTTATTGTTTGGATGCATATTTGATCGTTTTCATAGCATTTTTTGTCTGTTATCAGTCAATGTTAGGAGCTCATATTATTTTTCCATCACATTTTTTACAGGTGGATCTCTAAAAGCTTTAACCTAAAATGCTAATACCTAAATGACTGTCACACTGCCGCATCAGTCATTGTGTATGTAGTAGGCCTATCTATTCTTCATTCCAACTCAATGGGTAATTCTCATATTCAACAAAACGATCAAAATACATATATAGACACACACTTGCAGCTCATAATACTGCACAGCCAGAGTGTGCAAGCAATTAATTCCATAATTTTAAGCAACTGTTGCCTGATACATTTTACTGGCAGATATATTGTGCACCCCTACACAACAATCGTGTATTTATTTTTTACTTTATTGTTATTGTGTCATGGCTGCATCAAATACGCTTACTGTCTTCAAACAGACAGACCAGGGGACAGGGTCGCCATAGGTAAGGATAAATGCTCGGCACCATGAAAAAGAAGCTGGGTTACATTGCAGCATCATGTTCTGTGGTGTCCTTTATGTCCATGACTGTCTGAAATCACTTTGATACATGCAAAGCCAGGCTATACCTTTAGGGAGGGGGGGGGGGGTGTCTTCACAACCTAAAAGCCATTCTGTTTTGCCTTTGTACAGAATGAAATAAAACAAACTTCTCATTTAAGATTTAATTTAGTGTCTAAGTGTCAATGCAGAATGTGTTTTACTCATTATCTGGTGGTTGTAGACAAAACAGGAGCTTACATATCTTTTACACGCAAAACCAATACAAATGCCTCATTAAGTATGTTACTTTGCTAGAGTTGATCCAATCAGGACTACCTGCACCACTCAATGTGTATAAATAATTTTGACAAGTTAAAGCACAATAAAAGTTACTCTGTATGTGTCCTCTTCTGCATCTGAGCACTGCAAAAACAGGGAAATGAATGCGACATTCAGTTATTTTTTTCTCGTATTGCAGGATGTTTTTCGTCAGCACGGTGTGAGTGGGTCTCTCATGTCGGTGTCCAGGGGGAGGTGGTGCTGTCCGGCAGATGCTGCGGTGCACTAACGTGACTTCCTGCCTCTCTCTCTCTCTCTCTCTCTGCGTGCTGGCGGAGGCAGAGGTGAGCTGCTGCTGCTGCTGCTGCTGTCCGCTCTGCTCTGCTCTGCTCTGGGGAAAGGCGGCCGACGGATTATCCAGCTCGGTAACGTTAGCTCGTCGGCTAACGGTCAGGAGAGCAGCCCAGGAGAGCAATGAGAAGCCGCAGGAGCCAGTGAAAGTTAGTCACGGCTTACTTACTTCGGGACTTTAATGTACGAAAACATACAAAAAAGGAGGCTCGCGGATCATGCCGTCGCCCGCAACGGGAACTTTTCTCTAGAATTTCCACTTGGGAAAGGCTAGCTTAGGGGCTAGCGAGGCTACAAACTATTTTTAATTGGCTTTGGGCTCAATGGCTCTCGCTTGTTTTTCCCTGTCATAGCGACAGCACGGAAAAAGTAAAACGGGGAGAGGCCCTGTGAACTTCATGACAAACCAAAGCCCGGCTTTGAAGCGTAACTTCGGAAGGATAGACTGGCAAGGGGACCGAAAATGAAGAAGCAGTTCAATCGGATGAAACAGCTCGCAAATCAAACAGTTGGCAGGCAAGTATTGAAGTCTCAGCTTTGTTTATTCTTTTGAAGCTCACCTGCGAACACATTTTTGGTCTTCCTGACTTGACTTCCAATATAAATTAACTTTTCACTATATTTTCCCGTAACTTGCTTTCTAGCTGTCAGTGGTGTTGAAAAAGATGAATTAAAGCAAAACAAATCTAATCAGTAGGCTGTGTTGACAAGGAAGATAGCGTTAGTCTTTCATGAATCATTTGCTTTTAATGGCTGACAACCAGGACATGACACTGTTATTGACACTGTTAATAAAAACTGGATTGGGGGGTGAGGGGTGCTTTCCTTGATGTGTGCAGACTTTCACACTGCTCTCTGAATCCAACCAGATGTCCTTAAAAGACTGACTCAGCTCACGCAGTGATAGCACTGTCTACATGGGAAATAAACAGGAGCAAGCAACCCGATGATGGTGCATTTTCCATCAGTTCGGCTAGTCACTTTCTTTTAATTATAAGCTCTCATTTTGCTGTCAAGATCTGGGTTGTACAGAAATGTTTTGGAAAACATATTACAAGGCATGAGGCCAAGGGTAGGGAACACGAGTCCCTGAAAAACAGTATAAATATCTGATATTTTTAAGAGCCTCCTTAAAAATGCTGACACAGAAGAGGGTAAAGACTACAGGCATGTCTACTGCGTGGTAACTGAGTGTGCTGTGTAAAATGTGCAACAGTGTATTATGTGGCATACATCTGTGAAAAAGATCACAAAAATACTAGTTTCCCAACAGGCCAAATATTGACAGTTAAAAATATTATTGGGTATACAATGACGAGGTTTTCAAAGCCTGTATTCAGATATCAAATTATGACCATTTATTGTTGCGTCTAATTATTTAGGGGCCATTGCGTTGCTGCCCAGTACATGTCTGGTCCTACTTCTTGAGTTCAGACGCCAACCGAGAGGCAAAAGGAGAGATCTGATATGCTACAGCAGTGGATGAGCTGCTGGTGTATTATTCTGCTCCACACAGCAACGTTCACTTTCACTCCGAGCTGATAAATTGGCAGCAAGAACCTCTCCATTTGTGAAACACTAGATGCCCAGCTTCAACCAGGCATCAAACTTAAAACAAAATAGATTAATGTGTTTAAGTGATGGATGAGTATCTGTCTTCTCTCCACGTCAAGTGATCTCTCCCTCTGAGCTTAAAACACGCTGTAGGGTCCAAGCTATTAAGTGAATGGATCCAGCCTATGAAAAAACAAAACAATGAGTGTGTGTGTTCTGCCTTGTTAACTAGCACCATAATGCTGTTGTTGACCATAATGCTGTTGTTGACACACAGTGCCCCCTCTGTAACTGGATATCTAAAGTAGCGATGGCCTCAGCCTGGCTTTGTGTGGACAGGAGGGTGAGGCACGTCAAAGGATGTTTTCATCATGAGAGGTCGGCTCCCATGATGTGTGGTGTTTTGTATTTTGTGTGTGTGTGTGTTCGGCAGGGAACAGTGTTTGGCACCTCAGGCGGACAGCGGGTGCACCCAGTACTGGATGGTGCTGGATAAAGCTACTGACAGGCTGAAAAACAATAAATTGCCATCTTTAAATAGGCAGAGGCAGTGTTGCCAAAATAAATGACATATAGAATTTCATTTCACAAAGTCAAGATTTTAATAAAGGTCGCCATTAGAGAGAAAGTGTTCTATCAATCTTAGTAATTCATCACAGACGTTATTTATTAGCTTAAAAATACCCAGACTCTTATGGTCGTACCCTCACACACTAAATGTGTTGCTTTTCCTTTTCTTGATTTTATATTATCCTAAAGGGAATTCATGATAGAGGACATTGTGCTGATACCAAAAAATAAATCATCATGTAGTGATGAAAAGTTGTGAATAGACAGACAGAAATAGAGTGTTTGGAAGAGATGCGCTACACTGCAGGGGAACCATCTTTCCATCCCTGCCGTGCTAATTTGATGGTGACAAAGAGAATCTGGCCTAATAACGTTCCTGCAAGCAAAATTCAAGACCAGCAGAAACAGGGCAGCTGGAATACTCATAATTTCCTCACTGCAGCGTACCAGCAGTAAATTAGAACTGAAGAGAGTGTAATGCAGAAAACAGATATGTGTATGTGTGTGCAGCAGTTGCTTTCTCTTTTTCTATGCACAAGTAGTGTTAATCCCTCATATGCATGCCCCTCTGAATGAGTGATCTTTCATCAGTGCAAGCGAGAATGCTCTGCTTAGTCCATTAAAGTTTGTGCCTGCTTGTGTATCTGCATCTGCAAAAGTTTGGGAGTGCAAAGGCCCTCTCCGCTGCCCCCTGGGTTCCTGTGATTGTACAGAGGCAGAACACTGTGTCCAGCAAGCGGCTGCACTGAGGAAATCTCTCCTCCTCCTTCTACAAACAGGAAACTGCCTCCCAGAGTCAGTCCCAGTGCTTTCTAGAGAAGAGGAGAGAGAAAGCCGGGGAGATTGATGTAGAGGGAGAGAGAGTGAGACTGAGGTACAGGGGGAAAAACAGCATGTGATTCCTGCCAGGGAACATGGCGAGGATTTTTATCTCTTTGTGGAAGCTTTTTTTCAGCTTGCTATCTTTGAACTGTCTTGGCCTATACATGCACGTCAGGCTAATGTGGTCAGCTAGTGAGGTGTCATAGGGTGTCGTAGGCTATAAACACTATCTGCATAAAGATAATTCTCATTCTCCACAGACTCAGAATGAGGTAATCATTTTTGCATTGTACTGATGATGTTTAAGAGTTTACATTTTCTCTGTTTTGCTTCTGAGAATAACGTCACCTCTGACTGTCTGGGAATCGGCCTTAGATGGGTTTTTCACTGGCTGAGGAAGGAATTTGTTAATCACTGGTTCACATCGTCCAATCAATGAGTATGGAGTGAGTGAGGAAGGTAGTAAGGTGTGGTTCACAGGTGAAGGATGCAGGCAAGTGAAGGAGGCGGGCTTAAATCCATTGGACCTGAAACACTCAGGTGAACCAGCAAAACACATCTGAGTGTATTTGGGGTTCCTCAGTGTCCGCAAGTGATTTTAGCTTGTAGCAGCTAGTAGAGATCACTCTGATGGTTGTTTGCAAAAATTTCAAAGTGACATGGTTTATAGTGGAGGTGCCTCGCCTGAAATAAGGAGTGCCTCCTCTAATAAAGTGTTGGGCTAATTAAAGGAACGGTTTGATATTTTGGAAAATATTGTCTTTCGCTTTCTGACCAAGATGTAGACGAGCAGATTGATACCACACTCATATGTCATTTAAATATGAAGCTACAGACAATTAGCTTAGCTTAGCATAAAGACGGGAAACCAGGGGAACTGGCAAAAAAGTTCAACCAGGCTCAACTTTTTCTGCAGTGCAAAGTGTTGCTTTGGCCAGTCACATATATGCAAGCGCACATTTATGGTGGGTTCCTTTGGTGTGGGGTGGTGGTGAGAAACCCTTCTTTAATGTACGGAGAAAAGTAGAGATAAACAGGCCAGCCCTTACCACATCAGCTTTACTACCAACCACTTTACTAGAAGGATGCCTGATACTGAGTGTCACACGGCTCATTAGTGGAATTGCAGCATCTCTTTGAGTTTATCTGGTTTGGTAAGGTAGTTGTTTTGTCAGTCAATTAATCAATGCAGACCTGCACTTAGAACAGCTTTCTGAACGCAAATCTCTTTGAACTACAGGTGCCCTTTTCTGTAGCTCAGTGGTTGCAAATCCTTTTTGATGCTTGATTCACTCAAGAGGGAGTCGCATTGAAAATACACTTTCCCCACAGGGATCAGCAAAATGTCACTGTTGAATTAGCAAGGATAGGTGACTCTGGGCGTTTCCCCGTGTCTCACCATGCCAGTGCCTCGAGGACAAAGGTGTGTCCCTTTGTGTTGCTGCTAGTGACATGACCTATTAGCTAGAGCAGTTTTTTTTGCTGTCAAAGTCATTTTTGCTTTCATCCAGATGGTGAAACAGAAAAATGTGGCATGGCTATGGTGAAAATGAGCTTGTTATTTTGATCATGATATGTGATGATAATCACGATATATTGCCTCAGTTACAGGAAACAATATACAATTGGGAAGTCTATACTTGTTTGACAGCTCTTAGTTTAATACTCAGAGTATCCTTAAGCGACAAACAGTGACATAGGTTTTTTTTTTTTTTTTAGTAATGTTGGAATTGTCACAATACTAGAGCTGAAACAAGTATTGAATCAAAAGAAAATGAATTGGCAACGTTTCTGTATGAATCACATTTCATAGAGAAATGCTAAATATTTGGTGATTCAAGTTTCTCTAATGTGACTATTATCTTTGGGTTCAGACAGAATATAAATTATTACTATTTTATGACCTCATCAGGAGTTTGGGGAAATTGTGATGGACTTTTTTCACTATTTTCTCACATTTTCCAGTATAGACAAAACCAGTCATATGAAAAACAATTGTTAAATGCACTCCTAAACAATATCACACAGAGACACATATAGTAATTGTTACAACATTGGGATATAAACATCTGCCTGGAAGGAGGCATCCTGCTTTGTCATGATGCCACGTTAAGCTTATACCACAACAATACAGAGTGGATAAAAAGTCCCTGAGTTGTTTTGCTCGCTCTTGCCCAACGCTAATGTTAGCATAACAGCTCACATAATCAGCCACATTATGTAGGTTGTATGGGCTGAGTCACTCAATTGTTCTCCTGCTCCTTTCATCTGGGGCCGGTATCCATTACCTTACGCCTTAAGCTGCCAACTGTTGCGACCGTAAGAGGCAGACCCTCCCTCCTCCTCGGCCGTCTGGTTGTGTTGAGTGGCCTGTAACAGCCGCCCTTTTGTGCTTATGGCTGCGGTATTCACTTACTCACCTACCTTCGACTTTGATAGTTGATCGCCATGGTTACCATTCTGCAGCGAGGATCTCTTGTTGTGAAGGAGTCACATGCGCTGCACAGTGACACACTTTCTGCAAAGGCTGTCGCTTCAGTGAGGCACGATGGGGTCAGCTGATGCCGGCAAAACAATTGTTGTTTTGTTTGTTGTTGTTTGTCCCCTGCCCGAGCTGCATGCAGCCTATTTTTGCCTCTGTGGCACAGTGCTTTTTTGGGGTAACACAAGTGTTGCTTTTGCAAGAGCTGTCCAATGTAAGTGACGTGTGCTCTGATTATTCAGTTAACAACCTGTTTTGGGCAACATTTGCATATGTCATAGAAACCCTCGCCAGGTTTTCTTGCTCATATTAACTCCATTAAGCAGAACTCAAATAACATTAAAGGCCATTAAAGGTAGCTCCATTTTTCTGGTATAATCCTATTTGCATTTACCCTTTAGTCTGTCACAATCCAGGGTCAACTAGCAAATAGAGCGTGTACACTTAAGTTGTGGGGGAAGTTAAGTTATATGTGTGCATTTACACATACTGAATTTGATCCACAGGAAAGTACAAGTCTACTTAATGAATACACTGGTTTTAAGATTAGGACCTTGACAGGACCACATAAGGAGCTCTTTGGCATGTAGACTACACCAGAACATGGATTCCATATTGTGGCTTTATAATCACACTCTGCGTGTGTGTGTGTGTGTGTGTGTGTGTGTGTGTGTGTGTGTGTGTGGGTGTGTGGGTGGCTCTAATTCTTTTCCGCAGCTTGCTGGAAGTCTTGTCTTTAGGTTTCTGTGGGTTATAGGTCCCCGCTCTGCACGTGGGACCTCACCAGCTTGGCTATGGCTCTGCTCCAGCGAAAGTCTTTCCATTCATCTCCAGCCCCTAGATTATTCTGGTTTGGCAGTCTTTAACCCGGCCCCCCACCCCCAAAACTTGTATTTGTATTTCTTTCCTTCGAACCCCCAAACTGTCATCCCCTCTCTGTCCGTCTCTTTCTGCTTCTCCCTGCTCCCAGCCTCTGTGTTGTAATTGAAAGCAGCTGTGACGAGGTTACTACAGTTCATAGAGAGCAGTTTTTTGGAGGAGGGCCCAGGTTTCATTAGAGATCAAGTTACCCAAAATGCAGGGAATCGACTGTCTACAGGTCATGTCAGTCAGAAACTTGCACTTGGAAAAGTTAGATACAGCAATACCTGCACAGTCGAGTGAGGCACGAAAGAGAAAGGGGTATTAGAGGTATATTTCTGGAGGTCTGCTCACTAGCTGTGTTTCCTAGGTATTATTATCGCAAGTCACATTCTATCAGTTCTATATCGTGCTAGATTGCAGCCATAGAAGTGCTGCAGTACTTTTCTATTAGCGCTAAATCATGCTACAGAGCACTATGAAGTAGCTTTTTATGGACAGAAAAAATAACATAAATAACTCAAATTGACAGCTGTTGGCTGTCTTCTGGTTTGTAAAGTAGACTTACCAGCCGTGGTCAAAATTCTATAAAATTTGACTGTTAATAAATTCCCATGATAGTTCTTGTGAGCATAGGCAAACTGCATGAACAAACATTTCAACAACAAGGTAATTCAAAGTGCTTTACATAAAACATAAAAGCAACAGGGAAATATAAAAAAATTTAAAAGCAACATAAAATATAATAAAAGTTACAGTGTTACAATCAGGGTTAAAAGAGTTAAATGAAAATAAAACCAGGCTGAGGGGTTGAGCAAATAATTGAGTTACAATCATTTTGAAAAGAGAATAAACAGAAGTACACTTAATCTATTCTCTCTAGCTAGTTACTTGGGTCCACAGCAATCTTTGGGTCCACTGAAACTCCAATAACCCTCGGACACTACAGAGAAACCAGGACATGTCTGTCAGCAGGCCACTTTGATCCAGTTATACTCTAGACCCACCTGCGCGTTTACAGGTGGACAGAGGTTCCTGCAAATCACTCGGGCGCGAGATTTAAGACCACTTCCTTCACTCTGTTCAATCTCACTCCCATAATCATCCAACTCAACTACCTACTCATGATGTTTAGTTGTAGTTTTAAACTAGGCTATTCCTTATGGTCAGAACATGACAAACACAACAAGCATGACCCAAAAAACGCACAGAACAAACAACACAACACCATCATACTAAGACAGACCAAAATCCGAAATCAAACATATAAAGCCTTATATCGACACAAACGCACAACATATATCATCAGACCTAACAGCCTAAATATGTAAACATTAAAGGGTATAAAAAAGGAAAACCTAGCTCCTATTCCAATTTAATGTCAATATTATGTGGAAAACTTGGCTACCTCTCAGTGTATTTACAAGAAACTACAATTATAACTTCCTGTATCTTTACACATATATTTTAGTCAGTAATGCAGTTAAGGGTGCACTGAGATATCTGAGCAAATACAGACCCTTTTAAGAGGATCGAGTATCGTCCAGACATGAAAACCCACATAAATACAGTAATGTCATTATAAAATTCACTGTTATTGCCATCAGTTACATTCTTGAAGGCTCACAGTCAGCTCAGTTTTTAGCTCCACGGCAATCCATGGCAATATAAATCTAGATAGAGCACTGATATTGGACAGGTAATTGTATTGGCAGGTACCCAGAGTAACGGAACGACTGATTAAAGGTCTTGTTACCTGTATACATGACTGGTGTAGTTGGGTGCATTGTTTCAATCATTGCTTCTTTGCTAAATGAGTCTGTCTTATAGTTGCAAGTAAACCATAGCATTCATTGTGTCTCCAGTCACCTGGTCCTCATGCAGTATTGCCCCCCCCTCTCCAGTAGCTACAGAAGCCATCAGTCTGCGTGAAGGTGTTGATAAGCAGCATGAGCTGAGCCTGTGTTTCCCAGCCTTCTCCCTTTAAGTGAATCTAATCTGCCTTACCTCTCCAAGTCCAACTATTAGTTTGCTATTAATAGGCTCAGGCAGAGCAGGGCTGTGTGGCTACCCTGTGCATGACACCGTGAGCCTTGCTAGCTGCGGCTTAAAGGCATCAAAACTTGTAAAGCAGCAGAAACATGCTCTCTGCATTTGTAATGTTTATTATCAGAAATAATTCAAGCAAAAAAAGCAAGGTGAGGTCTTCATGCAGCTGCAGCAGTGCAGTCTGAGATGTTTTGCCTCAGCCACCACCCTGGATACCAGCCTAACTTAATTAGCTGGTTGAGCCATTACAACAAACTATAAAGAGACCCACCCTCTCTTGAAACGTTCCCACGGATTAACAGGTCAATACCGGACACTATTTTAGTGTTCAAGCTGAGCATGAAACCAGTGTTTCAGGAACTCTGTCATTTGTCTGGCAGATATTTTCACAGTGTGTCGCAGTGCTGTTTATCCGCTATCGTTGTCTGCCGGTGCTAATCTGTGTGCTCTCTGTTGTCTTTTCTCACCCACAGAGCGGAGAAAACAGAAGTCCTCAGTGATGACCTCCTACAGGTAAATCATTAATCTGACTGTAGAGCTCCGACCAGCCCTTTTCACTTAAATGGCTGCATCTGTTAGGTAGTGGCTGCAGTTACACAGACGAGTTATTGCCCCTTCGTCATCTGTTTAAATGTGACAATAAGCAGTCAGGAAGGTGTTGCGTTAGTTACATTATGGTACCAAGGTTTAACAACCTTAACAACCTTAACAACAACACAAACAATAAAAATATTAAAGGTGGGCTATGTGATTCTGGAGAAATCCAGTACCATGACAAATACCGTGATGTAGAGTGAACAACAATAGAGCAAGTGATAGAACTAAAGTTGTGGGTTAGCAGATTATTGTTACAGTTGCTGATGTGAAGCTAACATTTAGAGAGGACAAGACTATTTCCCAGAGCCAGCACACCAGCTCCAGACAGCGACTCTCAATTCTCCATGTGCTACTATAGCTAACATCAAAACAACAGCAGGACTTGGCAAGTAATTTAACATACCTGACACTAGGGCTGGGTGATAAAAACATTACATATCACTCGATATTGATAATTCTCACGATATACGTTTCATTACATAAGTTTAAAGGTTAATTTTTAAGTAGTAAATCTTTTTTCATTCCCTTTTCCTCAACAAAATAAACATCTTAATAGAAAAATTAAGCGCTAATTTGTTCGTGATTCTAATTAATTAAATCAAATATTTATTGACGATATATTGAATATTCGTTAGATTGTTATTGAGGAATATTATATTTCGATAATAATCATCTTACATTTATTCATTTAGTTGACGCTTTTATCCAAAGCAACTTACAATTGCTATACATGTCAGAGGTTGCACGCCTCTGGAGCAACTAGGGATTAAGTGTCTTGCTCAGGGACACAATGGTGGATGGGCCACAGTGGGGGATTGAACCCGCACCTCTTACACCAAAGGTATTTGTCTTATCCATGGCGCCATCACCACCTCATTATTTTTTTTATTGCCAAGCCCTACCTGACACACACAAATCAGGGCTGGAATAGTGTCGTGTAGGAAGATTAGCTGAATTTGACATAAAGACATCCATTGGATTAGAATTGCATACCCCACCTTTAAATGTTAAAAATATGTGACCTTTATAATTGTATGCAGGTGAAGTTACGTTTAGATTAATTTAAATTGTTCCTGTCATGTTGGCACTGACTAACTTTAGTTCACTTACTCTCAGTGACAAAATGACAGAATAGCAGAAACTGAGCTTGTGCCTTGTCATGTGCCATTAAGATATTTTTTCATGCTAGACAATTCCAAGGCCATAGGAGGTCATTTGACTAATTAGTCCCTCCCCTTTACTTTTAGGTGTGTTAATCTTTGACAAGGCTTGGTGTGGTTTGTAGTTGGAATAAAAACATTATGCAGTGTAACTCTCCATGAAACCATTAAATGATAAAACTCATCTGCTACACCTCTGCATTGACTTGACTTTGACAGGAAAGAGTCTAATTGAAGCTGAAAGTGCAGCTGGACAATGCGCTGACCAAGCTCCAAAGTATGCAAGTTTCATGCCAACCAAAGAGCAGCTGATATCACTTATTACATCCTACTCTCTGGTTGAGGATTGCTAATCAGTGGGTTCAGCTGGTGTAGCGCTTGGTTTAAATTAAGACACGCAGACTCTTGGGACTGTTGCTGATACATGGTTGAGCAGCACATCCGTAGTAACAATAAGGGTTCAACAAGCTGCACAGAGGTCAGTAGCTGTGGATGTATATAAGCTGGGCTATAAAACTCTATAAAGCCGAGACCAAATACTGGCTGTTCAGCAAAGACGTTCCAGCGATGAAGAATGTCTTTGTGTTTGAATGGGATGTGTCATAGATGTTAAAACAAACACCTGATTTGCATTACTCCCCGAGAAGAGTCGAGGCCACAGTGTCTGAAACCCTTCAGTCTTCTTCTTATCATTATTCTTCTCCCCCACCCTCTTTTGTAGCCGGTGTATGGACCTTTTAAAAATGGATTTGAGTGACAACCAGAACATCAGAGTTAGATATTAGAGCCAGCATGAGTTGCTGTAATGCAAGTGGACAAGCACAGAAGAACAGCGGTGACTAACCACTTAGGGAGCTTTTCACTGAAGAGAGGACGTTAATTTCTGACAATGGACTTTCACTGGTCCTCAAAGACACAATTGTTCTGCTCTTCCTCTCTCTGGAAATCAGCCGATGAGACTCTGTGGGTTCTGTGTCTCACTTCATAGAAACATTACTGTCTTATAAAAGAAAAAAGGAGTACGGGATGAAGAGAGAGGAATCTCTCATCCCCTTAGTTCCTGAGATGGCTGTGTTGCTCCTCAACTCAGAACAAAAATTCTTAGTTTATCCTTTCGATAATGGAAAACCCATTTACTTTCATTTCGTTTTTGCTCAAAGGAAGGCCACTTCTTCTGCTACAGATAGTGATTTTCTATCATTTCCCTGCATGGTTTTTAACATTTACATCTTGTGTCTGTCCTTGGCCTGCACTCTGCCGTATTCTCAGCCTCTTCATCTCAAGCCCTCTTTTTGAATATGGTCCTCCAGGGGGCCAAAGAGCCACTCAGTATTCTTGTGCCAGCTGTCCATTCTTTGCTGCTCCCCTACATAGCATCTCGTCCACAGGGGAGTGTACCACAGACATGGTCCGGAAGTGCCTGCTTGCACACACTCTTTTGGTTGTATGTAATAATTGAGTGCATTTTATAAAGTAGCAACCAGTTGTTTTGAACACTTCTGTCATCCCTAATGCAAACAAAGAGTATCTTGTTGCAGTGGCCCGCTGCGTAATTCCGCCCTTAATGCATCATATTACTTATTTTTGTTCATTCTGGACTTGTCCAGACATGTTAACATCCTTTCTCTTAGGAACCAATAAACAAACACAAGCAGACAGACAAACACCCTCAGTCTTGTTTTTTCCTCCCTGTCTATCCTGCTTGGTATTGGGATTCCCTGCTCAATGACGCGTCATGGGCTTGACCAAGTGTTAACCTCATCTCATAGCAGGAGGAAAAAACACACCCTGCTGCCTGCCGGGTGGACTTTTCCAGCTCCTCTTGGCCCAGGTTTCCCCACTCCTCCGCTTATTAACTTTTTTGACTGTATGGTATTGTGTGTCTAAATCCATTTTGGTACAATGAAAGGAAAAGAAATACTCCCAGTGGCATGTAAACCAAACATTTCCAATACACCCACGCAGGAACGTCGTCTGTCTTAAGAGTACAGGGAGGGAGTCCCCTCCTTGTTTTGTGCCAGGTATCAGGCACTAACAGCGCTGAGTCTACCAAGTGTTCCCAAGCCTATAGCCTGTGGAAGCAGGGTGTGCGTTTGTGTATGCATGTGCGATTGTGTGAGTTTGGTAAGTTTGTATTTGACCCAGCTGTTTTGGGAATGCCGGGGGCCACCATGGGTCGGGAATGACGTAAGAGCGCGTGAATGGTGGGAAAGGGGCGTGAGGGGGGGGGGCTATGGAGGCGGATATCTGCTGTGGAATTCCTGAGTTCCGACTCCATTCTGTTTTTGGAACACAATTGTCTGGTATTTGGTTGATCCTCCCTCCATTTCTGCTCATTTTGCCGTTGAGACCTCAGTGTTCCCGTTTATCTTTGAAACGTTGTTTGTCCCGACTATTTGAGTACATGTTTGTGGCTTTGAGAAACTTACAGACTCCCACTTTCTGTTGTCACTTGCTTTTTAATTTTTAAATATACAGAAGACATACCTCTTCTATTTGAAATTGATGCATGCAATCTCCTTTTGACTTTCTCACAAGCTCTGCCAACTCAAAGCAGTTCTTTGCATTATCCAACTGTGTTGGCCGGACTTCTAAGTAGGCTTGAACAGTAACTTGCAATCATCAGTTCTATTCATGGGCTAGCGACAGCCAGCCTAATGTTGACACTGACTGTCCCAGTCAGGCACCTGGCATGACAAGGACAGTGAATAGTCATCCTGCAGAGCTTCAGTTGACCTCTGTCCTCAAGCCAGCATAGCCGTGACTTCCATCAATGACAGTATTATAGCTTGTCAGGCTAAAAGCACAGAGTGGATCTGTGTAGTTAGGCCTGCAGACAGGAGAAAGCCTGTGTAATCAAAAAGACCTTTTTAAAGCCGAAGAACCCCTCGCTCTCGGCCACAGCCCAGTGGCCGTTGCTATAAAGACACTTCCGATGAGTCATGTGTTTCAAAGATAACATTCCAGCGTTGTTCCGCAGAGACGGGCCCCATCAATCATGCATGGACTTTGACCCCTGGCTCTCTGCATGAAACTGGTCCTCATCAGGCATCAACAGTGCAGACACACTGTTGTGTTGGTTTATGGATATAAGTTAATGGTGGTGATGTGAGTAAACAAAAGTTCACATGCGGATTGTGGTAATAAAGACTTGTAGTCATGTGTGTGTTGTTGTGCGCTTGTACTGTAACACAGAAGTTCTCAAACAATCAAGGAGCCCAAAACTAACAGAAATTAGACCACGGACGTCCATTTGATAAGTTTTAGTCCCAGGGCCCCCCCCCCTACCTGATGGGATTTTTTGCTCTTTAGATGTTTTATTACAGAAAGTGTTTGACACCCATAATTAAAAAAGTCATATTCTGGCATTGATAACCACTGCGGTAACAAACACGACAAGATGTAGTCCAGTCCAAGTTCTTGATCTTATCAAAATTAAGCTTGTATTGTTAATTTTAAAAGTTTCTACAACCAAATGCTTAACTTTGAACTAGATATACTAGTCATCTAACCTGCAGCTTATACTTAATAACCTATGATGTGTTGATGTCTTGTATGTCTTGTCTTATGCTCAGATTGAACGGCGCATGGAGTTGGTGCGTGTGGTGTCCCACAACACACACAAGAGGATGGTGTCATGTCTACAGGGACACATCGGTGCAGAAGCAGAGAAGAGACATGTGAGACATTAAGCGTGTGACAATAGCTTCAGTTTACCTGTTTAAGAACAAACTAACCAGACCAATCAGCTGTTCCAGGATGTTTCATAACTTGTGTCATAATCACCCCCCCCACACACACACAGACACAAATTTTCAGTTCTCACTGTTTTCATTCAAAGTGTCCTCAGTAGACCTACAATCCATGATTTGTCTTTTGTGTTTTCTACCCCACACCACCCAAAAATGCACCACAGTCCGTACCACGCCTCTATACAGGAAATGGTCAGGTAAAAACACTGGTTACTTATTCCACCTCTCTGGTTCTCAGCACCACTTGCTCCATTTCCCATTCAGACATCTGTCATCTTTATTCACTATGCATGACACTTTTGCCTTTGGGATTCTCCAGTTAAAAACAGGATGTTGAAAAACGTAAACGTTTTGCTCAAATGTGAACTGTATGATAGTGAAAATAAGCTCCAGTGTTGTCCTTTGATAGACGTCTCACTTCCCCAGTTTGCATCTTAATTCCCATTTAACGTCTGTACTTTCCTCTTTTGCTTAGAAATCTCTCTTCCTCTTCCTGACTGTGATTTTACTGTTGACCTGCTCAATGGAAAGTCCGTAATGAATTTTCCATTGGCTACTGAAGCTACTGTGTACCTACATGTCTACTTGGTGTGCATGTATATAGTTTCATGTAGTTTAGATCTCAACAAAAGTCTAATCATGCCTGCATCTGTCCCTCTTCTGCACACACATGCCACAGAAAAAGCTTCCTCTGACTTCACTGTCCCAGGCGATGGTGGAAGGCGGAAACCAGTTGGGAGAAGACTCCTTGATAGGGTAAGTTTGTGATTGATTGACAGGCCAAATAACCAATTGCTAATCCTTGGCAACTGTTGCTAATAGAGTGGATGCACCCCAGAGAGCGTGAAATATGAGGCCATCCATCCAGGGCAAGAAATCTCCCCTTTTTGGTTTTCTGTTGAAGGAGCTTTCAGTAGTTCCCTTTTTAAATGAGATTCAGTATCATCCGTTGTAAGTGAGACCAGACAGTTGGCAGTTGAGGATCTAGAAAGTGAATGTCTCCGAATCTGCACAGCAGCCATGTGTCTGTTTGGAAGTAATGAGGAAGGGAAAGTACGTCAGATCTTCTGCTAATAATTGTGATGCGTTCATGGCGGCTGAGTGTATTGTTCTTTTTTGTGTTCCAAGGCTTAGGGGGTTCATTGCTGAAAACACTCATTCATGATCAGAGATGAGCTGTCGCTAGGCCACTGTGTGCTCCCGGGTTTGGGTTGCTAGAAATGATGGCATCACAGTAACCTGGTTTTGCTATCCGTTATTGACTAGGAACAGAGGACGAGATGGTGGCACAGATTGTCATCCCTATGTGTTGTTGATGTGTGATTACACTGCAAGTAGCAGACCTCACATCCTCACCTAATTGTGCTGATGTGATAATGAGGCATAAATATGACTATGTTGTAAATGTTTAACACCCTCTCTCTCTCCCTCTCTCTCTCTCTCTGCTGATGCATGTGTTAACAGGAAGATGATGGAAGTGTGCGGCGACGCAGAGAACCGCCTGGCATCGGAGTTGATGCAACATGAGCTGCAGATAGAGAAGGACGTTCTGGATCCCCTCAGCCAGCTAGCAGAGGTAAGAAACCTCACACCTCCGGGATGTATAACACAGTAAGTTACGTTAAGTGCACACCCCTCCTATTTGCTTTCTTTGGTCTAATCATAGTGGAATAAAGTCTGTTGGGCTTACACTGCCCAGTTGCAAGGGAACTAGAGCTTTCGAGAAAAGTCGCAAGTGTGTTCCACATTAGCTTGTTCTGGTTATATCATCCTGTGAGGTTGGAGAAGTCCAAATAAAACTGATGCCAATCCTGGTAATATTAGCTAAACATAAGGGCCATTACAGGCTGTAGTTTTCCATCTATTTTTTTCTTTTCATTTTTTTGTGTGCAAGTTTTCCAAACATGAGAAGCTATTGGCTATAAGACATCTGTATATTTGTGCCCATGCACCATGCTTTGTACAACAGCTAAAGTTGTTACTCTTAAGTAACTGCACTGCTGTTTGGTTTGGAAGAGATCAAGACCTCCATTTACAGGTGTCTCGCTGTGAGATTTTTGTGCTATTTATGTGTAAATGTAATTCTTATCACCTACTCAGCAAGCTGAAATAAGAGTAAATGCTTCAAGAGTTTGGATGAAATATTACAAACTTGCAAACATATTTGTATTATTTTACTTTTAAATAGGGGTTTTAACAAGATCTCGCACCACAAGATATTGTGATATTAAAAATATTTCTCGTCAAGGTGAAAAGCTGTCTCATGATATCAGCATAACGGAGTGTTAGGGTGAAATTAACATAGAAGGTGCCCTCGCCACCTCTAAATTGTTTGTGTGCCAGCATTTTGGGTACCCGGTGGAAACAATAAACACTGACAGAGTGACAGACAAGAGATGACAATATGTAAGCAACATATCAAAACGCACCTGCATTGTTTTGCATTTTGTGACTTTCAGTCAAATAAAAGACCATTTTTCCAGTCATGTATTTATCATTATATCAATGAAGATTTCTAAAAATGGTGTTAAATAAAATATCATCTCGTTCTCGTGGACACAATATCGTGTATCGTCTCGTCTCAGGAGCTAAGTCTATCATCACCCCCCTACCGTTAAAAGTTCTTAAGATAGTTATCCAGGAAGAACATTTGCACCAACAATCGTCAGCATTTTGACATTCTAACTTCTCAGGCTTATTCAACTTGTGTGTGTTTTGGATATAATTTTCGTAGGTGGACATTCCCAACATCCTGAAGCAGAGGAAACAGCTGGCCAAACTGGTGCTGGACTATGATTCTGCCAGAGCAAGGTTTGTCTGTCCACACTCTCTTTCATCATGTTATGCGTGTTGAATTTTAAAGCCGTGTGAAGTGATGCATCCAGACCATACCTGAAGGAAACTGGTGACCAGAGTAACAATTTTTTAAGACTTAAAACAACTCTACTTAAAGCCAACTCACTACTGACTCATGGCAGCATTAGTCCTGACTTTTCTATAGTGTAGTGTACCACAGAGGTCGTCTCATCCTGTTTTCCCCCTGTCTTTTCATACTCAGATGGTTGCAGGCAACCAAGTCAATAATCTCAGGAACAAACACTCAAGCACTGACAGCCAAGGCTGACCTACTCAAGGAGGAGATGGATGAGGCCATGAACAAAGTGGAGCTTTGCAAGGTAACCGGCATGGGTGTAGATGACCAGCCATGTACTGTCTGGATTACATTGCGGTCATGTCATGGAAGAACGATACAAGGTCATGGTTCCAGCGATAATAAAACCTGCTTGACGTCATGATATGCAGAGGACAGATTTTTAGTAAAAGAAGACCGTTAATAAGGCTGTTCTCCAATCCAGCTTCATACACTGGTAGAAGAATGATTGAGTATGCCAGAAGTCATTTATGGCCTTATGAGTTGGAGAAACTGCAAATGGGCCTCATCAGAAGTTTAAAATGGGGAGGGAAAAAACAAGCACAGCAACAACTGGAATTCCCAAGGCCCTCGGGCCCTCTGACCCAGTTCGCTGACGCACACAAATAACTTAAAATGCCCCGTCAGCTCAGTGTGTGTGTTTGCATCTACCGAACTGAATCACTGGTGAGTTTTAGTGTGTAGTGGCTGTGTGACGTGTCAGGTCCCGTCCAGGAAGCGCAGAGCCTTGTGTTTCCCCTTCACAAGTCCTCCTTCCCAGTCTCACTGAGTCCTGCCAACAGCAAGGAGGATTTATGACTCACGCAGCACACAGACTAGCGGCTTAGCTGACCGCTGACGTCTGTCCTAGTGCCACCTGGAATACACCATTCATTTGATGGATGATCCTGTGTAGTGGAGATGGAAGATCTTTAATGAATTAATAAGAGTTTGAAGCATCTCTTTGTAAAGCACATTGTGATTTCTAACTACATAGTGAGTATTCAGATTATGGCTATCATCTTTCAGTGCTCTAACACTTCCTGTCTTTATCATCCAGGATCAACTCGCTGCAGACATGTACAGTTTTTTCTCAAAAGAAGGGGACTATGCCCGCTACTTCGTAACAGTGAGTACAGCGTGTCAGCAAGCCAAACATGTGTTTCTGTGGGAATGTTCACAGCTGCAGAGGAACTGGGACCCAGACTTGGCCAGCCATTTTATTTACTTTGCTGTCATGTCTTTTACTGCTCGTCTTAATCGACTCACTCCCATTGATTTCTCGTTTTGTTTTGTTTCTGTAGCTCTTAGAAGCTCAAGCTGATTACCACAGAAAGTCTCTCACTGTTCTGGAGAATGTCTTGCCAACCATCCAGGCTCAGCAAGGTAGTAAGACATGCAAAAATGCCACACAGCAGTTAAACACAAAACACTGCAGCGTTTTAATGTTTTGTTTCTTTGCATATTCCTTGGTGAATTCACATGTGCCTTTTGACAACCCCTGTTTTTCAATGGTTCCTGTGTTGTTTGGTGTGGCCCTTTAAACAAACCCTTTCCTGTTAGACACTGGAGAAGTTTTAGGAGAACACTTACTTATTCACTCTTCCAAATGGCTTGAGAAATGAAACCAGCTACTGTATCTTTCAGTTATATCACTGGTCTGTTTTTCTAACTTCTGGAGTACCAGAAGTTGCCCCAGTGGCGGTAATTGTTAAAAGGCCACAACTGAGGCCCAGATATTAAAGAATAGTCCTTTGTCTTCACCGCTTTGCCCTCAAAAAGTAGTCTAATTTTCCTCTATACAAACATAATGTCTCCTCTCCAGTTTCCTTCACTGGGTTTTTGTCTTTCTTGCAGTCGTAAGGCTGCGTCTTCTTCAAGGAGCTTGTGTTTTTTTCTGTACTAAACATGTGGTCTAAACCAGACAAGCCTGGTCTCCCAGCATGTGGCGATGACTCACGAACTCCACACAAACACCCCCACCCCTTCTCACATCACACCCACCTGGGTTTTGCACACCGTCTCTCCCTGTTCACTTGCGCACACACACACACACAAACAAAAAAACATGTCTCGCTAGGAGCCTATGTGGTTATTATTTGCAGGTACCCTTTGGGGGAAGTGAGGACTGGTTAGGATCTGGCCCACAGGAAATTTCTTGACCCAGAAATCTACCATCCAGACCAGCAACAGTCCTTAGCCAGTGCTGTGTTGTTTTTATTTAATGCATACCAGCGTGACAGACAGGTCATCCACAGAATCTGTAACAGCTTCATTACAACACTTGTTTTTAGCTGTCTTCAGATTTGAAACCGTGTGAATGAAATGTTGGTGTAGTGTTGACCGTCCCTCTCTCTTTGTCTTTAGACTCGTGGACGGAGAAGCCCGCTTTTGGCACTGGGCTGGATGAACACCTGAAAAGGAGTGGAAGGGAGATCGCCTTGCCAATAGAGGCCTGTGTCATGATGCTTCTAGAGACCGGCATGAAGGAAGAGGTAAGGTGAAGGGAAGGAGCGAGGCGGGGGGGGGGGGGGGGGGGGGGTCAGAAGGGAAGAGTGAAAGGAGAGTCTCCCTGTTCGAAGCATCCTGCATGATTATTCAGCTGTATGGATAGAAAGGCTGAGCCATTGATCTGCTGTGTGAGTCAAATCAAATTGAATTGGATTATCCTCACCTTCTGTAAGATGTGTGCAGTTAGAGACTGAAGAAAAAAAAAGAAAAGGAGTGCCTTGGTCATTTCACATTACTATCATATGGGTGAGTTATAACATGACAACCTTTAACCGTGAGATGTGTGTAGTAGCCAAAAACTGATGAATGCACCATGTAAATATTGATGTATAAAGTCAGATGTTTTGAACTTTAAATGATAACCGGCAGAGACTTTCGGTCTTTAGAGGTCGCTTCTAAACACCAAGCTAATCCCCCTCCCGGCCTTGTCTCGTCATACAAGTAAAAGAAGTGCTGGCGTAGCTCATTAAAAGTCTGATGGGGCTGTGGCTGCGATTAGCGGCTCCACTGGCCATTGACATAATTGAAACCAAGCTGTTTGTTCACATGAACATCTTAAGATTCAAGGCGGATAGACACACTGTAAACAGGGGAAACTCCTGCGTTTCTGTAATGCTGTTCCAAGGAAAGCGTCACCCGTTATGCTGCATTGGTGATTTATGAAATGTTTGTGATGTCCCCTCCCAGAAGCAAATTTAGAATACAATAGAATCTACTTGTCTCCTGTCCATAAATCAGATGCCTTTGTGTGTGTGTGTACGCAAAAAGAGCTACAGAGAATGCAAGTGTTAAATGCTTTGCACATTCCCTGGTGAGTCTGTGTCATTATGGTGTGAAGACAGCCTTTGTTTATGTGTAAAAGCAAAGATCTTGCTTTGCTGTGAGTGGTGGGTGTGTTTGTTTGCCTGCTTTAAGGTTTCATTATGTGCAGCTGGTAGGGGGAGTTTGTGTGGCTTCATACAGAGGCTATCTGTAATTGAGTGTTAGAAAAGTGTGTAGGTTTCAGTGGTAGCACAGGGTCTTGTGTGCACATTGAATGCCTGCGTGTATCTTTAGTTTGCTGGCGACGTTACCGTGGTTTATTTGTCTTTGTGTGCTTGTGTGTCAGGGTCTGTTCAGAATTGCAGCAGGGGCATCCAAGCTCAAAAAGCTAAAGGCGGCACTGGACTGTTCCACGTCACAACTGGAGGAGTTCTACTCTGACCCCCACGCTGTCGCTGGTACGTCCCAAACCAGAGCTGTTTTTGAATTTCTTGGTATATTACTTGGAGTAGTTCTCTAACTCATAGTAATTTAAAATCCCAAAACAAGTAAAATTGTGTTTCTTGAATAGGAATTCTCCCTCTGCAGTGACAGACTGATCCCCCAGGTGCCTGGAAAAGTGTCTTAAATATCTCAAATATCTGTGTCTCTGTGTTTTCAGGAGCACTGAAGTCCTACCTGAGGGAACTCCCTGAACCTCTAATGACCTTCCAGCTTTATGATGAGTGGATCCAGGCATCCAGGCAAGGCTCATCACATTATCACTGGGAATAAAATGGACCAATATCGAATGGATCTGGCACTGTACAGCCGTGAGAAATAATGTGGCCATCTGGAGACTGTCCTTTGCTTTAAATACATTGTTCATTTTCCATCTTTCCAGTGTGTCAGACCCAGATAAGAGGCTCCAGGCACTCTGGGTTGTATGTGATAATCTACCAAAGAACAACAAAACCAACCTGAGGTCAGTTGAGCGTGAGAATCGTCTTCTGTTGCCCGAGATATTGTTCCCACCTGTGTTCATTAATTCCCATGTTTTCATGCAGGTATCTGGTGAAATTTCTCGCCAAACTGGCTCAGGACAGCGAGGTGAACAAAATGACCCCTAGCAACATCGCCATCGTCCTGGGACCCAATCTGCTGTGGGCCAAAACTGAGGGGTGAGAGGGGTGCTGGTACAATAAGACATGATAGTAACTGTTTTAAACAAGGATCTCTGAGAAGATTCTAGTTCAGGGTACTGGAGAGGAATTCTACAGTCTGTTATTTTAGCTTACTTTAGCCACTCATTATGTGAGAAAGCACCTAATTTTTGCTCATCTGTATGTGTCCGCCCAGGACTCTGGCTGAGATGGCTGCAGCTACCTCTGTGCACGTGGTGGCCATCGTGGAGCCCATCATCCAGCATGCCGACTGGTTCTTTCCTGAGGGTAGGTTCTGGGTCTGCAGCACTTATTTTCAGTCACCTGCTCTGTTTTTCTTTGTAGGCAATCAGGGCCTGTTTTTCCATCAGGGATGAACGGTGAATACGATTTATAGTAACTGCCCAGTAATGCAAGGATTATACTTTCTGCGCCCGCAAGTACGCGAGGGTCCGCTAGGGTCCGCGTGACGGAAAAATTGTCATCAGAGGGGGTATGCGTAGGGTCTGTGCTGATGTCCACGTGCCTCCCGTTTGACTGCGTGGACCTGGCGCAGACACGACTAGAGCTACCCCAGGGCACCAACCAATCTACTGCGTATGTGTGGAAAGTGTCTGCCAAGCTGACTGCAGAAATTAGTATAAACAGAAGTAGCCCGCATCCACGGGGTCCGCAGCTGTCCGTGTCGGCTCCTGAGTATATTCAAGGCTTAAGAAAGGAAGAGTCAGCAGTAATCAAGCTCCAAAGGACCAAGATTAGAGTCACTGCGGTGTCTGCCCTGGCTCAAACTGTGGATTGTACTGTAGAGGTCAGCTCGAATGAAAACATACAAAACAGATGTCAGGGATCCTTAATTCAACTTGTTATGTTAAACACACGGCAAATCAAATGAGGCAAGTGTAAATGAAGATGTGGATAGAAACACAGCCCCTCATTAAAAAATGTATCCTTTTTCAAGATATTTTCCATAAATTCAGTTTGTTTGTAATCACCATTATTGGAAAAAGACTTAGACTAAACTTTTGTACGTTGATCTCAGGGCTGTAAATTCCAAAAATCCAAATCCAAACATTGCATTATTGTCACGGTTTAACAAGCAGGTTAACCGAAGACAGTCTGCCTTTAGTATCTGTATCTGTGTCAGCATGACTGACCGTCTCTGGTTCTTATACAGAGCGAGATGATGGCTCAGTGGCTTGAGATTCCTTTCACAGTCACTAGATTTCAGACTTTCATTTGCGCGTTGGTATGAATCTGACCATGACAGTGTCCCGTGTGGGATGGACTGTTGGCCTGTGGAGGGTGGTGCCATCCATTCACTAGATGGTCTCCCAAGTTAGAATAAGGAAAATGTAATGGAAAGGAATGAAGTGTGTTATTGTCAGTAAAGATAAAGCGGAATATGAGCATCTCTTATGACTTGACTACCAGCCCACTTTTCATTTTGCTATGCTGGCTGACTGATGTCAACTCCTCTTACCCATAAAACCTTGTGTTTCGGGGTTGTTTTTACTGATTTTGGTTGGATTACAAACTGCATAACAAGCCACACCATGGCTCATTCGGTTGAAGACCCACGTGGTCTAGTGTTTAATAAGGTTCCATGTTCCTTTAAACTAGTAGTATAGAAATTTGCATCGGTAAGTCTTGCCTTCTCTGTTCCTACAGACGTGGAGTTCAATGTGTCCGGCATGTTTGCGATGCCTACACCTGCGTCCAACCACAACAATCATCTTGACTATGACTGTAGCTCCATTGAGAGGAAGAGGCCTGGCAGCATGGTGGGACCAGAGAACGACACAACGCGCAAAGACAAGTAATCAACCTGGAGTTGCTTAGTACAGTTTCCTCGTAGACCACCTTTCTCTGGCTCACATGTGTTACTTACTCCAATTAATGGCTTTGGGAATAATTTGCCTTTAATCCAGTTGCTTTTTCTGAACCCTGTCTTATGCTTCTCGTAAGTTTTGGGGTTGATTTGGTAGGATTCTTTTAGTATGATTAACACTTGTTTTTAATGACTTCTCGCTGTGTGCTCTGGGGTTACTGATCTAATTTGTGACTTTGACTCTGATCAAAGCTTTGGTGTTTGTGTTTTTCTCCTGTCTCCCTGCTCTCCCCGGGCAGCACCCCTAACAAGCACTCGGACCACACTCTTCGTAGAGGCAGTAACACCTTAGGTAGAAAGCAGCACACCTCACCTGCCTTCCAGCCTCCTTTACCCCCTGTAGAGGCTCCAGGGCAGGGGCACGGGGCCGGGCAGCTCTCCCAGCCCTCGGCTGAGCCCCAGCCCCAGCCACAAGCTCCATCAGGGGGTTCAGGGCCTGATGCTTCCCAGCATAGCTTGGCGCAGGGTTTGGCTGCTCTCACAGCCGCTCAGCAGCTTCTAGCCCAGCACACAGAGGAGCTCAGGTAAGAGCTGCTTCTCTGCATCTCTGCTGCTGGTGGAGAATGAGACAGCATGCTATACAGACAGACCGACATGCTTTCAGTGTTGATGTTGATGGGAAGACATTACGGCTTTCTCTGTGAACAGATGAGGTCAGCATCATTGGCTTTGTGAAGTATAGTGGGTTATTAATGCATGTTTCACTGGTATCTCGCAGACACACCCTCTTCTTGTGGTCACTATGATTCAGCTAGTTGTTTTTTCTAGCAAAACCACAAGTTTTCTTACACCGCCACCATTTCCAGCTATGCAGACTCGTCTAAGTTCAGCCCACAGACACAGCACAACAATGGCTGCGGTCATTCTGCTAACAGTCACTCGCAGGGCCTCTCGACTTCCCACCCCTCTGCTTTCCTCCCCAAATCACTGGAATCAGCAGGACCTACACACTAACTGGCCCAAACTGCTTTGAAAAGCCTGGACATTGGTGCCTGTTATGTAGCGACTGAAGGGTGTCTTTGATTTAGCTGGTGAAAGGACAACATTCATATCCAGACAGATAACACTATTCAGTTCAGCATTCTTTAGGTCCTACTCTGTTTTAGAGATCTGTGATGTTTATCAGTGTAGCACTTGACATGGTAGATAGGTCTGCTTTTAGCGCTAACCTTCAATAAATCCAGCAGTGGATGCTACTGTGTAAGTAATATCCAGAATTTCAGAAAGCTTGTTGGTTCAAAATACTTTGTTTTTCTTCTTCTTCTCTAAAGCAACCCAAAGCTACGTGACTTCACACCTGCTCCTACCCCTCAGCACCAGAGAAATGGCTCTGGAGCAGGGGGCCAACAGGGCACTGGGACCCCCGGGGCTGGATCCATGGGGCCCAGTCCGCATTTGATGCGCAGAGGTAAGAGCCTGTATAATGTTGTGGTACAAAGAGGTATTTCTTTAACTTGTCAGTCATCCAGATCACAAAAAGTATTAAGTTTAAAGGTTCAGTGTGTAATATTTAGGAAGATCTATTGTCAGAAATGCAATATTTTTTATATATATATATATTAAGTCTAAAAAGGTTTTTTTTCGGTCGCCGAGAGTTGAAAAATGTTCAACTTTGGGAAAAGTGCTGCGCTCGTCACTGTCACTTTTCTGTCACTACCCTACTTGCAGCACATCAGCTGGCAAAAAACGCTTTGGTGGACACGGGCCCTTACTCCTAAAACATTCCCTCTCTCACAGCTAGTCCAGACAGAACTGCTGATTTTCAGTTCACTGTCACATGCAACGTCCTTTAAAACAGAGAACTGATTCTGAAGTCTTTATGATCATTACCAAGCTAGACTTTTGTGTGGCTTCAGCCTACATTAATGAGCACATAAGGCTTGATGATTGTTGTGATTCCTAAATTCAGACAGAAGTTAAAGGTAGACCAAGCTTACAGCCATACTGTTTATTTGACCATTTACATTTTTGTCTTCTTTGGTTCTTAAAGAAGTAGGTCATTTTGGGAACCAGGCCGCCACATAAGCTCTTTAAAAATGGCGAGCTGTTGTATTTACACTAAACTAACGAGATATAAAATGTTTAATTAATTAGTGAGCTTTAGAGGTGCTGTTAGGCTGCTAGCTCCAGCTACATATTTACCGCTCACACTGAAGAGCGGTATTGAGCTTCTCCTCTAACTTTTATCATTCTATCTTTTTTTGTTCAATTTTAATTTTTTTTATTGTTATACTGTTTAATTTAGTTAATTATTTTAAATGGAAACTATTTTCCCACAGTTTTTAAGAAAGTTTTTCTTTATATTTCTGGTGTTAGTTTTATCTTTTCAGTGGGAGCTTTGTATGTAAAGCAGCTTGGCATAAACAACCGGTAGCATTCACAGATAGAAGTAGCACGTGTACTGTAAGACGATATGTTTATTTATTCCTCCAGTAATCACAAGATTCACCATCAAATTTCAGGTACCAAGAAGCAGGCTCCTGCTCCTCCTAAACCGTCAAACCCTCCACCCAGCCAGCCCTGTAATTCAGTGAACCCCGCCTCCTCCTCAGGCTCATCCCAGTCCCTCAGCCCCACTCCCAGACCGCTGTCCAGCCACTCACCCACCTCGCCCACCTCTCCCACCTTGCAGCCATGTGCCACACCCAGGCGCCACTCCAGCAACCAGCCCCCAATCCAGGCGCCCAGCCATCCACCTCCAGAGCCTCCAACACAGGCCAGCCCTCCGACACAGCCCGCATCCCTTGGTGGGGACCAGCAGAGCGCGGCCCCCTCACCCCCAGGCACCCCGACCCCTCCAGACACCCCTCCGCCTTCCACTGATGTAGTCGCTCCTCCGTCCCCGTCTCCCTACCAGTCGGGTTCCCTTCCCCGGCCGCGACCTGTTCCCAAACCCCGGAACAGACCCAGTGTCCCACCCCCGCCCCAGCCCACCACACCAGCCAATGATACCAATGGGATCTGTGCCACTGCTTACAAGATGATGGGTGAGCGCTTTACCTCAAAGAATTATTGCATGTACATGTTTGGCTTTTCCTGTTTATTCACTGCTCAATACTAATGTGCTCTCTTTCTAATAGTCTTGCATTGTAATACCTCCACAGGTTAAAGAGACACTTGTGAGAGGTTTGTTGTTAATTGACCTTTTCACTAGCTACTCCTGCACTTTTTGTTTGCCTCTAGAAATCATACCCATCAGCGCAGCCTGCTGCCTCCATCACATATCATTTACCTTAGCCCTGATGCACAACTGTCCCACTGTGTATCACAGTCCTGGGTGGCCATTTAGTAAGGGACCTATTTCTGATGTTTAATACCACTCACTTACATCTTGGACAAAGGATGAGGGTACAAAGGTGAACTGACAGTAGAGTATCATGTAGAGCTGCAATGATTAAGCGATTAGTTGTCAACTATTAAATTAATCACCAACTATTTTAATTTGTCCTGAGTAATTGTTTCAAGGTAAGACAGACAGAATTATCTGATTCCAGCTTCTTAGATGTGAATATTTTCTGGGTTCTTTACTCCTCTATGACAGTAAAGTGAATGGCTTTGGGTTGTGGACGAAACAAGACATTTGTGATTTGGAAAACACTGATCGACATTTTTCACCATTTTCTGACATTTTATAGGCTAAACAACTAATAGATTAATCAAGAAAGTAATCCACAAATGAATTGGTTAATGAAAATAATTGTCATTTTCAGCACTACTGGAAAAGATAATAAGTACTAGTTTATGGTCATAGAAGAGTACAGAAACCAGAAAATACCAAAATTCAGTACTTGCCATTGCCATGCAACTAAGTTGCTAGAAATGTGGTACAGTGTGCTCATTACAAAACAAAAAGTGTAAAAATATAGACACATATTTAAACACCCATCCTCTATCCCTTTATAACATATATATATACACACACACACACACACACACACACACACACACACAAAAGCTTACCAGTATATACCAAATAATCACATTTAAGAAGCAGGAATCAGATCATTTTGACTAATTAATAAATTATTAAAACATCTGGCGATTCATTTAATAATTGAGTTAACTAATCAATTAATCATTGCAGCGCTATTTTATTTACTTTTTATGTGTAGTTTGAAGATGGGCATTAAGACAAGTGAATGGAAACATCAGTTTGTCACCCATCTGTAAATGGATTGATGGAGTTTAATGAAATTTGCCACATCCTTTAAATTTTTTTTACACGCCAACCAACAGTAGCAAGTTCTTGTTCCATCCAGTGGATATATATTGTCAACAGTGTCTTAATTAAAGAGATCATATTAAATTCCAGAAATGGGTGCTTCCAGACATGTCGTCCATCGGGGCTATCGTTTTATCACGAGTCACTCATCTTCATTTGCAGTCACGGAAGTAATCATTCAGTAACACTGTAGGGGTTTGAAACCAAAGCAAATTCAGAACTGAATTTACAAACTGTGGTCATTTCAAACTCTCAGCTGTCTCCTCTGTTTTTGTTCTGTTTTTATTTTATTTTATTTTTTAAATGTGAAGCATTTTCTGTCACTATAGGTTTTGTAATGATTCAGAGGAGTAGTGTCATTGTATCAAGCATGTGTAACTCTGACATGCATGTTTATAACTCCGCTGTTCTTGTCTTGTCATTAACGTCCCGGCACATAGCTGTTTTGTGGAGCAGTGTAAAATGTAGATTTCCGACACCATTTTCTCTACAGTTGTGGTGATTTATTAAGAGCGGGTTCACCATACATCAAATGACCCGACACATGACATTTGCCATCCACTTTCACTGCTCGTCACTTATCGCTCACAGTCTCTGGCCAAACGCTGCCACCTGCTGTTCAAACATTCGCCCTGACTGTCTCGCTGCAGGAGCCTCTGCTGCTGTTTAAGCTTATGGAAAATATTACACAGCTGCATTGGATGGCATGATTGCAGCCGCTTTAAATGTTTTCATACTCCAGGATGGAGCTGCACGTGTGTCTGATTATGGCTGTTGTTCATATAATGTGGGCTTAAATGGTGTATTTATGTTTGCAGGATGTTTATGGAAGTGTTCTGTGTGAATGCCTGCATGCTTGAAAAACATATTACTTACTAACACAAACAGTGACTGAAACCATCATTTCTAGTTGATTTTATCATATTTATTTATAGATTCTGTGCTCTTTTGTAACATGAAAGCACATTTATGATAGCCGTCTCTGTTTGCTCTTTACTCTCCTCACTGTGCCTTGTTTTTCTCTTTTTGCTCTCTAGACCCGGCGGTGTCTTTCAAAGGGCTGAGTCGAGCTTTGGTCCCTGAGCTCGCTGTAGACCAGCAGCCAGCGACGGCCTCCTTCTCCTCATCTTCGTCCTCCTCATCCTCCTTCTCCCTGCCTCCTCCCAAAGACTGTGACCTGGACACTGAGAGCACTGTCCTATGAGGAGGAGACGGCGACACGCTCTGGTCCAGTACCCCCACGCACCTCCTCCCGTCACGCACACACCCCTCATTTAGTCTGCTCGTGTTTCGTCCCAGCCCATATCTGCATCCCTCCTCAGAGATATAAACCTCTGCTGTCATGTTCTCCCAGTCCAGTCTGTATGAAGGAATTTTAATGTGATATAATGCACCTTCTGGCAGCCATGATGGAGGTCCACAGCTCTTGGTAAACAGTGGCTATGATTGTAGATTGTGTTTGTGTGGTCATCGCAACGCAAATGAAAAGACAAGGTTAACGTGAGTTGACGCTTTGACAGGGAACAGCTCATTTGCCCAGTTATACATCTGACGTTTTATGTGGAATTTATTAGTATTTGTAGCCGCTGCTGCACACACAGCATCACTTTTCATTAGATTTCAGTCAAAAGCCCAAACTTACTACAAGTTATGTTTATATTAATTATGATTATCAGTTCATTTTTCAACTTGAATGTTTAAAGTTGAGTTCTGGGAAAGCGTGACATTTGTCACTATTGTTTTGACGCTTTATAGACAAAATGATTAATTGATAATCAATTATAATCAGCAAACTAAAAGTTCATTGCAGGCCTAGTCATAGGGCAAATCACCATATTGGACCACTTACTTTGACTTATAGTGTATTTAAAATGACCTTCAGCACAGTCTCATTTAGGTATCTCTCATTTTAAGCTATTAGCCGTTATTATTTAGTCCTCCTGACCTCCATGATGGTGCCAGATGTGCTCATGAGGACACTTGTGACACATAGCCTCTACACTGCAACACACACACCACCGCCACCTCTGTCTTTTATACTGCGCTCCCTACAAATCAAGCTCCAGACAATCAACACCAAACAGCAGAGGACCGCCAACGCACCAGTAACGTCGTCAGACAACTGTGTTAACGATGACTGTCCATGGAAGAATTGGTCGTGACGGAGCAGGAGGGGGAGGGGATGATGCCAAAATATGGACTGACGAGACTCGTTTTGGAATTTGGTGTGAAGTGTTTTGTATTTTTTAATGTTTAAAAAATGGTCTTAGAACAAGAAATAAAAAAGAAGAGTTATTTCTACAGCACAGGGGGGAAGGGGAAAATGTCAGCAGGTGAAGTAGAAACCAAAACTGTTGCTTAAAGTGTAGCTGGTGACTGCAGGTTTCCAGTCGTCTCAAACACTTGATTTACCCTTTCTGTATCTTCCCCCCCCCCCAAACCTGTATTTATTTACCGATTTAGAAACACACATTCCCTGTGGCTTGACATAATTAATGCAGTCTTTAAATGTAAATCATGCCTTATCGGTTCCTCACAGAACCACATTATAAGCATTATATATTTACTGTATGGAGGATATACTTGGCTCCTAGTACTACAGTATTTCCAAGAAGCTGTCTTGGCAACAAGTATGTTTCAGGGACGTAAGGAAGGTGATTTGACCCTCTGCTATAGAAGTCTTGTGGTTCTGTATTGTTCCACAGAAGTTGTGTATTTAAATGTGTTTTGGTTGATTTCTTTGGGTTTTATATCAGAAGTAGCAGGGTTAACCTCCCTCCAAGCCTGACCCCCCCCTTCCGTTTTTAACATCCATCCAGTGTATTCTCTGGCGTTTGCTGGGGCTTTAAACACAACGGGCTGTGTGTGAGTAATTGTACTGAAAGGACGATTCTTAACCAGTCTCTTCATCCTGAACAGAAAGACGCATTAACAGCTGATGTTGCACAGGCAAATGAGTGGTTTCCTAGTGAACTGGTTTGGAGGATTTTTCAGTCTTTCCCACTGAGCTGAGAGCACATTGTGATGTGAAACCTCAGTAGTGATGTGGTGTTAGATTTTTGCCAGGTCAAAATATTTAAAATATGCTATGTTGTATTTTCTGTGTAAGCTTTGTTTTTGTTTTTATTTTTGTTTTGGCCTCATGTAATGCAGAGATCAGTTCCCAGAGAACTGGCCCAAAATGGTACCAATGGAGAAAGTCTTGGATGCTGCAGTTGCCCTGAAAATGAGTTTAGCTTTTCAGAGACAATCGAGCATTATAATCCCCTCCTTGTTCTCTTTGCTCCTGTACCTCGCTGCCTTATCCCTGTGCATCAACAGAGCTTTGTATTTCAAAGCTCTGTAAGACAAACAAATGCCATTAAACTAGAAATGATAATGCTGCATTTTTAAGCTCCACAGTTTTGTATGTATGCTGTCTGGTGAGCTTAAATATGGAATAAAACATGTAATATGAATGCTTGGTTATACTCCCTTTCCAAAGAAAATAAAGTATATGAAGAAACTATTGAAATATATTAATGGTCTATATGTTTGTGTTCAGACAATAATGCCTAACAGCTGACTGACTCATGTACCTTATTATTAAGGCTGACTGGAGGTGCATTACTATTTATCAGAGATTTAGCAGATGGTCAATTCCGTAGTTACAGAAGATTTGGCAAAGAATAAATTAAGACAGAGGAAGCATCAGACCAGTGTTTTTTTTGCATGTACCAATAAGGAGCTGGGACTGTTACTGAATGTAACAGGGGAGTGTAGCGGCAGAAAGCAGACTGGAAGTCGTCGCAAAGAAAACGGAGACATGCACAGTAAAAGTGTAGGCAGATAAGTGTTATTTGCACGGTACAAAATATTTAAATAAAAATACCATGTCAAAAACTTGGTCAGTTGCATCATGTTTCTGCTTTGCAAGACCCAATCAGAGAGCCGAGCGTGAGCGGCTGCCCGTCTTCACCTCAACGTCCTCTGGAGTTTTGAAACGCAAAGCGGGGTCTGCAGCATTTCCGAACTTCTCCGTTTTAGGTCTTCCTTTTTGTCGTTTTAGTCTGGACGGGAGGTGCAAACCTAGGAAAAGGTCTCCGTTTTAATTTGAAAATGCAGTAGTGTGGATGGGTGCTTTCAGACCAAAAGGGAAGGGAGCGTTTGGGGCGGTGAGTTTAAATACAAAGTCAATGCAGAGACGCGTAGAGCCGCGATTTCCTGTCGGGCGGCGCGAAGGGGGCAGGGCCGGCGACGCCAAGTAATTCGCAATATTTTCAGCAGGGAGCAGCGCTGCAACCTTTGGACAAATAAACGCCAGTCCGTCTGGATTCTGCTCTGACAACTACACATTTACTCACGGGAGGAGCTCGGAGTAAACTGTTTTTATTAAATTAGCTTTTTACTTTAATTTTTGGGATTAGTTGATTTATCTTCACTGGAGCTTCTCAGCAGCTAGGTTCCGTGCACATCCGGTTCCAGTGTTGTTGTTAGCGTCGTTAGCTCTGTCGGACTGCGACTTCATATTTATATAAAAACCTGACAAAACTGGACATTATTTGGAGAAAAGAAAGCGAGGAGGTTGAACTACCTGGTGAGTTCAGAAAACATGTCTGTAACTTTATTCCAGCATTGTACTTTACTGTGACCAAGTTAGCATAGAATAGCCCTGATCGATCCAAACTCCATTCAGAAAACAAACATTTTAGAAGTTGTTGTCTTGCTGACAGACCTGACAAAGCATGAATTCATATGTTTAACAAATCTGCATCAAGTTGTAGTTATTTCGGTTATTGCTATTTAATCACAGCAAAATGTTTACTTTGGGTTCATACAGCTGTAGTAATGGCAAGTGGTGTTTATTCATGTTATCGCGTTAAAATCGCCTTCTCGCGTTGTGTGAACACTTGCAGGGAATGTACTCAACATAACATAATATAATAATTTCAGTCTGGACCTAATTGGTGTACTGACTGACTGACATTGTCATTCAAGCCACTCCACTTTGCGCACAAATTAATTATTAGCACCTCCAATGCTCCGTAGATTTTGTGTCAAATCCAGACCTAACATTGCTATATACAGTTTAGAAGAAATATTCAGGATTGTAAGATGATTATTATGCTTATTACTCATTAGTTTATAAAGTTGCTGTACTTCAATGAATACCAGGTACCTTAAGTGTTTGTATAAACATTAGAGATTCATCATGGGGCACAGATAAGTCAGACAGTTTTTACTTTCAAGCATGACATTTTATAGATCAAATTTGAAAGCATTGAACAAAACATAAAAGTCAAACAATCACAAAAAACATGAGCAGCTTCTCATGAAAACATATAAACAGTTATAAAAGGGAACCTGTAGGGCAACCAATAAATAAACCTAACTAGGCTAAAAGAAATGTATTTATTTTAAACTTAGATATCCACAGAGGGTAAATGCTACCAGCTGCACATCTTCATACATTAACTGCACCAACATGCAATTGATTTGGACAAGAAACACTGTTACTACACTTGTAGCAGCTAGGGTTGCATTTTTACGAGATCAGTCACCTCGTAAGCCTGACTAAAGCTGCGCATAAAGAATAAATAAAATGGTAATTTTCCTGATGACACTCCTGAATACAAAATAAACTAGGACTTGGAGGACACACAAGCAATACAAAATGATGAGCAGTGCATAGCAAAAACAGTAAATTTACAATCTCAACAATAGTTCATCAACATTAATACAACACAGCTACAGGTACACTGTACTGTAGATGAGTCGCGAGATCGCCATGACAGCCAGAAAAGCAGCAAATGACCATTTACAGTGGGATGTTTTCTTCCACATGCATTTGAAGTTCATTCATTCAGCAGCCACCCACTTGTATAAGCAGGACAGTGTTCACAAAACTCAGAGTGCACAACTATTAGCCGTCCTCTGCCAGAAGCACACAGCTCAGCCATTTCACATTAAAGCTGCCTTCTATCTTTCTGTACTGATACTAGTTGTCGTAAAAGATGTGCTATTCCACCCACACACTTTGTGAAACAGATGATTTTTGAGCCATATTTCACCATGTGCTGATGTAGTCAGTGTTACCTCACTGTGAAAGTTGCAATATTGTTCTGAATGATAGTTTTGCAAATTTGGATTTGACTAAGTCCTCACAGGCAGAAGAATCACAATGTTGATGCTGAATTGCTGATGACAAAGGACTCCAACCTGTTTAGAGGTTTCCTAGTTCATGTGCTGCAAACTGGCCTGATTGGACATATTTCAATGGCTGTTAATGCTCAGGATTGAGTCTAGTTGGGATGTGATGACTGGATTCTAAAACTCCATCTAAAAAAAGTAAATGAAAGTGGATGATGTAAGCATGTCTTCATCCTTGATCACTCTTGTATCGGGAGATGAAACTAAAGTTAACTCCGACAGCCCACTGGTTTCCTTGCAGTAAGGTGACTAATGTGATTTTTCAGTGGACTCCTTTCATTGTTGTCTAAAAGCAACACATGCTTAAAATTATGGAAGCCAAGTCAGGCCAAAATAATTTTAATTTCATAAGCAACTTACATAATTATGATTAAAAAAAAATCATATCACTACTGATACTACCAATGCCAGTAATTTTTGAATTATTGAAATATCTATTTGAATTCATTTGCTTTAAATTTACCTTTTTAAAAACTCTGTTTTAACAATTTCTAAAACTTTTTTCCACAAATATCAGATATTTTATATTCAGATATAAAAAAAATATGTGTCCTGGGTCTTCAGATGCTTATCTGAACTTTTTAATTTAGGTATCTGAATTTAAATCTAATTTAATTAACCTGATTTTTTGACCTAGCTTTAATTTTTAGATCTGAAAATAATTAGCTGAATATGAGCAACTTGAAAACAGTTTTCAAAAAATTCACTTTTTGAAGTTGCACAACTTGCGATACCAACTAGAATTTTCTAAGAGGGGAATGCAAGATATTTCCATTTCACTTTTAATATTAAAAATTCACTGGTGGCTAAATTCACAGAACTTTCCGTTGTTTAAGAAATATAAATCTTTATGGCTTTGTTTTGCTTCCATAGAAATGGTTAACCTTTAGAAATGTAATATGCAGTGTACTGCAAAGGACAGAAGTGAACAGCTGGGGGTTGATTAGGACAATTATTTGTTTTATTTTATTATAATTCCCATAATAGATGCTCTTCAAATTCACAATAGGTTAGATAAGAATGACATCTGTAAGTCTAGATCAGCAAAGTGGATTCATGATGAAAAAAACTCTAATATCTTCTATTTTTAAATCAAATCCTGCTATATGGGAGGCAGTGAGTGCACCACTGTATGAACAGTCTGATCACTGAGCAGTCCAGCCTAGTCCACGCTAGCTAAACTACATCTGTGAATCACCTAGATTCTGAATAACTGTCGTCAGTCTACATCTACGCTTAATCTTTAAAATTTTCAAATATGATCTGATAGAAAATATAAACTTTATATAGTCATATATTAAACATAACTAGTAATCTGTAAATATTCAGACCAGTTGTTTTCATTACTTACAACTCATTTAAATGCAGCATCAAGATGCACTGGATGATCAAATATATATGGATGGTTTCTCTAATGAATCTTTTAATATTTACTAAGTGATGTGTATTTAAAAGAGATGTTAATAATGCAAAGACTGGTTTGAGTTGTCAGTGTGTGGTGAGTTCCTGTTGACCTCTGGACACCTGAATGTTCCTGCTCTAGCCAGCACCTGAAACAGCAATGCTGCACACGGCACTCATTAACTGTTGTGATTATCTACAGATAAATACAGTGTATTTCCATTCTGTTTGCTATAGATGACGTGTTCTCTGTTCCCGTTGGTTTGAGTGTCTCTGTGTGTGATCTTGGCACTTTGGTTGTGGAGAGCAGAGTGAAAATGGAGACGACCGGCCTGTTGGTTTGGCCCGACATCTGCCTACATTTCTTGCTTCTACCAGGCCAGAGGGGAAGATAGTCTGGGGCTTCTGGGGTTTTCTGGAGTCTGGGTCTCACTTAGAGCTCTCTGCAAGACAAAACCCATGATCTCATCTGATTTATGCTTATTTTACCGTATTATTTTCAGCTTTAGAGCACATTTGGTTATTCCACAGACAGCAGCACTTTGCAGCTTAATCACTTTATAGCTGCAGGCTCCTGTCAGTCTGTGTGAGAGCACCAGCTGAATACTTCATTGTTTTGGAGGTTTGAATCTGTCAAACACCTGCTGCATATATCAAAATATCAGGAATAAGTTACATTTATCCCAGCTGGTTCTGTCGACACAGCTGAAGAGAACAGTACAGTAATAGCTCACCTCAAACTTGGAGATGAAATCTGCAAAGATGCCAAAGAAGGCCTCTGTTTTTGTGGACTTGCTGTCCTCTCCGAAGTAGGAGGCCACCTTAGAGAACTCCTCCATCACTCGGGTCTGCAGGGACTCGAGAGACTGGATTGCAGGGTGGCTGTTCTCCAAAAAGCTCTGTGGGTGCAAAAGCTCACATATTAAAGAGGCACACCTCAGAGGTCTGTTTACTTGCCAGTGAAAACAGCTGTATAATGTCTTCGGTGGCTCTGGAGGAGCTTTGTAAAGTCATGTAATTTCATCTGGGTTATTTTTTCTTAGTTTGGGTTTGAAGACTCCATATATATAGTTTGTGTGAAAGATGTGGGCATTTATCATACAGGGAGGGTCTAACAAAAAATGCTAATGAGTTGCATTATGGGGAACGTAGTATCCAGATTTTTGGGGGCGTGACTTATACTAGAGACTAAAAGTGAGTGTCTGTTGTCTGCTGGGCTGTACAGTGAAGACTTGTCATGTGCTCAACTGTAGTTCATCCCACTTACTGTTACATTCATCTAGACAAACTTGTTTCATTATTATAGTTATGTAGATGATAAGTGAGATGTTTCAGACGCCGTTCCAACCTGACAAAAATATAGCTTCTAATTCCTCTGGCATGAAAATGGTCAAAATATATGGACAAAAATTGTTTGATATTTTGGGAAATATTCTTCTTCGCTTTCTTGAGTTTTCAGTGAGAGGATTTATACTACTCTCATATGTCTGCTGAATATGAAATTGGAGCCAGGAGACGGTTAGCTTAGCTTAGCATAACGACTTGACAGGTTAGTTGTTTTGTTATGCTAAGCCGAGCTGACTGGCTGCTAGCTCTAGCTTCATATTTACTGTACAGACACGAGAGTGATATTGATCTTGTCATTTAACTCTGCAAGAAAGTGAATGAAGGGAATTTCCCCAAATATCAGTAATCAGTATATGTAGCAGCTTTAAAAAACCCACACATTTCTATATGTTTGATGTGTATTATATAATCAAAGCTGTTAGCATACACTCATGACGGAGGCAAAGTGGTCCTCAGAGGTGGGCGGGATCTTCTGACAGGCCGTCCTGATGTCCTGAATGGTGGCTTGAAGGTCACTCAGCTCCGCTGTTATGGCCCTCTGGTTGACTGAACAAGTTACATGCACATATTAGGTGATGAATTACCAAAACAGTAACAGTTATTAATCACCTGTATATGTCCTAACGATTGTAAAACAGCAGCAAGGAAATGTGCAAACCAGCAGTCTAAATAAACAGTTTTACAATGTCAAATGAAAATATGAAAAACATTATCTTGAGTTATTAAGACACACAACAACCCAGTTTAAATCTACATGAAATTAGATCCTTTTGGTAAAGTCTGCCAGCCCTGCAGTGGCATTCCAGCACATTGTGTACTATATAGAAATTACAGGGTGGAACGAGTACATTCTGCCATTCTGAATGATTTTTAGGACAGAAAGCAGAGTTCACTTAAAGAGCTCTGCTGCTGTAACGTCATCGTACCCTTGGCTGCCAGAGGCACTGTTGTTAGGTCTCTGGAAAAGTTGAGCAACTCAGGGAAGTGTTGGCACAGGGACTTGGCTAGAATGTGGAGAAAGGTGGATTTCCCGTCCACTGTTTTGGTTGTGCTCAACTGCAAGACAGAAGGGAAGAATGAATGACTAAAAAGCTAAATTAAGTTGGTTTTAGAAGGACAGGCGTCAATGCTGCACCTCAGTTAGGAAGTTGATCTTAAAGCTGGTTGTCCTGTGGCTCTTGGGCTGACCATTGTTCAGGTAATTCCCCATTGCAAGTACAAACTGTGGGCATAAAAATAACTTAATAAGCACGATTAACATACAGACTTGTTGCTTCATGTTCACTTTCCCTGCTCTGGATGTTTACCTCCAGGATTTTGGCCAGTTTCTTGCTGCTCTTAAGCTCCATTGAAGCCTTGTAGATGTAATCGTAAGCAACCTTCATCTCCTCCGTCCTCTCCTGCAGGGTCATCTTGAAGTGGAGGCTCCGCAGACGGGTCTTATACTCTGGCACCATCAGCATCTGAAACATACAACACTTTACTCATCGTTCCATCTTGCTTTTTAAAACTTTTCTCGCCTAGGAGTTTTTTCCTGGCTGTACCTGGAAAATGAACTGATCGGGCTCGCTCAGTTTGGCCGGGTCCTGTTCAAACTTCTCGTACTGTTTGACCTCGTCATCGTCGGGAGCGTAGAGCAGCAGCTGCTTGATGTGAGCGGGCTCCAGACGATCGGTGGTCATGTTCATCAAGACCTGACGCAGCTCGTTGGTGGAGAGCTTCAGATGGGCGATGAGGATGGCTGCAGAGAGGAAGAGGGGTGGGAGCGGGGGAAGACATAGATGATTTAAGTCTGTTTTTTTCACATAACAAAAGAGGATCACTTCTGCTGCCGACTGAAGATAAAACCTTTCATCCACCTCTGATGATGTGTCATTTTCTATTGTGTCTTATTCATGTTTCCTACTTTGTTGTTTCAGACTGATTATGAAATCCACTTCCATCCACAGTATAATCCAGTATAGTCTACATAATATAACAGCAAAGAAGCGAAGGGTCACATCAGATATTCTTCAGTAGAAGAGAGCCTGACTGCCAAAATGAGCAATTAATTTTTTTTTTTTTACTTTTTGTAGAGTACTTTTTCTTCTGCAACATACAGTATGCTATCCACCTGCAGGGTATTCAAGTTAAAACTAAATAATAAATCAATAAAATAAAGATATTATTTTACAGTTGCTTTAGCTCAGTTTTAACAACAGAGGTTTTACAAAAACAAAATGCTTTTATATTAGAGCTTTACAACATAGTGTATGTTTATCACTCAATTTTCATCATTGTTGCATTTAACTAGGGCTGCACGATTAATTTAATCGCAATCGCGATGTCTCATAACCGTAAAAAGTGTGCGATATAATAAAACACAAAAAGTGTGTGACCTGTCTTCTCTGTGAGCTCTGCAGTCTGCTCATTATCTCCGCCCACACCGGGCTCTCGCCTGTGGCTCTACAAACATATGCGCCTATGTGCAATCAGGAAAATTATTCATGAGCAGTGTGCCAGTAAGACAACAACCTACCTTAACCCCCCGCCCCGCCGCGCTGCTAATTGTTCAAAACATAGTCGGTCGCGCCACCGGAGCACCGACAGAAATGGCGGTGCTCCGCTGTTATGCCGACTTTTGCATGCCTGCTGAGAATTGCATTACTTCCAAAAACTGCTTTTAAACGCTATAATATCCTTTGTAGGGTACATCAATGGTGATAAATGATTCGAAGTATATATGTTACGAACGTTTAGAGTCGTTAATGATTTATTTCACTAAGTAGAAGTACCATATGATTCAGCTAAAACATGTGCTGATAACCGCGTTTGATCAATGTGCAGACCAAAGTGTCTGAAAAGGACCTTAAGAGGTGGATGCATAATTCGGCAGAGAAACAGAGAGAGAACAGATGTTGGAGGCTACCTGCCGAGATTTGCACCACCTTTTTCTCAGCATGACATGAGTTACCACCCGCGAGGTGCATGCAATTCTCGACAGGCATGCAGATTAGGCGCAGCACCTGTTGCTCTCTGACAGAGACAGACGACGACAGCAGGTGAAGCAGTAAGACAGAAGAAAACTGGGAAAAGATAAGGAAGATTTGGGTTTGGCTTGCTGGCCATTTAACGTTTTAACGCTGTACCGGTGCCTTTTGTTCAACTTTTCAACCGACCAATCACAGCCTTGATGGGGCAGGACATTAAAAAAGGTTTGACGTACATCAAATTATTAAATGTTGAACAATATGATTATTGACAAGTTAGTTCTTAGCATTAACAAATTATTGCACAAGGATTAAATAAATAAATAAAACCCCACAGAAAGGAAACAGTTGTAGCTGGATTTAATATTCAACTAGTGGTAAAATAGTAGGCTACTATTATATGAAATTATAATGAATATAGTAATTAATATGAACCATTATTGTTATACTAACAGTATACTATTAACTGAAAAGTATACTGTTTATTTAATGTTATAATATTATACTAATAGACTCATGTATACTAGTTCCTCCTCGAGGTTGTAGATAGTGTCTCTGCAGTGGACAGATGTAGATTTAGCTAGTGCCGGGATGCCAGTGTCCCAATAATGCTCCTTCTAGCAGCCTCCTCTGTACAGTTCTGTTTTACTAGTTATTGTTATAAATATCGTTTATCGCTTAACTTTGTTCAAAATGTCAGTATTTTGTTAATTTTCCTTGATAATCAAGGAAGTAGACTCATAGTACCATTTGTTCATTATAATCGAATCGCAATCGCATATCGCAATATGACTTTTTATCCAAAACATGCAGCCCTACATTTAACAATAGAATGGTCATTTCATCAAAACCGAGTCCGCGGTGGTTATTTCCTGAAAGATTGTACAAATATAGTAGAAGAGCTAATGATTGAATGAATAAATGAATAGTTTATTTCTGTTTACATTATAATGAACAAGGCATAACAATTAACAAAAATATTATACATATTTACACCAATCCATTTCACACAAAATAACTCACACAATTAACACTATCCTATGTTTATACACTTAAATCATGTATGTATAAGTATATTATTACAGTATGTGTCTCAACTTATTCAGGCTAACCTGTTAAGTTATCATTGTAAAATGATCCCGTTTATTCTCATCCAGCTAATTTGGTTCTTTGAAAGCCGTTTGAGGATCGATTTGTTAATCCTGAATGGCTGGATCATGACAAGACATTTTAGGGTGATCCTCATTCATGAACTAATTTTCAACTAATATGTCAAAGTGTGTAAAATACTGCAATAAAACACTCCTCAGTTAAGGCAGCAAAGTTACAACCTTCTTTTGCAACACAGTGCCTCAAATGACAAGTTCAAACCTGCAGTCATTTATAGTGGAGATAAACAAAACAGACCATATTATTAACAATATAATTACGGCAGTCTATTTACTGTTCCATGTTTCTAGCCTTTCATTTACATCATTTCCATCACATCACATTGAATTTAATATGTTTCCTGTACAGACACGTAGAAAAACTTTGTGGCAATCTTGTGAAACCTCATGGTGTTAGGAGTAGGAGAGGCTATTGTTGGGCTTCGAGTCTCTCCTGACATGCTGCGCTACAGTCTGATGCAACCTCACATCATCCAGTGTGACACTGTAACTAACTTTCACTGAGATTGAGAATATTTACACTTGTGTAAACCATGCACACCATGTTTTGCAGAACTTTTTGTTCACAAGGTCAGATTTTTGCAAGTCAGTTTGGCTCTAAATACTGCATGTATTATTATGTGTGGGTTTTTTTCAACGTAGTACTCAACAGACTCGAGCCTCAACCTTTCAGGTGTGTGTGCGACCTGCAGCCATATTCTTGTGGTACTCACAGGCATTGTAGGCTTTCTTATGAGACAGAATCTCCACCACGTCTTTCTTTTTAAAGTTCTCTGGCATGAAGGCGGGCTCTGGAGGAGAGACTGATCATTTTAACAAACAGTGTAAGGATTTGTTCTCCAGGCACCGTGGGTCAACACACACACACACACACACACACACACACACACACACACACACACACACACACACACACAGTGGCTACATGTGTCAGGTTGATGGGTTAATAACACAGCTCTGCCATGTAAATCTCTAGCGGCCAAAAAGTCTGACATATATGCAATAAATAACAATAAGGTGTGTTTCCTCTGGCAGAGCTGTGTTATCACTGGGGGAGGGGGTTGGGGGGAATGGTGCCTTAAGGAGAATGGACTGGATGAACAGGTGAATGGAGCAGCTCCAAAACAGGTAATGGAGAACATCATAACTGTGAAGGTACAAAAGAAAACAGGAGATGTCAAAAGATAAACACATACATTCACTTTTACTGTTAACTTGCCCTCTGATAATTCACCAGATGTAGTATCACTGTATGACGTTAAGCATGATGTAAATAAAGATGTGACGATGCAGCATGGTGGAGGCTGATCACAAGTACACAACAACTTACTGGATCTCCGTTGAGTCCCAAAGTGCAGATCAAGGTCCATGAACTTCACCATGTCAGTGAGCTTGTCATAGTCTGTATCCTCCCCGAGCTAAACATAGACAAGGGCATACTCTGTACTCCCCAAAAGACACAGTCATGGGTTTGTAACCTAGAAGTAGCTGTCTAGAAATATTTTTATTTACACAGATAAGGTTGCAAAGCAGTCCAACATTAGATATGAGTAGATGAGATCCACTGTGTGTTCTGCTTACAAAAACAAGATTTTAGCTTCGATGCTTCTATGACTCATCAGAGACACAACAGAGCAGATGAGTAGGTCTTTCCAAATATGGGAAGAGACGTGTTGGAGGAGTGAGAAAGTTCACAGCCAAAGTGGGAAGATTCACAAGTCAAGTGATTTTTTGATCTATTTACTGTATGCAAAATACTCGATTCTTCTGACATAGTTGTGCTACTTTATCCAAGACTAATGTAACAGAGTAAGAGTTCACTGCTCACCTGACCCCATATGGTTCCCTCGGAGTTCTCCACCTGCTCCCAACGCAGCCTCTTCACACTCATGTGGTTGGTGTCCGAGGCGTGGTGGCCCGGCTTGGGCAGTGGAGGAGGGTCACAGGGTGGGGGCAGGGGTGGAGGTGGCGGCGGCGGTGCCTAAGAGATAAAAAGAAAAAAAAAAAAGAACTCTCTTTTAAAATTTATAAGATATTTTCAGCAGTAAGCATCATTCTTGCATAGTACATGTTCACAATTCTAGATAACTCATTTGTGTCAAGATACAAAAAGAACGAAGAAACAGATGTTACCTGTTGAGATTGGTGCTCTTGCCGTGGGGTTTCATAGGTTTTAGTGTGAGTGGGGAGGGTGGAGTGAGAAGCTGGAGGCTTGGAGAGCAGCGAGGAGCCGGCGGGGCCTTGGCTGTGACACTGGGACAGGCTGTGATCCTGGAGGGATGGCGGCAGCGGGCCCTGGTAGCTGTGTTGGTGGTGGAGCTGGTGGTGCCTCTGGAGGACGAGCTGGCTCGGTCTCAGCGGCTGAGGGGACGGCTGCGGGGACGGCTGCTGGATAGGCTGGGGCTGGCTAAGCTGCCGGGGGAGGTAGCTAGGGCGGGATGGCTGGGAGGAGCGTAGGGTGGAGGAACCCAGGGTGGTGTGGCCGTGCGAGAGGCGGGTGGAGGTGGCCTGGAAGCGGTGGTGAGTTTTCTCTGCTTCTTCTCTGGTGGGGAGCCCTTTGTGTAGAGGAGAGCGGCTGGACAGGAGGGTTCTGAGAGGGGGCGGGGGAGGAGGGATGATGGGGTGGTGCGGCTGGAAGGGCATCCGGCTGCGCGGGACATGCTCAGGGGAGAAGCGGACTGGCGGCAGGGGGTCAGTGAACTGGACAGGAGGTGGTATTAGAGCCTGGAAAGGCGGGGGAGGAGGGGGGCTCTGAGTGGGAGGTGGTGGGATGGGTTCAGAGCCTGAGGAGTAGCACGGAGAAGAGGCCTCGTCGCTGCTGCTGTGATCCTCACTGCTGCCACTGCTAAGCTGCCGAGGCATGAAGCCCAGGTCCTGATCCTCCTGGAAACTCATCTGGGGGGGAGGAGAGGTGCGCCATCAGACATTCAAATCACAACTTTCACCTCCACATACTCTTAACATACATCTGACTTGAATTAAAAATCTAAAGATGCAAAAATGCATTGTGACTCTTTTTAGTTTTATGCTCTTGCTTATGAATCTGCAATCTTTCTTTTTCTTTTTACCTACTTATGGGGCAGAAAAGCCATAAAAAGCAACAAAATTATAACAATCATTTTAAAACACATGCACTTAAATATTATCAGCACTCCAGACTGTATATTGACACAAGGTGTAAAGTTGACTGCAAAATACTGAAAACAATACTTAAATGCTCAGTTTTAAAAATATGTGAATTATGCACAACATGCTGCCCCCCCGATTCCTGACAAAAACATGATTTACTTAAGCCAGCAACTCATTAGAACCTTAGATTGCTAGTCAGAAATAGGCAGATAAAATTAGACTCTACTGTATAACCGAGTATCATGTTTTACTTACAGGCACCCCTCTTCTTCTGAAACCATGACAACCACCTTGATATATCTGTTCATGTGACACAAGTGTTCATTGTAGCGTACATTAGAGCTGCTCTAATGTAAACATGCAACACTACAACGTAATGACTTCAGTCAAATGTGAATTTGCTTATTATTTGATAATAACAAGCAAATGCACAACAGCAGGATTGTCTGTAAATAATGTCACATTTTAGCATAAAAAAAAGTAGTATGACATTAACTGAGAGACATTAGTATTATTTACCACAAACAAACAAAGACCATTACAGTCACTACTTGCTTCTACAGTGCATTGTAAAATATGTGCAACTGGGTCAGACTGTAAGGCCATCACTTTATTCCCAATCTCACTTGTTTACAGCAATTATAGTAAGATATTACAATTCACAATTTAAAATGACTTATTTGGAGGTAAAAATAGCATATATATAGCACCTTTAAATTTTAAATTGAAATAATAATTATTATCCATATTATTCCTAGCCTCATGAGAACTTACATGAACTGTGTGTTTCTAGTTATTCCTTTTGCTGAATTGATGTCTGGAAGAGTTAGCCGCATTCTAGGTGTCACCCCCTTTCCTTAAAGCTTTTTGGGGAATAACTAAATGAAATGGGAACACAGCCTATTACATTTTGAATGGGATAAAGTTATAATACCTCAGGGATGGGAAGACAACATAAGGAGCTAGTTTAGTTAGCTAGTTTATTCATTGTGTTGCTAAATACAGAGAATCGATGAAAAACTTGAAAAGTTAAAGGACTTAAAAGGCAAGATATCTTTTGTATTCGTCTTCTCTTGTTTACATTCTTGTTTAAACCACACCATTAGTTTCGCTTGACTGGTGTAGTAGGGCACGACGCAACTTGCAACCCTGAACTCACATTTTGTTAACGCTAAGCTAACTTAGTTTGTTACTGCTATCCGAGGCTACTTCTTCAAGTGATCCTCCCGTTCCTCTGTAGTAGAAAGCAGAGGTGTAATCACATTATTATTATTTGGCAGGTTGTCTAAGAAAAGGGAAGACAGCTGTAGCATACCACTAACTCCCACAGTCGTCGGTTCAATGAAAGGAATAACCATAAGTCAGCCCATAATTCACCCAAGGGGCACGACCTCCGGTTATTTATGGAGCTAGGAATAAGATATTAAGATATTAAAACATACTTTACAATACTAACACTTAACACAAAAAAAAATCTAGGTCAAAAGACCTTAATATAAAAACAAAGCATGTACTCTATGAGTACGCATACATACAACTGATGGTGCAGTAGATTGGTGGCGGATCTTCCTCACCTCCTCATAGTCGTTCTCCCCAGGTACGAAGTCGTCCACCAGAGTGACCCGGTGGCCCAGCTGCTCACTCAGAGCGTCCAGGAACTTGTCTGTGTCCCGGCTGCGAGGCGGGCGGGAGAAGGTGAACAGCTTCTTGCGGCGGTTCAGTGTGTTGGCACCGCCATCCGAGTGCTGAGGGGAGGCCGGAGGGCTTTCCAGGCTGACGTAAGGGTTAGAGTCCACGCTGCTCTGGTGGTGGATCTCATACACAGGAGTGGGGAGAGGCTCTTTCCAGGAAAGGGACAGGCCGCTTTTACGGCTACCTGCAAAAAGGAAATCGAAGATGGTTGCTGGGAGCATGATGCGTGTGGTCAGTGCGACTGTACAACCTGCTCAGACTGCAGATGTTTACACCAAGAATTTCTCCCCTGGATGACTTGGCTTATATATCATGCTACTTATTCCCTCCAGAAATTATGTGTGACACCCTTGACCACGTTGTCTTCTGAGAGGTTACCATGGTAACACAAAGAAAAACTGCAGCAGTTTTATGCACATGTAGATTGTAGGATTTGAATGAGTACTAACTTAAACACATTCAGAAATAAGTGGTTCTCATGCCATGTTCACATCACTGGTTAAACCAACTGTTTGACACATCAAATTAAAGTATTTCCCAATTTAGCAGCTTGTGTTTACAGCAAATCTAACGTGGCATGAACACGGCATCAGTCATGTGCCATCAAGGCCCAAAGTTATGCAGTTTTCACTCCTGCCAATTACTATCAATAATTCACTCTGAAAATGCATCAAGCCTAAATGGCACGTGTTTGTGAACCATTGCTGGAAGCGTGTGTCTGAAAGCTAGTGCACATTGTTTGTGTCTGTGCACGTAATGCGAGTGTTTGGGCGTGTGTGTCTGCCTCAGAGTACCTGTGAGAGGGGGGAGTGTGAGGGGGGAGAGAGAGCGCCCGTAGGCCTCAGTCTGTCCCGGCCCCTCGGGCTCTGCTGAGGAAACACCCTGCAGTGGCGACACACTCTTCCCTGCGTACACATTCTCCAGCTCCGTGTACACACCTGTCATCTACGGGTGGAGGCATGATCAGCTGGTTAGCACGCAATATCTGCGACACATTTGCTTTGAAGGTCTGCTGCTTATAAGTGTTTTAGGAACAATTTGCAGTCACAATTGTAATAATGCTAATGTTGAATTGCAATAATTACGAGCAGACCCTCAAATGATGTGAGGCCATAGAGCACAGATGACATAACTAGCATTCATTATGCTAGTTGTTGAGGATCTAAGCGCTTAAAAGCTGCAGTTATACCTACATGATTGAGGTCAGGGGACTCGGGGAAGGAGGTTCCATCTCCTGACTGCCTCTCCTCCGGGCTCCCAGATTCATCCACATGAATTCCTAAAGCACAATAAGGCATGAACAGTGACACATGGACATAAGCTTCCTCCTTCCATCCACCCCCAGCCATAAGGAGAGAGAGGATGAAGCAGAGCAGAACAGCGTGGAGGAGCAAAAGGCAAAAAGCTTGGCTCTCCTAGAGCAGGAGTTAGCAATGGCAATGGAAACAGGGGAAATAATGAATGAAATACCTGATGCCTCAGCTGGAAATAAACACTGTGGGCGCTTTACTTTCAAACTGGTAGCTTGGGGACATTATCAGACTCAAAGACAGCTGACATATGGAGTTAATGTATGAACTGATGGTGGTGATTTTTCTCTTAAGTATAAGCATAGGATTTGCTTTGCACACATCTTTTTCAGCAACAGTCTACTGCACGTTCTAACAATTACATACATTACCACCTGGGAGCTGACCAGGGCATACACAGCCTTATTGCTGCGCTCTGAGCAGTTCAACTAGAGGTTAGATACCTCGCTCAAGGAATATTAAAAGTACAGTAACTGCTGAAGGAAGCTCATTTACTGCCTCTAACCAGATTTTTCTTATATGTCCCGAGATTCCGAACCCAAAAAAGCAACAATACTGAACTAACAACTGATTGATAAGATTATTGTCATTTTCTTCTAGAGAGCGGTAAATCCTTGATCTCGGTGTTGTTAAGTGCAGCGTACCCATTCCCAGGTGAGTCCCGATGATGCAGTCGTCAGAGCTCCTCTCTCGCGCGATGCTGCGGTACGACGTCCCCGTCACGCGCATGGAGCTGCTCCGCCGGTGGTGCTCCAGACCTGCGTCAGGCTCTAACACGCCTGCAAAACACACACACACTTTCAGCATCATGTTTTTGTTATTCACAAGATGCATGGCTGCTCCTTTGTGCTCATATTATTATTATTATTATTAAATACACTGGGTGGTTAATAATAAAAGCTTGATATATTTATTCTTATTCTGACCAGGATGCCTCATATGACAGAAATCTAACCTGCCAATGAGGAAGAAAGAACAGTAAGATCCTGCTGTTGGCAAAATCACGTTTCTTTTTCATATCAAACAGGCCACTTACTGACTGTCTGCTGATATTGTATGTGTATTCTCTCGAATGCAAAACATTTCCACATTGCGGTTTTTGGCTCACCACTGCTCTTGAAACCCAGGAAGCGCGACAGCTTGCCCTGGCATCGCTCCTGTTCGTCGTAGGTCAGTAGCTGGTAGATGAACTGCCAGATCAGCTGTTTGGCAGGAGTGTCCAACACTGGAAACACGTCTACTATCAGAGTGTCCACATTCCTGCAAACACACACACGCACATACACATCATATTTATATAACCAACCCCTGTTTACTGGGTAATTGATTTAGTTGAGATTTATTTTCTTTGCATCAGTAATGACACATACAGCTGAGAATCAGATGCAGGATGAAAACAGATTATGAAAAGGTGGGAGGATAACAGGGATATCAGTTATGGTAGGATTTATGCCTTCTGGGGTTCATACTGTATGCACATACTGTAGAATTCCATTGCTGTTTTGCTTATAATCCTGCAGCATCACGTGTTTGCATCATCTGCAGAGCTAATGCTCCATCCATCTCTTTCCCTCGTTCTACCCTATATCTTTTAGGATATGACATCAGTGCCGATTGGGAGGAATAAACTTCCTGCTCAGCTAGGTGCATATGTTTCTTCACTGCTTTTCCTCTCACTGTTCATCCATCATTCATTTTCTCCACCTCTCTCTTTCGCCTGGGCATCGTTAGCAGCCTGATATATTGAGTATGTTACATACAGAGTTTCCCAGGCAACAGCTATATGTCAATGTAAGAAAGCTTGTTAACAGTGTCTTACTACAAGGATAGTTTGACAGATGTACTTTATTGCTCCTCACGCGCCCTTCCATCCTCTCTGTCTACTTCCTTTTATAGACCCTGTGGATCCTTCCAAGCCACTGACCTGTGCTGGAAGAACGTCTCCAGGGACTTGCAGACTGTGTACCGCTCCTGGATGGTCAGCAGGTGTTCCAGCTGCTGGCTGAAGGTCCGCCCGTGGACTTTGATGCTCGGCGGAAGAATCTCTGCCACCCACTGCAGAGAACTGAGGGCTGGAGACCTGGAAAGCAGGCACAGTGGAAGATTTCTATTATTTTACCATTCATACATGCTAAAGTATTGTTTCTCCTTTGTTTTGCATCTTTATTCAGGATAAAAGCAGTGTCACTCAACAGATGTTTGTTTGTTTGTCCCCCTATAGACTAGAGTGTGACATGGGAGTGGATTTCCACTCCTTTCCCATCCCACTCCAACAAAAATATTCCTTTCCCTCCTAATCCTGGAAGAATGACTCCTGAGTTTATTCATATTAGAATTTATATATAAAAACTGATTCCGTCCTTTTCTTTCGTCTGTCCCGCCCCAGTCACGTGATGAATAGTGAAATTGAAAAAATATGAGCCTGCAGACCACGAACTGCTGGAAATGTCAAATCAAAATGTCAGGTTGGTTGGTGTGTACTGACCTGGAGCGTGGCAACGTGGTGGGGGCCAGGCTTGGAGATTCCTCTGGGTCGGTTTGGTCTGAGGAGTACTCAGACGGACCCTCCTCCACTACCAGAGTGGGCATCGCCCCGCTGCCCTGCAGCATGGACACCACCTTCTCATGGGAACAGTTCCTACAAAGAGTGAGAGAGAGAACAAGAGAGCGGATTTGAGATAGACAGAAGTAAATGATGGAGAGCTGATGGATTGGAGTAATAAAGATGAATTATGTGTGATTCTGAACTGTATAACTGAGATAACGTGACCAAAGTTTAAAACACGTAATTTTTTAACTGTGAGATGCTGATGCAAGCTCAGAAAAGGCTAGTGAGAGGATCTTTAAGTTGAAATTATTTGTGCTGTAACTACAAATTACTTTTTTAAGCATACCAAATAGATCAAAAAAGATTCTATAAATAAGACAGGTAAACTAGGTAATTAGAAAGTACTTTATTTTCAGAGAAAACTGTAAAGTCGTGCAAAAGATACATAAACACACATCTCAAAGAAACACTTTGAAATGTGTAGATTCTTGGCACTGAATCTGCCGAGCAATGAGGTGACGACATTCCTTGTAATTCTCATTTCACACTTATATAATGGTACAAAAAGTAAATGAGATACTGTATTGACAAGGTGTCCAAGCCGGTGATGCTGGACTGTCTGATTTCAACCACCCTATTCACCTCAGTGTTAACAGAAAGAAGAAGATTACAGAGATAGAGTTTAACACACCTGATGAGGACTGTGAAAAAAACAGGTCCACATTTCTGTAGATGCCATACACCATATGCTTTCTTTGTAAACACGAGACTGAAAACTCCCACATATCTTGTACTTTATTGTCTTTCTCTCTCCGGTGAGCACCCTCTGTTTTGCTGATCACCTCCTACTTCTGCAGCACCGTGTTATCAGGGAGAGCAGCAAAATTACACCGCGCCAATCAAATCAGTCTATCGGGCAGCCATGGGAACTGCTCTGCAATTATTCTTTCACGTGGCTATCAAGGTGGCTGAATACTGCTTCTTTACAAAGCACTGGATATATTGGCTGATACACTTTATTTGTTGAGCTGTTGATAGGTACAATTCAATTTCATCCACGCTGAATTTCTCATCTGCTCACCCACACTAACTTTCTGAACATCCAGAGGCTGAAGGTCAAGAAGTTGTAAAGTCCACACAAGAAGGATGATTACTCCCACAAGAAAAGTTCTGTTTACATAAAGGCTTTCGTTCACGTGCATCACCCCATACTGTACAGACACACATGTCAACGGTAAAGGAGAATACCGTGACAAGGAATAGTTGGACATTTTGGCATATGAACTTACTGTCACTGTCTTGCTGAGAGTTGGATGAGAGGATTCATCCCACTCAAGCTACAGCCAGCAGCAGGTTATCTTAGCTTAGCACAAAGACTGACGGTAAACAGCTAGCTCGGCTCTGTGCAATGGTAACTAAATTTGTTATGGGCTTTATCTGCTGCTAAATCTCAGGCCAGCACTCCTGGAGTCTTGTTGTCACTGCGAGGCACTGCATGTAGCCGAGAAATAGTCTAGTACAACCCCCCCCCCAACCGAGTTAAACTGGACAGAGCCAATTTAACTGTTTCCCCCTGTTTCCACTCTTTTTGTTAGGCTAAGCTTAATTTGTAGATATTTCTACAGACATGTCAGTGGCATCAATCTTCTCATCTAACTCTTGGCAAGAAAGCGAGTAACATTTCCCAAGCTGTCAAATGATTCAGCCTTTTTTCAGCACATCTGTCCATCCCAAATTAGCTTCCAATTAATTTTATGGTATAATAATAATGTTTGTTTTTTTTATTAAAAAATTGTTCTTCTTTCTACAATAAAATCTCCTATCCATTTATTCTGGCTTTAATGCTTCCAAAATCAGAAGTTTATTAAATGTGAAAATAAATTTTGTAATGCTATTTTGTTTGTTTTTTAATAGCTGAGACTTTCATTTTCTCCCGAGGATTACTCCTGATAGTCAAACAGACGCAATGCACATACTGCTTCTAGGTTAAAGAGCTCAGCTGAGAAATAATGATTAAAGAAAAACTACAATAAAACCAAATAAAAGCTTCATGTTTTCTGCAATGGATTATCTGGCACGGTGAAAGATGTTATTCATACTGGCAGCAGATGGCTTCTGCCAGAGAAAAACAAACTGACTAAATATACTGCCTAAGTTCAAGAACTTGGACAGCAGGCAAAGACAAAATACTACTACAACTACTCCTGCTGTTAGTAATAATAATAATTATTATACGTAATATTATTCACTAAAAACAAACCTCATGTCCAGTCCATTGAGGAAGAGGATACGGTCGCCTGGTTTCAGTCCACATTCCTCAGCAGGACTATCTAAGAGGGAGACAAAGATGGCAGAAAATCAAACAATCAAAAAGGATCCTGGCACAACCTCACCAGCTAAGAAGGTGCACTGATCAGATGAGCAGAAAAGGGAAAGATGGTGACTAATGTGATGTTGTCAATCTGTGTATGGCATCCAACAAAGCCCATCAACAAAAGAGGTGATCTCCATGCTAAATCTTATTACGTAAGGAAACAGTGCTGTCAAAACAATCCTCGTTGGAATCTGTTCCGACTGCGCTGTGCCCATCCACTGTCGCCTCCTCATCTGCCAACTCACTGCTGAATTTTCCTCACAATGAATGTCATCTTTCTTTTTACCCAATGTTGGGATACATCAAACTCTTCCATGTGATAATGGAGTGTGTGCATGTCTAAGCACATTCACAGGCCACGAGACAGACTGTAAACCACGGAGGTTGTCGTTTCCTGGTGATCGGTAAACGATCTGTGTTTCAGATCACGATGAGAGACATGCCATCCACCCCCACTATCTCCATACCAACCTCCATAAGGCCCACTGAGTCAGTTCGCTCCGGCCGCTTCAGTACATGATGGTGGGGGACGATGGTGGGCGGGAACAGTGCAGTCATCATCAAATACACACACATACACGCACGCACATAAACACACATACACATACACCTCCATCCTGCCATAGGAACCTGGCAAATTCCTGCAACAGTAACTTTGCAGCCTTTCTTGTCTGCTACTTTTAATTGGGAAAGCAATAACAGTTGATCAAATAAATAACCTTTTACTGCTGAAAATTTAAATAATGAAAGAAATTAACAGGCTCACCAAAAGCTCTTAGTAGTAATTACCAAGACAAATATTAACATAACAACAGTGACTTTGATTTTTGTGGCAGTAATTTCCAAAAGAAAAAAGCCAGTTGTATTTGCAGGTACACGGATTACAAAATGAAACAATAGAAAAAATTTGACAACCTGAGGGAACCAAAAAATTATCTATAGTAAGACAATAAAGGTGAGGGTTAAAATCCCCTTAAAGCAATTGTTTGAGATTTTAACCACTTCATTGACCACAGTTAGATGAGAAAATTGACAACATCACTCCATTCAATATCAATGTAGCCAGAAACTGGTTAGCTTAGCTAAGCAGGAAACAAGGGGAGAGAGCTAGCCTGGCTCTGTCCAGAGGTAACAAAATCCACCTACCAGCACCTCTAAAGCTTACTAAACATAGTATATCTGGTTTGTTTAATGTGCACTAACACTGAAGCACAAAACCAAGAATTTGCAGGGGTTTTGGGGGGTTATGTTTAGAAATAGTCTAAATAGCACATATTTTACAGATTTTGTTACCTCTGGACAGAGGCTAGATGTTTCCCCCCATTTCCACTCTTAAAGCTATGTAATGTTCATATATTACGTCTCCTTATTTGTTTCATATCTCATTTGTAAGAGATTTGAATTTGTTTGCTAAATCATCATTTTCTTCAAAACAATCATGACAATTTGATCATAATCTCAGCATGATTTGATTGTATAGAACATAAAAATAAACATGAACCGCTAGCAGCAGCAACATTAAGATAAAAGCCTGTGTAAAGTCCCTGGATGTAAATGCGTAGTAGTGACTGACTGCTTTGTTACTGTACAGCACAGCCTGTTCTGAGTGTTTTCCTCTTAACATTTCATTGGTGACTCAGACAGCTCCACTTCCTAGTACACTCATAGTCACACACACACACACCTCCTGTGCACCTTCAAGCCCCAGCGGCTGGCACCACAACAGACTCACCCACATACACAAGTATGTCCGCCCCTCCCCCTGCTGACAGCCAACGCAGAACAAGGTTTGGGTCAAACTACCACACACAGGGAGGAGGCATCTATCAGGACTGTACTGTACTGGATTTTAATATAGAAGCAATACCTGGGATGACGGAGTCGATGCAGACGGGTGCGTGACCCCGCAGTGTGAAGCCGAAGCTCTTCTTCCCCCTGTAGACCCGAATGATCCTGACAAAAGGCAGGAAGTGAGATGAACAATTACAACAGATTTACAGACAATAATTCTTGACTTAATATAACAATGAAATAATACATTTGAACTCCAAATTATAAAAGAATGTTTTATCCAACTCCAGCTGAAACACAATATCATAAAGTGTATTTTTTTTGCATCATTAATGACAGAAAACTGCAGATTTCTTTTGTTTTTGTATGTTAAACTCATCAATTTTTTTTATATATTCACATCACAACTGTGATTTGTATTTGCAACCCCAAAAAATCCATGCTCACAATTATGTGTAAAAATTAGTTTTTAACAGCCCCTTCTTACTCATTCCCAATCATCCTGAAATCCATCAAATTACAAAACCAATACACAAATAAAATGCTACTTCAGTGTATCTTGATGCATCTTATTTCTTCATCCTCAGATGGTAGAGCAGAGGTTAAACCTTTTCTCACTGATCCACGAAGAACTTATCAATGTCACTAGGGATACAATTAATAATTATTGTCATTATCGATTAATATGTTAATTATCTTTTACGATACATTGATTTCTGGTTTGGTCGATGATACAAAACAAAGAAAGACAGCTCACATTTCGGCATGCGACTGATTAAAAGATGAATCAGTTATTATAACTGTTTGTTGATCCACTACCAATGAATTGTTCCATCATTAACTGTGACATCATGTAACCACGCTGATGATTATCAGTCTGTCTGTCTCTGAATGGAGCGCTCACTGACTGCTGTTTACAAGTCTGTTGTTGTACTTTACATTTGTTTTGATTTGTCACTTCCTGTCGGTGGGAGGCTGAACAAGTGGAAATATGACGTTTGTCTTTACTGCAATCCAGCTTTGTGATTTAGGCTGATAACATTTTTTTACATAACAATCCCAACTAGTGCAGCCCTCAACTCCCCATCACTCTCCACCTCTCTGCCTGTAGGTTTTATTCCCCAGCTTCCGGATAATAAATATAATTCAGGACATCCTCAACATAGATAAATAGCTTTGACATTTTGCTGATGTTGGTGCTTTGCTCTCGTTCACTCCAGCGGAGGAGCACAGGGGGGAGAACCCCCATTACTTTAAAGATGAGACACTTGTGCTGCCTATCCACAGCGCGTTGCCATGGACACGACTCAAGGCAACACTGCCTCGATATGTAAACAGGGGGATGGGGGACAAGAGAAGACGAAAGACGGGTGGGAAAACAGACAGATCTATTCTGCGGTTACTGGCTGTTATGTAAGACGAGCTAAATGCAGATGGTGTGTGTGTGTGTGTGTGTGTGTGTGAGGAGGGTGTTGGAATCAGAGGCGCAGCATCAGCCTTGAGCACGCTTGACAAATTGAGTGACTATCAGGCTGCTGAAGGCCTCTCCTGATTCCTGTCAGTCTGACTGCACGTTCCACTTTCACGCGATTTCACATGAAGTCACCCAGCCCCGAAAAATATTATATAACAACCCAAATCAATCAATCAGTTACTACTTAATGAAACCACTGAGACATCAACTGCTGGCTCATTGTGCAGCAGCTCCGATATTAACCTGAATAGACATTCGCCAATCAGTAGTGACAGATTTTGAGTATCTAGGGTATATCAAAAGTCTGTTTTGTATACAGAACATAGTAAAAGACCATCCGCTTAAACTAAACTTTAATCTGGGGGTGGAGTTATTCATAAATATGAAATCTCTATTTATTTTTTAACATTAGTTAACCTGATTTAATGATTTGTGTACTCTCTGTCTCTCTCTCTCGCTCTCTTTATATGTATATATTTCTCTCTCTCTTTCCTCTCTATCTCAACTATCCATAGATCTATCTTTCTATCTCTTTCTCTGTCTATTTCTGTCTCTCTATCCTTTTGTCCCTACCTATATCTCTAATTACCTCTCTATGTCTCTCTCTAATTATCTCTTTCAATCTCTATTTCTCTATATCTATCTGAATATGGATATATAGAAATCTATACCTGTCTATATCTGTCTATCTATCTATTTGTCCATTGTATCTCTCTAGTTACTGTGGAGACACAACAGTGTTATACAACACTCTTGAGGAGGTTTATTCAGTTCAGGGAAGGGACCAACATGCAGCATAACTTCTTACTGCGTGTGCCGTAATCTCTCCCATTTAACACAGTCAGCTCGCCTCCTACTGTTGTATGGCCTGCCGATATGTTGACATGTTCTGCCGCACATTTCCACTCCGATGTGGGTGAAGGCAGATCATGGGATTTAGTTAGCTGGCTCAGTGTGGGAGTGCACTGGTTTGCACTGGTGTTATTAATTGGACAGCCGTGTAATCAGGGTGTTAGTGGGCGGAGGGTGAGTGGGACAGTTTGAACGGTCAGGGGTTCTACAATGGCGCAGGATTGATAAACAGCAAAGGAGATACACACAGGGAGATGGGTAGTTTCAGTTTTGAGGACGTGGTTATCAGAGCACTTTCTAACTTATGTGGTAGAAAAAAAAAGAAAACAACTTATGTGGTAGGGTGGAAAAACATCTTCTGATATGGACAGATTTGCGCAGCTTCTTGACGAGTCTCTTTAGGAAGCTTTAGGATGCAAGAATGTGGCGGAGACAGGGGAATAAGTGGCACGCTGTCCTCCGTTTCATTTACATTTTCCAAACATCCTGCCCGTAAATGTCTGAATAATAAAGTCTGTCATTGGCTGCAGCATTATGTGCTGAGATTAACCTGTTGGTAGCCAGAGTTCCAAGTGTAAACAACACTTAAAAAGAGAACTTAAGACCCATAAAGCATCATATTATTAACAAAAAACAACATACTGGTAGTCATGTGTCTCCTACATCTGCTCACCTCTGATTGGGTCCGATGGGGGGATGCGCAGGTATCCCAGAGACAGACTTCCTTAAGCCCCTCTCTCTCTCTGCTTCACCCCTCCCTCCTGGTTCTCCATCTCTGGGCACTGAGCTGGCCCGTTTGGACCCGTGGTGGCGATCGGAGTGATCCTCACTCCGACTGCGCCGGAGTCTGCCCTGCGGCTCGCTGATGCTCTTGCTGCGGCAGAGCCGGTTGATCACATTCTGGGAGACTGCGTCGTCGAAGCGCTGCCGGTGCTTCTTGGGAATGAAGATTCTGGCGAACATGGTGGCATGTGAGGAAAATAAAGGGGATGATGTTAGTTTTTGCCCACAAGAGTTGCCGAGAGTAGGAAGGAGGATGGAGCTACATCACAGATCCACCTCAATCCATGACCGAAAACCTTGGATTTCCAGTGAAATAACAGCAGCAGGTCAAACACCCAGCATGAGCAGAGATTAAAACATGATGATCAACTCGCGAGCTGCTAAAATAATCTTCACAAGTCCAAACTAATTCTAATCAACAGGCTTCCTCCTTCAAGACTCAGTTTCAAAGAAAAGAAAAAGGTGAGGAGTCTTTCCCCCGGAGGTGGCTGCTGTCCCCAGAGAGAAGAAAGAAAGAGAAGTTGAAAGCCAGAGAGAAAAGGAAATCTTGGTGTCACTCGCTGCTTGCTGGAGTCTTACTGCTGCAGCGTGAGGCACCACAGCCAGAATACAGCAAGAGAAAAAGGTGTGGGAGTGAGCGAGCATGGGATTTTCTCTCTCTCTCTCTCTCTCTCTCTCTCTCTCCAATATCTCATTCTCACTCTCTCACTCTCCTACACTTCCGTGCACGCCTCACCTCTGTGTCACTGTCACTGTGAGCACAGAGCAGGAAAGCTGTGATCATCTCACCGACTCTGGACCTCACCGATTTTACCATTTTCATAAAGAAACTGAATCCGCAAGCAGCACTCAGTAGTGGCACAATGAACTAGCAAAATGTCAAAGCAGGGGATGAGAGTGAACTGTACGTGCTGTTCCGTATGGAGCGCTGGCTGCTCACCAAATCACAACCCAGACCATGAGAACAAAACAAAATGAGTCGTCCCCCCCACACACGAGGACTCAGCTGACAACATAAAAACAACAATTCATTCAAGTGATCAGAACTGCTGCCAGGAGACAAGACAACCACCCACACACACACATACTTTCTATAGCTTTACTTGTAAGGATATTCACGTTATACCCCACTAACAGTAATATGTTAAACCCTAAACTTTAACTTCTTTCATATCTGTGGCGGGGTTCGATCACCGGCTCCTCCAGTCTGCATGTCAAAGTTGGGCAAGATACTGAACCCCAATTTGCTCCCGATGGGTGAGCTCTTGTGAATGAATGATTAGTTTCTGTTTCTGATGAGCATTTGGCATCTTCCATCGTAGTCTCCATCAGTGTGTGAATGGGTGAATGTGACATTTAGTGTAAAGCGCTTTGAGTGGACTGGAAAGGCGCTATACAAGCACAGCCCATTTACCATATCACTCACTTTAATGTAATAGTTTGAAATGTTTTGGGAACTACACTTATTAGCTTTCTTGCCCAGAGTTGGATGACAGACAGTACACTGAAAATGAAGCTACTGCTAGCAGCCGGTTAGCTTAGCATGGTGGAAACAGCTAGCTTGGCGCGGTCCAAAGCTTAAGAGTTACTGGTAGGCAGATTTTGTTATCTTCAGACAAAGCCAGGCTAGTTGTTTTATATGCTAAGCTAACCAACTTTTGGCTACAGCTTCATATTTACCATACAGATGCAGTGTGACAGTGATATCAATCTTCTCTTCTAACTCTTGGCAAAGAAAATGGAAAGGAAATCCAAGTATATTCTGGACTTCCATACTATTGCTATACGGCCAAACAAGTCACTTAACAAAGAAAAGTGGTGAAATTCACCTCATTTTGGACAATTTATTAAGACAACAATGTACATATGTTCTCAGGAGAAAACAAGAACATACACACAAAAAGTAGTCTACAATATATAAAAACACAGCATGTCCAATATATTAACACCATGTCTTTTAAACCAGAGCTAAATGAAATATGAACATTTTTGACTGCACTTGTTAATGTGAATTGTGAATGTGAAAAGAGAACCAAAATCCCAGCTGATACATCAAGCGAGTCAGAAGTTCATTATTTGACACCATGCTTGTTAAATCACAGTGGCATTGAGAGCCAACAGAGAGCGGAGCACCGAACACAGATTTGCACAAACAACTGTTTTGATTCCCACATACACCAGTCTGTTGTGTTCTGACTAGCTGATTCGCTGCTGATCTGCTGATCAGATGAATCAGCCAAAAGCAGACTGGGTCTGTGAAGAACAGCACCAGAGGAGCAATTAGCAACAAACTTGCTGATAGAGACGAGAGAGATAACAGCTACCACTGTACATGTCCACGGGAAGCTAATTAAGCGGCATAAAAACAACTTTGACAGCTGAATAAAACAATTAGAACACAGTCATTGTACGGGGAAAAGGAGAGGGAGAAAGCAACTTCACCGCAAATGTGAGGCCTGGTCACGGCTTGTTTTATCATTCAGAGTTGTTTAAGCCATTTTTAAAAGGTTTTCATGTAAATATAGAGCACTCCCAGCCTTGAGTCGTTCCTGCCATGTCGGCAATAATTCATTTTCATTTACATGTGGAACCTAAAGGTCACAGTTTCTGTTAACAACACTGGTCGCCTGTATGAAAAGCTCATTTTTGAAAAGACTGCACACGAGACCTTCATTCTTTAGTAGCCGTACAATATGCTTGTAGAGATTTTTCCATCCATCCATCCATTGTCATCCGCTTATCCTGCATACAGGGTCACGGGGCTTGTAGAGATTTAAAAAGGTATAATTATAGTCTGAGTGATTCTTTCTTTTTCTGGCCAATATTGATATTTGAGAGTTTTTAAAAAATCCAATAACAATGTAACAACTGATTTAAAAAAAACATTTGTTCTTAAATTATTTTCACAGAATTTTCACTATGTTTTGACTTTGAATGACAGTTTCCTCTGTTAGTCAACTTGTGGATAACTCATGTTCACAACTTATCTCCTTAATTGATGTAGATGCTGCCAAAATGTAAGACATATTCTCCACAGATAATACATTGTGGTCCATACAAACAGAATCTCTGTCTGCTTGTCTGGCAGAAGATACAGTACCTTGCAAAATGCTACATTACAGATCAAGGATCCAAAAAAGGTTTATTCCATATCTTAAACATATAAAGAATACAGACAGAATTCACACACTTCCAGCTTTGGCGGCCCCCAGTGGCAGTTTAAAAAGAAAAAAAAAAAAAACACTTGTAGACGGCCATGTTTGGTGCTACCCTCTTCACAGGAGCTCTCCATTCAGCACCACAACAACACAAGACAGAAGAACAGCAAGACAGCAGCCTTTTGTTTTTGATACGTTTCCCTCACTAGCTGCATGAATGATGTATTTTTATAATTGACTTCAATGGCTCACAGCAGGTTCAGTGTGGTGAAATATGATTAAAGGAGCCACTTAAATACTTACGAAAGGAAAGGGATACTTTACTGATTTTACACATTAAGATCAGTTTAGTTGTCACAAAAGTACTAGTCTTCCTTTGAAAACAATTGGATAACATTCTTCCAAAGTTTGAGAAAATAACTCCGATGATGTCATAATGATGTCATCAAGGTTATCTTGACTTTGGGCTTGAGACGCTTTTATTAAGACAACTTTAAAAAGAAAGATTATGTTACAAACTGGGGGTGTGGAGTTATGTGGGTATTCATGCAGAGAGGGTCTGATGAAAAACGTCACCAAGTTGAATTATGGGAAGTTTAGGAGCTAGGGTTTTGGGTGCTTGTCTCACTAGGGACTATAAGGCAGGATATTTTTAGCCTCTGCTGCTTGACTTCAGACAATTTTTTTGTAATCTGTTGCACCCAAGCTCAACTTCATGGACATGCATTAATAAATCATTTAAATAATAACTTAACAGCAGGCTGAAATAACAGTGTTTTACTACCATCTCTGGTTGAAAGTATAATGTCTGTTTGACCTTTAACCACACTCAGCATCACCCAACTGTGATTTCACAATGTACTAACACACTCTAGAGTAAAAACAAGAATTTCAGTGGGTGCTATGTTACTCTTTAAGGAAGGCTATGAGTTAATTTTATAATAACATACAAAGCCTTTTTAGATAAATCACTGGCCTTTTTGTTAAGCCGACATCATTAGGCTATTTAACTAATATTTTGTGACATGTAGCCTCTCTTGTGTGGGAAAAACGTACAGCTGCAGCTCCAAAAGTGTCTTATTTTTAATAATTTTCCAAGTTTAGCAGCAGAGAGATCAAAATCATTTTGAAGATGCTAAAAAATCTACACATCTTTAAGTGACAAAATGTCATTTTAAAAACATGCACCCTTTGTTTTAATGTAACTATCAGTCGTTGTAGAGCAGCTGCCACTTTTAAGAAATGGTGGGTATCTCATTTTTGGAACAAATCTGTTCAGTTAAAGATATAGGCCACGTATTCTTAGCATGCTGTCTCTGTCGCTGTGATCAGGTTTGAAGTGAACATGTATCCGACTGCAGCCTGAGACAGTGTTGCCTGAGCACAGACTACTGGTTACAATGAGCAGACGCCTGAGATATAAATACATGTTCTGTAGTGATGTAGGTGTAGCAACCCACACAGTCCCTCTCTGTTTGCTATCTGTGCTTCTCTGCTATTTGTCATCTATTCATATCAGAGTGCTAATTTGTCTAGGCTCTCTCACAGAAATAGTACCTGTTTGTGTATGGAGATATATATATATATATATATATGTGTGTGTGTGTGTGTGTGTGTGTGTGTAGCTACTGCTGCTACTGGCATTATGCTTTTATAAATGCAGATGTCCATCCACCTCACCTGTCATCCGCCACCTGCTGAAACAGCCACCTCATCACAAAAAGTTTTCCGCATCAACTCTTGGAAACTAAATGAGTGCTCTGATTTGACCTCATTTACAAAGAACAGAGATCTATAATTATCTGAAGAAGGGTTGTGGAGGAGGAAGCAAGCAGGGAGGAAGGGATGGATTTCTCAAAAGGGAGGAATGACAAGCAGAAAACTACAAAGAGGAGACCTCATTTCAATTTGATTGTCCAGATGTGGCTTAATTGCAGGCAAGCATGAGACTGATGCCTTGTCTGAACACACACAGAGAAGTGTAAAACGATGGAGAATATGGTCGATTTGTCCTGCTTCTCTTGAACAAGTGAAGCACAGTGGTGGGTCCACATTTAAGGATAAAGCCAGTGGAATTAAAATAATTAAATATTAAATGATTTCAAATCCGTTATGGGTGGCTGGTCTGTGTCCAGGAACTTAGAAATGATTCTGGGGGGAAAAAGGTCGGCCATATCTGGTCCACTGAGTAGACATGTCCACACTGGACTGAACATGTAAAGGGTCGCTCATAGAAAATAAAGAATGAAACAGAATAAGCTGCTCTGATATTATGTTCAAACATGACTGCAGAATGGAGATGAAAATGTTTTTGACTATAATAATATAACATACTACAGTTTGTAGTGAATGTGTATACCCATTTCACATTTCATTTATTAAATGCATTTGTGAGAATGTTAATGTTGTGTGCCACTGATGTAAGTGACATTACAAAGATCTCTGTAATTGTAGCCTCACAAAGCTAGCTTGATTTGTGAGAGTTTAGTTTTCGCTCTGGGTCTAAAAACATTCACACCGCATATATGTTTTTATTTTATTTTAGACTGCCTAACTACCAAACTAACAACACTACATTTCTGTTTATAATTTGACATTAAAATTAAATATTTGTTAATTAAACCTTCATCCTTAAAGCCGCTCTGTGAGGCTGTACTTAGGCACAGTATTGCTATGAGCTAAATGCTAACGCTAACATGCTCACAGTGACAATGCTAACATGCTGGTATTTAGCAGGTATAATGTCAACCGTGTTTAACATCTTAATTTAGCATGATACCATGCTAACATTTGCTAATGAGCACAGAACACAAAGTACAGCTGAGGTTAATGGGAACAGGAATTTGGTCAAAGACCAAAGGATTGGACAATTTGATCTGATGATGGCACTGGATGAAAAGTCATACGTTCAATACTAATTATTGCAATTCATCCTGAGATGGAAATGAATATGTGTAATATATTTTGTGGCAATCCATGCAGTAGCTGTTGAGATATTTCACTAAAAACAAATATATGTTGACCTCATGGTGGCGCTAGATGAAAAGTCAAAGGATCTACCAAAGTCAGTAAGATTTAGAATATCTGTAAAAAGTGAATGGTTATCCATCCAAAGTGCTGGTTCAACTGGCTGACCGGCATTGCCACCCATAGAGCTGGTAGCGTATCTAAAAAGCAAACCATCGTGGATGGTCCACAGTGTTTTTTGTTCTCCCTTCAGCCTGAAAAAGCTGGTCACAAAAAGCAGCGCCTAATTCTACCATTAAACACAAATGGATTCTGTGTTTATGTTGATGCAAAAGAAACAACTTGCTCCATCTCCAAGTTATACATGTACTGGCTTTAGTACGGTTTGTGCTCATCACGCACTTTAACAAAAGCAGTTTGCAAGTACCTAATGTTTCTCATCTTGTGAAATGTGGCAGCTCAGTAGAAGCTGCACACAAGCTGCCGCCACTGACTCCTGCAGTTGACATTAAACACCATCATTATCAGCGCTATTAGAAAAGAAAGCTTTGGGCACTGTAGGTAAAGAGGAGCTGATAAATGCAGATTTGTGGATTATTTTGACTCATGATGATCTACCTGTGATCACTCTTATTATATATTGTTATGTTAAATGGTTTGGTTTACTGGTTGAAGCTCTAAATAACTGATTTGAGCATGAAGATGCTGTTTTGATTTCCCTATGATGTTACTCATGCAGACATCATGTGCTACAGAAAAGCCAATTTGGGTAGATGGCACACACAGACTCTAATACAGGCACATAAAGTTTAAATGGAATATTTAAGTCATCTGAAAAAAAAAACAACATTCAACATTCAGCTCAAAAGCATTTACAAACACACACAGATGCACACGGGCACACGCCCTGAAACACATGGCAAGAGATTACACACTAATATCAGAGCATCACTCATCCTAATGACTTCAGTCACTTAAGAGACAATAGCACAATAGCGTGTCTCTGTGTTCCTAACTGTGGTACAACTAGCAGTGTCCATCTAAGGTTGTAGCATCATATCAAACTACATAAACACACTATTGACGGTTCACTTGAATTAACACATTATAGATTTAAAGCTCTGAATTGCCTTGACGAAAGCAACAGAGAGAACAGCAGATATCAAACATCAACATCAGCCATCGCCTTGTACTGTATCCGACTGCATTAAATGTTCACTCACTTCCCATTTGACATCCATAATTACACGTTGTAAAAACAGTGCAGCTGACAAAATGCATAAATAAAATGCCCTCGAAAATAAACAAACAACCACAACCACGTTTTATAAAACCTTTAGAAAAACAGAAACACAATTTAATTGAAAAGAACGGAAAGGTGTACTCACCCCAGACAATTCATCATTTTAACTGTCACCCATAGCTCAAAAAGAAACTGAACCTAAGCACTAAGTTGCACCGCCTAATAGTGAGCGGAATGACAGACACACCCACTGCTCCAGTGCTGCTTCTCTTCTCTTAGGGGGATAAAAGATATGGTGGACCTTGGTGTATGCAGGGAGGCTGTCTATACCAAGTGTCAAGGGAAAACGGTCAACACACAGGGAAAGACAGCGAGTGAGCGAGAGAGAGAGCGAGCAGGGAATAGCCCGAGCTTTGAGCAGAATAATGAGAAGAAAATCCATCAGAGAAATGAGAGGGGGAGAGGTAAGAGAGTTTTGAGATGGGTGGGGGATAAAAAAAACACAGAGAGACAGCATTAATGGTATTATTGGTGCTTGTGCAAATAGGAGTGCCCTTCAACATACAAATACCAATGAAGAGTTCTCAGTCGACAGCGTTTGAATTATTCAATTCAATTTAAGGCAGAAAATACATCCTGTCGCCTTGCGTGATTTCAGGAAAGGAAACACAAAAAAATTATCTCAACAGTGACGTCCTGCTGCTGGAAACCCTTCTTACAGTATATTAATCTCACTAAAAATAGTTAAAAGCGGTGTAGTACAGGAGGAAGCCAGCGTAGTAAGAGAGTGAAAGGTCTGATTGGCTCTACTTGTGGAAGAAGTGCAATCTGTGGACAAACTGTCTGGGGATTTAAAGAAAGGCAGGAGTGCTGCTCATTCTGGCACACGGGCGACCACATTCAGTGTGGTTACCTGAGTGGGTTTTCACATTTAGTTAGCTGGCGTTGCTCCATTTCATGCAAACACTTTGCCGCACACTTTCAAAAAACCTGTTGGCTGTAGCTGCAGGGTTATTTTGGGTTTTTTTTGAAGGGACTGCGGACACAGAGCAGCATGGCCATCGGTGTTTTCATGAAGTGAGTATTCAACTAAATCTGTCTGTGGCTCATCATCACAGACACCCCCATGCTGTGTATACAGTTCACATTGCCAATCCTCATTTACCGCTAACAACTCTAAGCTTTGGCCCCTCCATGTCAGTTTTAGTCTCTCAATTTCACATTTCAACACTGGTGACACTTTAAGCGACTTGGAGGGTCACTGTGGATTTACCCCGGGTGGCAGATGGGGTCCACCTAAACCTACAGTGTAGCTCTGAAATGGCTGGCAGCAGGCAGGACCCTCTCTAATCCATTCTGCAACAGAATGAGCAACAGGAAAAGCCCTGTTTATATGGTCATTATGGATTAAATCCCTGCAGATTATTTTACTTTTCACGGGGACTTTAAAATGAGAAAAGTGGGGATGTGTGTGGGACACAATACCAAGAGTGGGAGTAATAATCAAACAGCAATTTGTCTTTAATGGACAATCTGACACATTGGAAGAGACAGATGGGGATAACATGCAAGGATGGCAGAGCAGTACTCAAACATGGGATGATTTTATTATATAATATGTGTCTCAGACTGCCCAGGATAATGCTTTTTATAGTCAAAGGTTAGCCACTTTTCTATATTTTCACACGGTTTCAGAGGGCGGATTAGAGAGACCAGGCCAGAAACAACAACACTCTCCGCTCAATTTGCAGCCACCTTTTTACCAGCAGTTTATTCTTCTATGCAAAGTAATAGGAGCTGAAACGTCAGGGCTCTTACCTGATGCTGGAGATGAGCTGTCGATGCTCATCCGTGGTGAGTATGTTGGTCAGGGCCGAGGCCAACCACTCAACTCTCTTCTCAGCTGCATACTGCTTCAGCACAGTGAAGAGTTTCTCTTTCACTTCAGGTTCATCGCCTAAAATCTGCTCCACCTGGCAAGAGATTGGACAGTGATGTCAGAGGCTGGGAGCAGTTTGAGGTTAAGTCAGTAAAAAGGAGGAACATAGTAGATGCTGTCACTACACAGTTTTACATAGTGCCAGATCAAAAAAGAAAATATATAGTACTATATTACTTGAGTTTGGTCATGAGCTCTTGATGTCTTGTGCTTAGTCTCTTTTATAATGGTATATTTTCCCATCCATCCACAAAGTTTCACCTTTGTGGGCCACTGTTTAAAGGCTTACACCTGTGCAGAATCTGTACATAATTTGGTTGGATATAGAAGGATTTAGCAGAGTTACTGTATGCCCTCTTATAAGGAAACTTCATAAGTATTACTCTAACACAAAATATTTTTAATGTTATTTTAGTCTTAAAAACCTGGTTTCAAAACCTGAACATTTCTCTATGACATTAAATGTTCATGACTAAATAGGCAATAAGTGATCTTAAAATGTGTGTGGGTGAGGTGTGATCTGATTTGCTTGACAACAGCATCTCCCTGGAAACATAAGGAAGTAACCCCACAACTCTTAGCAGATTCAAATATAGTATTGCTAGATTCTGATTGGTGCACAGAAATTCATTTTAAAAATCCCATGTGAAATAACCAAACTGTTCTAACTTTCACAGAAAGGTTTGCATTTATGTAGGACTCCTTTGCTCGCAGTAAGAAGCTGATTAAGAAAATATATTTTCAAACTCCCAGCTGTACTGGACCAGATATGGGACTTGGACTCGCCTTGGACTGTGTATTGAAACGTACCTTCCTGTTGAACTCCAGAGCTTTATGTTTGCGGTCCAGTCTTGCGCCCTCTCCGCCCATCTGACTCTCCTCTATGCTGATGCTGTGTTTCTGCCTTGGCCCGAGGCACAGCACCCCCAGACGGAGTGTCCTCCCCTGGGAGGCCTTGATCAGCGCTGCGGCCGTCTCGTGCTGCCTGACGGGGATGCCATTGACCTCCATTACATAATCCCCAACCCTAAGACCTGCACGGCCGGCTGGAGAGCAAGGCGAGCAGTCCTCCACCAGCAGGGGGCAGTCTCCCACGATGGTGAACCCGAAACGACCGTCTGGACCTGGTATAATGTCCATCTGTAAGGCAGGAAAAAATAAATATCAATTTAATTAAATTTAATTATTTGGCACAATGTTTGACCCCAGATCATACCCTCTAAAAAAGATTCAGTCAGTCAGGATATACGGTTTCTGCACTATGACATGTGACTCCACAGGCATTAACCCACATATGCATCATTACTATTCAAAAGCTGTAAGACCTGCTGTATGCGAGACACCACTCCGATACTGGGAGGGATGTTCTTCTGAGTCTGAGCGATGGCGATGACAGCTTGCGGACCCAAAGTTGACACATTGTGGCCCTCAATCTCCAGGACCTGGTCCCCAGCCTGCAACCCCGCTAGGTGGGCGCTGCTGCCTTCCTCCACAGAGAGGATGTAGCTGGGTCCATTCCCACCCAGCTGGAAGCCAAACTCCTCAGGCCAACCCTGGTTGGACGATGGCATGCTGAGGACTTAAGGGAGAAGAGGATGGGGCAAAATGGATGCGATAGGACAAAAGAAAGGACAGCAGATTTGAGGATGGAGTACAAGTACAAGTGACCACGCATAAGCCAAGGATTTCACAGATGGAGGTCCTGCACTTCACTACAGTCACTGCAACATCTGTGCGGTTATGAGACAACATGTTAAAAAAAATACAGAAAAACACAAACTTACCCACTGCGGCCAATGCATTCAAGTCTATCGACATTGCAAAAAACACCTTTGGATCAAATAATCCAAGAGCTTTAGGTATTCGTGCCCTGCCTCTCCTCCCTCCTGCTATCTCCCCTGTATCAAGTTGTAATATCGAGTGCGGCTCTGTAACCCTCTACCCTGAACCATGACACACTCAGCGGTCTCTGACCTGGTTCACAAGCTCCAAAGCAGCCAATCAAATTATGGCATCGCAGAGATTGTGACCTTAATTAGTTTGAGAGACAAAAGTTCCTCCAGCAATTTTTTTTAACACACTGCACATGCACATGTCTATCTTGTTGAACAGTAATTATGCAATAAAGTAACAGAGCACACCACTGCACTGCCCTTTACAGGTAAGCAGATAAGAGATACAACATGGCATCACATAACAACCAAATAAGGTAAAATGAGGCACTTGCGGCACAAATTAAATCCACATATGACAGTTTTCCAAAACATCTCTAATGTGACAAATACAGATTACAAAAATCAACATGTTGGCTTTTGCTAAATATAATCAACTATAAACCCTCTAGCTAAGCTGGAAGCTAATGATGTGCTCCACAGCCTCCAAAGCCACAGCAGGATTCACACAGAGGCCGAAGCTGATAAAAGACTTACAGAAATCTTTAGGATACCGAGGGCCCCGTTTGCTCTGCCGAAAAGAGTATCTGCCCTTTTTGTTTTGCAAAAACTTCTTCATCTTGAATGTCAGATAGCAGATGGCCTGCTGGTATCCAATCTGTCTTCTAAATTTAAAATATGTTTAAAAAACAAAAAAAATCCCCCCCTCCCCCCTCCCCCACCCGATCACCCTGCAGCCCAAAGTCAAACAGAAAAGGTGACGAACTCAAAACAGTGCCCCATTCTTCCACCTTGAAACCTCAGCCGTGTCCTCGTGAGCAAAGGGTGAGTGTGCTTGAGAAGCGAGTGCAGTCTCTCTGTGAGTGTGTCAAGGAGTTAGTCCTGCGTCTCATCCCTGATTCATCCCAGGGCCAGCCTGCTTGCACAGTGTTAATCAGAAAACTGGGACGCGTGCACCCGCGCACCTCGGTTCCTTAATAATTCTCTCTCCAAAAAGGGTATTGTGAGGCCTCATTTTTCTATAAATACACCAGTGTGTCTTTTTCCTCCTCCTCCTCTCTCGGCTAGGTGGCTCTCCGAGGGACCACTGCTGGCCCAGAATCACTCTGCGTCGATGCAAGAAAGCCTGATGGGTACTAATTGGAGCGTCTGCTTGCCTGCAATTCTGTGTTTCCACGTGTGTGAGCACACTGAAATGTCCAGCCCATTGAGAACGAGTGGGGGCAATCTAAGACTTTAGCCTGTAGGATTAGTAGGATTATGAGCTGAATCTTCAGCGCTCCTCCAACCCTCTGTCATTAATACGGAAGGAACACATGCTCCCCTCCTTTAATGAAAGCCTACACTTACTATAGTAGAACCACACATGAATATATATTATCTGGTGAGAAGTTGGAACACTGCAGTGTCAAGATACAGTTTGTATCAAAGGCTCAGATTAGTTCAAAGTTAGAATGAAAACTTGACAATTTAGGCTTAAGACTAACAAAACAGGTGAAACAGTGAGTGTACCAGGCTCATGTGTAACCAATAACAAGTTAAAGGGTTAAAGCTGTGACAGTAAAATGATCATGAAAGAGAAATAGGAATGAGTTTACAATGAGATGGTGGAACAATGACACAATGTCCTACTTAGCTGCACTAATCAATATTTTGAGCCAAAATAGCAATGGATCAAATTACTATGTGTAATGTAAGGTGTCACTTATGTTGAGGAACCCACAGGGAGTTTTCACCTGACTGTTTTGGTTTTACTACATGGCTGTTCAGGTTCACTCTCACTGTTCTTACAAACCTTTCCCCCCCCCCCAGTCTCACCACACAGCTGTTTTCAACCAAAAAAGCGGCGATAAAACCCACTGAACTCTAACTTGCAAAGTTTGCGACTAGCTCGTGAACCTAGTGGAGCATTTAGCGGCTTAAGACCCAGATGAATAATTAAACACAAATGGCTTTATTTCTAAGCAGACACTGCTCACTTCAATCAAACTCTCCTCTTACACGACAGCAAAGACAGTTACTCGTGTGTGAGAAATTGAAGGACAGAAAACTGACATTTCACAGGCAACTGAGCCTGATAAAACTGGCTCAGCCTTTTCACTCAGTTACTAAACCTGTAATCTTTTTTTTTTTTCAGAGAATTTTTTTTTTACATTTGAGCATATCTACATTATTAGATGTTTTATATTAAAAAACAGAGGACATAAAAAGTTTATCTTTTTGCCCAAACTGGCCCCTTCGTTAGCCATAAATGTGGTTAGAAGTGTTTAGAAACGCTTCTCAACCTGAATTCTCAACTGCTAAAACCCACAATCTATCAATAAATCTAGAATAAGAAACATCTGAAATGATCAACACACCAGCACAGCACAACAAACGTCCAGCAGAGCCACGCGTCCTGTACCTTTTTAAGCAGCATCCATAAATGTGCACGCTGGGCTTCTGCGTAATGGTCCCCTCTCCAGCACTGTGAGCTGTAATATGAGTGCCGGGCCATGTCGGCAACCAGATCCAACAGGTGACTTGTGATGCCTTGTTGCATTGTGTGGAGCACCTGGATTGCAGTGACAGTGAGAAAACAATACTACTGCGAGTAAGTTACTTACTTATATACGCACTGCAGGCAAAATGTTGAAAACACTGCAGTCTTCTCAAGTGGTCTGATTTTTTAATTTTTGTCCGACTTGGAGTATTTTCATTTTATAAACTGACCTCCTGAATCCAAGTGAAAGCTTAAAAATGCATCACATCTCTTCAATCTGAAAACAAGACAGATTTCTGATAAACACAGGAGACGGGGAGTTTTTGACACCTGTGATGGTAAATGTGTGATGGTTATAGTTGCTTATAGCTGCTTCATGTGTTGTTGTTATATGTTGCCCTTGTCTTGATCATTTCATTTAACTCTTGTGCCTTTTGTTGTATCGTCTAATCTCTGTAGATTGTCGTATGTCTTATTCTGTTATCATGTTTCTTGAGGTCTGTGTTTAATTATTCTTTGATTTAGTTTCTTTGTGCATGAGTTTTAAGGTTTGTTGTTGGGGCCCCGTTTGTTCTGCCAAAAAGAGTCTCTGTCCTTTTTGTTTTGAAAAAACTTCTTCATCTTGAGTGTCACATAGCTGGCCTGCTGATATCCAATCTGTCTTCTAAAATATGTCTCCTGCCAGGCCGTTACTGTAAATAAGAAACTATGGTAAATTAACTTGCCTGTTAAAATAAAGGTAGCCTACAATAAAAAAAAGGATATAGTGTAGGGAAAAATAAATCAGGAGAAAGTTAGTCAATGCTCCAAAATGAGTGAAAACATTACAGTCTGACTATATTTATTAATAAAACTTTAAAACTGTTTAAGAATGTAGGCCTATGGTTATTCATTGTCATTTATTTGTAAACTTTAAAAAGGGACGCAGGATCAAACTAAACGAGGATAAAGTTCCCATTTATCGCGACATGCAGCTAGATGCCCCCCCCGGCTTCCTGCAGCAGTGCCAGCCTCAGCTGTTAGCTACATCGATGCTAAGGAAGTAGCATTATTTACAGAACATGTCCATGGACCAAAAGTGCCGCAGTTAGCCAGCCAAAGGCGCTAACCAAACCAACTATGTGAGATAAAACACTAAAAAAAACAAAGAAAGGCAGCTATGTGTGACCTTGACTAGAAGGTAAGGGGGAAATTAATGAGTAAATGACTGTAGGAAGTAGAGAAAGCTGGAATAATGTAACACGAGCTGGGCAACGTTACTGTCGTTAGCATGCTAAGGTAAACTTGTTTGGACAGACACCCTACGTTAATTCATTTAAATGCCTTCACCATGTTATACTGAATAAATAGATAGACTTAATTGTAAAAGTGTTGCTTCTTGTTCAGTTTGCTACCTGTTCGTTGTGAGTTTGTAACACAACCACCTGTTGTGTTGTGTCTGTGACGCTGCCAGGTGAGACATGGATTTCCTCACTCTGTTTGCTATCTACGTCGTGGTGGTGCTTGCATGTATCGTCCTAGTCTGCAAGTACTCAGGCCAGCAGCAAACCCCCTTTAATATCCTCCTCAACGCTGTGGGAAAGGTAAGCAAAGGAGCTTTTTAACTACGCTTCCACAAAGCGACACTGTGTGGCGCTGTTACACTACTTTATCACAACATAAAGACAGCATTAGAGTTGTTCACACATTATTTTCTTCACAGGTGTTTGCACCACTTACGCCAAAGTGGCTCCAAAAGTTTGGCCAGTGGACCTTGCACAGGCTGTTTCATCAAAGGTTTGTAGTTTAGGTGTTCTCAGAAATAAAGACATGGCCATAATTTTAAGTCTGTATCTGTATATGGTCTAATGTTCTAATTTAGCCTTTCATTTTACTTTCAAACAAATGTAATGTGTGTGTTTGCCATCTGCTTCTAATTACAGGAACAATGTGTTCATCTATCTGCATGTCCTGCTGGAGGGTGCTGTGTATGCAGAGTTCACCTATGAGGTGTTTGGCTTCTGCAGGCAGATGGACACCACTCTGACCAGCCTGTCTGTGCCTTATGTCCTGCTAGCCATCAAGACCTTCTTCTTCTACCGCTGCATCAAGAGGGACCCAGGTTAATTTAAAGACAAGTTATTAGCTGCAGTGTTAGAACATGTTATGTGAGACTAGCAGGGGAACCCCAAATTAATCTTAAAGCATCCGTCTCTTCATATTACGGTTTAGTTTATGTTTGGTTTGTGTGCTTTTCTGTTGTTTACATGCTTACTGCTGTTACATTTAAGTTCCCTTCAAGGACCATTCAATATTCCTTTAATTGAGTCTTAAAGAGTGATGCTGATCTAGCTTACTTGTGGCGATAAGGCCCTTGTAGATTGTGGGCATACAGAAAATAAGCTGCATTAAGTATCAGTTCCTAATAGACTTAAATGACTCCAATTAATTCAGATTCAAGTTGATCATTTCAGCTGGCGTTTTTACAAGAATAGCACAGGAAATCAGACAGGTTGCTTCTGGACAGGATAACATTCATGTGGACCTGTGATTAAAAAAACAATACAAATCACTAGACCTTTCTCTGTCATATTAAGGTCTGTCATACTATGTGGTTTGTGTGTTATTACACTGTAGCCATTTTTTTCATCTCTATTGACTCTGGCAGGCACAGTGACAAAGAAGAAAGTCGCTGGCCAGCTGCACATCTATCCGTACGATAGGAAGCTGTTTCACCCAGGAGTATCCTGTCCAACCTGCCAGCTCCTTAAACCGGCTCGCTCCAAACACTGCAGTGAGTACTGTCTTCCCTTGGGGTTTGAAAACAAAATGAACATTGTATCAGTGTTGAGCAAACTTATCTCCTTCTGGTTGTCCACTTAGGAGTGTATTATTTATACTCAGCGCTCCCTGTAAACACCGTCTGTTACTCTTTCAGGAGTCTGCAACAGGTGTGTCCAGCGTTTTGACCACCACTGTGTCTGGGTGAACAACTGCATTGGTGCACAGAACACGCGTTACTTCTTGCTTTACCTCTTCAGCATGTGCGCCATGGCCGGCGACATGGCCATACTAATAGCAGACATGCTGCTTCATGCCGTACTGCGGTCTGGGCTTCTGACAGCCAGTTATATAGATGAGCAAGGCCAGCAGCAGCCAGCAGGGCCTCTATTTATTATACAGGTGAGACTCAGTACTGCATATACATGCTGCAGCCTTGTTTATATCCAATTTAATTAAATTATTTTTCCCTCTGTCCCCTCCAGCATCTGTTCCTGACGTTTCCCCGAATCGTCTTCATGCTGGGATTTCTGGTCTTTGTCTTCTTCCTCCTGGGGGGTTATGCTCTGTTCCATTCCTACTTGGCTCTTGTCAACCAGACCTCCAATGAGTGGTACAAAAGTCGAGGTTACGTTTGCCAGCACTGCCACCCAACTGTAACAGCAGACCATCTCTGTGGCCCAGCACCAGACCACTCTAAAAGATACCACTACAGCAGAGGGCTACTCCGAAACCTGGGAGAAATTTTCTTCCCTCCACAACCTGTTCAGAAAAAAGACAATTGAAAAAAAGCTGCCTTCTGTGTTGTCAGGCTGCGTTTACTGTACCGTCCCCTGGGTTTCCTGTCCCAAAGAACTACTGCTGTCTCAAAAAATAAAGTTTACGTTGGCAATTTCTTTGCGGACTCTGGACCTGGTCTCCCACAAGGTGTTACAAATTGGAAAGCTCCGACAATATTGTCAGTAAACACAAACGTTATCCTTGTTGGATCAAATCATCGTTAATTAAATTTTCTAGCTGCAAGCTTAGGATACTTTATTCAATCCATTTTTAATCCTTTGCCTGCATCAACTAAAGCACGGATGCTTATAAAGCTGTAGCGAACAACATACGTCCTCCCATTGTTCACTTTAATTTCTTCAATTTATAGGATTAGAGCTCAGCTTTTCAATATATTGTAGTATGTCATTTTTTATTAGATATATTTTAAGAGTGGATATGAATTTAAATAAATACATTATTTAATTAAATTATTACTAAAAGTTAAACTGACTGAATAGATATTAAGCACACCTGTGCTAATTGGACAGCAAAAATGGATGTCACAATGTAATGATATTTAATACTATATAATAATTATAATATCTTTATTTTTTATAGCACCTTTTAAAACTAAGTTATATAGTGCTTTACAGTTAGAAAAATAAAAGGAAATAATATCCAAAACAAAGATATTAAACACGATAAAACAATTCAAATAATTACAGTAAATACCATCAGTCTAGAAGAAGCTTAAGATAAAAGTGAGTTTAAAGAACAGATTTAAAAGCGGTCACAGAGTTTGTCTGCATGAGAAACTGTAAGTTCCACAGCTGAGGGGCCCAGACAGCAAAGGCCCGGTCAAGATTTTAGAACCTTTAGTAGGGCCCTGCCAGAGGATCTGAAACAGTGATCAGGCTTATGGTGAGTTAGCAGATCACAAACATATGCAGGAGCCTGGCCATTGAAGGCATGCAGTAAAATCTTTAAATCCATTCTAAGACTCCAGTAACAAGTGAACGGCAGCGAGGCTTGCTGTGATGTGGCTGCTTTTCTTAGTACATGCTAAAAGCCTGGCAGCAGCAGGTTTGTATAAGTTGCAGTCTTTAGATGTTTCTCCTGCTGATAATAGAATAAAGCGTGTTGCAATAGTCAAGTCTGGAGAAGATTAAAAACACTGACAAGGGAGGATAATTCATGCCCCTGTTGGTGAGGACAATAAAAACATCTCCCAGGGCCAAATGAAATTGCTGAGGGTCTGAAAAGGTAGGCAGCTGAGCAAACCACTGTGAGTAAAAACACATTGGACTTAACTGTTTGTGTACCAGAGACATTGACTAGATGCTGATGGACAACAGTGGTAACATTTAATTGTTTTGATCAAAATTATAAGGACAGTTCGTACTTGCTTGATATTGAGAGGGACATGTCTATCGTCCCCACTAAATTCTACGCCCTTGAACGTGGATTTGCAGAGGAAAGGTGATCTTGGTTAAATGTTTGAGTTGGATGAGGTAGGACTGCAGCACTTAAGTCACCTGAGCATCAAAAGACAACAAGGGGTAATAAGCTATTTAAGATTATATTAAATAAGAGGGGACACAGAATACACCCCTTGGGGGGCCATGAGATGCAAAACACAACAGTGGATCGAACACATTAACAAAATGAAACAATTCAAAAAACACAGGAATGTTACAGAACATGTCAATATGCTTGTATAATATGATTTGTTCAGGTGTTTTCTCATTTGAATGTCTCATGTTTTATGAAATCTTGTGCTTTGTGAAATATTGTGGTGTTTTATAGTCTGTTAATGTGTTTCGTTTGCTGTTGCTTTGTTTTCCACCTCAGGGCCACCAAAGCTATGAACAGTCTTTCCCCCTGTAAGGTTCTTTAGCGTGAAGGCTTGCCCAAAGGCTCACGGGAGCTGTAGTTTGATGCTAAGAAGTTAACTTAAAAATAACACGGTGTTTGGGTTTTAGTAGTAGCTGTCGGGCTTAGAATACTCCGGTGCTATGCCTCAGTTTCTGGTTGTTTTTATTAAGGATAAATGCAGGTTGTTAGCAGGGGTTAGTGACCGCAGCTTGACCGGAAATGGGACATGACTTGGTTCCTGCCTCTTTAAGCCGGTGCGGAAGTAACGTTATCCGCAGAATTAATGCAACGCACAGTGGAAGGTCGGGTTGTCTCATGTGGATTCATTTCAACGTTACACTAATTTAACCGAACCAGTCTTCTGAGCCGCTGTTGGTAGTGGTGACCTTTATGAAAGCTCTGCCTCCTAGCTAACTTTCGTGACTTCGCACTGTAGGGAAAGAAACGTGACATAAGGTTAACCGTAAAGGTACCGGCCGGATAGGTTTTAAATCTGACAGCGCGTGTTAACCGACTCTTCTCTGATGTCCGCGTCAAAATGCAAACGGCTCAACGGAGCGCTGGTGAAACAGCTGCTGGACTCAGTGGACAGCGTCCTGTTTGACTGCGACGGGGTCATCTGGCGCGGGGACCAGGCCATCCCCGGAGCCTCTCAAGTTATAAATCTGCTCAAGGAGAAAGGGAAGAAGGTTTTCTTTGTCACCAACAACAGCAGCAAGACGAGGAAGATGTACGCCGACAAGATGTCCTCGTTGGGGTTCAACGTGAAGGAAGACGAGGTGTTCGGGACCGCGTACTGCTCCGCCATGTACCTGAAGACGGTCTGCAAGCTGGAGGGAAAAGTGTACCTGGTGGGAAGTAACGCGATGGGACAGGAGCTGGAGGCGGTGGGGCTCCAGCACACCGGGGTTGGACCTGACCACGTCTTCGGGAAGCAGACCGACTGGGCCAACGTGCCTCTGGATCCCGAGGTGAAAGCGGTGTTGGTCGGTTTCGATGAACATTTCAGTTACATGAAGCTGAACAGAGCCTTGCAGTACCTGACCCAGCAGGGCTGTCTGTTCGTGGGGACCAACAGGGACACCAGGCTGCCCCTGGAGGGAGGCAAGGCTGTCCCAGGTAGGGACACTCGTTAGATACTCATGCACACACTGCACTGTACTTGCTGGCCAGATATAGTGGAGCTTCTGCACACTTTCGGGCTCACTCAGGTTGTGTTTGGTGAAATATGAGACCTCATCTTTCATTAGTCAGGTCATGAAATACAAGTGAGTCGGGTTTTTTTTTTTTTTTTTTAAGGGTAATCTTGTGCTCAGTTCTGTCTAGGATGGAGGCAGGGCCAGAGGGCTGAGGCTTATTACTGATTTAATCATACACTCGTATACACTTAAACCTGCTTAAGATACTTGTACACTTGTCAGATGCAGAACTATAATTTCCTCATTTTTATAGACAAAAGCTATCAAGTCTGCAGGAAAGCCTTTGTCTGGGACACACAATGTGTGGCATGCAAAATATTTCAAAGTATCCCCCCCCCCTCCCAGGTACAGGCTGCCTCCTGCAGGCCGTCGAGACCGCAGCCCAGTGCAAGGCCCAGACGGTGGGCAAACCCAACCACTTCATGTTCGACTGTGTGGCCTCGCAGTTCAACGTGGACTCCGGCCGCTGCTTGATGGTGGGCGACCGCCTCGACACGGACATCATGCTGGGCTCCAACTGCGGCCTGAAGACCCTCCTCACCCTGACGGGGGTCAGCACTGTGGCGGAAGCCGAGGCGCATCAGAAGAGCGGGTGTGTGGAAAGGCAGGGGATGGTGCCGGACTATTACGTGGAGAGCATCGCAGACCTCCTACCGGCCCTGCAGGGATGAAACGTCTGCTGCGGGACTGAAGTGTAGCTGTGTGACAGCCGAGCTGCTGTAACCCTGAGGGGTGTAAGCTAGCCCATCACACGCCCAGCTGCATGGTCTTCTAAAAGGGAATATTTTTCATTAACAATAAAATCGTCATCTGTAACAAAGTCACAGCCAAGCAGCAAACTGCTGTGTGACAGGAGACAAAGACTTAATAGTTAAACTAAAACATTATTAAATCCTGCTAATTTAATATATTGATGATTTATATTAATAACAAAAGAACAATGATTTTCAGTATTGTATTAATGTAATTTAAGTTTTAAAGAGTTTTTGTTTCTTTATGGGGGAGGAATGGAGTGAGGTGGGTGTACTTCAGGCCCTTACCCTGTCTGTGATGCAATCTCCCCTTAAGCAACCACAAGTCAAACTCAAGGAGGGAAGTAAGCACACACAGTCTCAACAGTTTGGTAATATATGTGTGTGTTGAGGTTTACAGCTCTGTTCCAGAGTCTATAAATAACAGGCACAGAACGGGACTAAAAGGCACTGAAATGTCTGACTTGAGCTTTCTTTTTTAATGTATTTTACACACCTCAGCAGGGAGTGCTAACACTTGCAGTAACACTGATGGGACAGTGCAATGATCCCATTTTTGTCACGTCAGTTCATTAGTGAATCATAGAGTATCAGAATGCATGTTTTAAAGGTACCCTAATCTTCTTTTTACCATCTGTTTTTATTCTGACTTGTCCTTGACTCCCCTGAAACACTGGCAGCAATGCTCAAATATGTAATAAAACATAAACTACCTTCACTAAATCAGCGTCTGCTCTCTGTGGCTTTAAGTTCAAAGTGAACGCAGCAAACTTCCCTCTAAGTCCCGTGCTTAAAGTCACCTTGGGCTGTCATCGGCTGGACGCTCCAACAGTCAAAACCACGGATCACCTCTCACCTGATGAGAGAGGCTCTCCAAGCTGTGCCTGCCTCACCCCTTTGTCCATTGTCTGGGCTGAGGAGGGTGGCCAACTCCTCTCGTGTAAGTGTATGTTTGAGTGAGAGGGAACGGGGGCAGTGGACAGACCAGATCATGTTAGAGAGGCATAATAAGTCATATTAGGCAGGGAAGTCATAAAAGGCATAAAAGGAGGAAATTGCAGGGAGACAAAGCTTGAAAATTGAGTTTGGCAAGATTCAGAGATCTGTGTGAAGTGGATTTTGGAAGGAAAGCAGTGAGCCCAAAGGAGGAGGAGGAGGAAGAGGGGGTGGGGTGGGGGGGTCTGAGGTGTGCAGGGACAAAGAGAACCTGGTATTGAGTCTCAGTCAGTGCTGGTCATGACCACAGCTCCATGCCGATAGCTACGAGAAGGGAGCAGACCGAGTGAGGAGCCGTCAAGGGACACAGGATGGTGAGGTGTTGGAAACATTCAGACAGCCGTTTGGAGGAAGCACAGTGCACGGTAAGCAGATGGCATTCGATAAAACGGCAACTACCGACTTAGGAAAGATTAGATTAGAATATTGGCTGGCGAAGAGGTCAAGGTGGGAAACTTGATTTTTGCTTACATGCAAATCCTGCCACACGCTACAACACAAACCAGCTGCAGCCGGGGCTTCAGAAAATTGCTTTAAGAGCAAATCTCAGCTGTCAGTCAAAATTCACACAAATTCAGCTGGTGTTTGGTGTCAGTTTCCCACTCTGCTACAGTCTGATGTTTACATCCCATACTGAGATGTCAAGTACTGTTTAAATCGCTGGTTCACGCGTGTGTCTTCAGGATGGGGGCTCTGCTGCGTCCTCCCAGTCCCACTTTCCACACAAGGCATTCTGGGTCAGCCTCTCAGCCTCTCTGCTCCTGGTCATCATTGCTCTCGGTTTGACGGGGCACCTAGGGCTGTCTCAACCTCACTCTCAGGTGTGTGATGTGACTGTCTGTGACCACATCCGCCAGAAACCCCTAATATTGTTAAGTTTGTATTAATCCGAGTCTGCTTTTGTAGTCTTCGCAGACTGTAAGAATCATAGTTCCAGACCAGACTGGAGTTCTGATCAACCAGTCAGCCGTCGTGGACCATCAGAACGACCTGGTGACCTTTTCTGTGACCTCACTGGCCAATCAGACGTCCACCGTGCTCTTCGATACCAAACATGTGCGTCCAGGTGATATGCATGAGATTGAATGCGTTTAAGCGGTCATGACGAGTATGATTTTCTGACTGCGTTCAGAAGCTGCATGACTGATATAACTCAAAAAAAGCGAGATGGGAAATGTGTCTGACTGTCTGCTGTTGTGTTTCAGGGTTTGATATGTTACAAACCTGTGAACGAGGAGAGCTGCTTCCTGCGAAAGATGGACAGGTCTGACTATGACAACGTGCACTCCCTCCTCCACGAGTCAACACGCGAGGTAACAGACATTTCAACACGTGAGAACTGAACCCCCCCCACCCCCCCACCCCCACCCCCACCTTGTTGTGTTCGGGATATGTGAGACCACAAAGCTCAACATTAAAAACACACCAAAGGGCAAATGAAAGAAAAAGAAAGTTGGGTTTGCCCTTTCAGCTCTGCCAGGTGTTTGTTAAAAGCCGCTGCGTCACTAATGTGTGAACTGGCTTTTCTGACTGTGACTCACAGTATTGCGCCACTGAGCCAGGACCTGCTGGGTTTCCTAGTTTCTGCATGACTTCCTTTCCACTCTGCACAAAGGGAGGGGTGATGCGTACAGGGCCTCGAAGACCAAGTACAATCTCCCTCTCTCGCCTCCACGCCTGAATTCCTCAGCACATCTGATACCCCCCCAGGCCCCCTCGGCGTGCCCAGGATCTTCTTACAGGAGGCTACGGCAGCGAGCCTGAGCCCCGGAGTGGGCACAATGGCCACTCTGTGTGAGGGCTTTGTAGCTTTTAAGACTGTTGGATTAAAACACAGCCTCATGCATTGGTTAGTCAGGGGAGGGCCTGTGTGTATCTGCTTTGTGGAAAATACCTGGATCTGTAATAGTGACATCCACAGTTTCTGAATGGAGCCCTGTTGCCCTCAGACATGATCTGATTCTTAATTGTGATTCATATTTGACAATATGAGCGGGTGAATGGCTGAGCCAAACTGAGATGGGGTTCTGTTTCTCTGCCTTATCATGTTTTTGCACATGAGCCCATTTCCACGCATCAAAAGCTGCATTTTCAGGGTGTCACATATCTCATACAGACTGTGGTCATTTAAACCACGATAGAAAGGATAGGCCCCTTATGGATGGAGAGTAGATGTGGTTTGTCCCTCTATTGTGCAGCACAATGGTCTTCTCAGTCTTTTACAGCACTGGAAAACTGGCTGTTACGTGACCCGCTCGAGCATAACAGTACTTTAAGTGGTTCACTATCAAGAGCCAATCAGAGGTGTAAGTGGTGCAATTACATACGGCCTTTGTGATGAATAAGAGTGCAAATGTGTAACTGTGTTGATCTCATCAGTGAAGATATCAGGCTAATAGCAGCTTGAGTGTCAGTCTTCTTCATATCTCCCCTGCTTCGACTCCAATTTATTCATTTTGCTTTGTCACTGTGAGCTGAAGATGATTTCTCACACTTATTGAATGACAGCTGCAGCTCCAGAGTCTCTATTCATTCCTGCAGAGGACAAAAGTCTTTTCGTCTGTTGTGATGCTGTAATACTGTCCCCGGCAGCAGAGTCAGTTCCAGCTGTCTGGGAATGAGACCCGAAGGCAGACAGAGTTCCTGGAAGTGCTGGCAGCCAGTCAGGTGGATGTAGCCACGCTGGAGGAGCCTCTCCAAGCTCTGTGTCAGGACAGGTCCGTCCACTGGACCAGGAGGGCTGAGGGTGAGGACCACCAGACTTCAACATCAAATGTCATGTAAAAAGGAAAAAAAAAGCTTTTACAAATTCAAAGACAAGGTTTGGGCATGGGCATTGTAGGTTATTTTCACTCAATCCCACATACACCGTCCAGCTGCCATAAAATATGTATTAATCCGCCATTTAAAACAGTCCCCAAAAAATGCACTATTTACTCCTGTTTGACTGATGTTTGCTAAAAGCTGTTTCTTTAGCCTTAAAAGAATAAAAAAAGTTCCGACTTGCTTTAAAACAAATTATGTGTTCGGTAGAAACTACTGTCTGAGGCTTTAGGCTCAGACAGGGCAGAGAAGTCATAAAGTATTTAGAGATGAATTTACAACTTTTTGGTTTTGGTTTTCTCTGTATTTGGACAATAATAAAGAATAATGGCAGCCATATATTTTAAATTCTGGTCAACAAGTAAAACAGATGTGGTTTTAGCTTAACCACTGATTTCTGAATGGGTTTCAGTAGTAGTGTAATTTCCCCTGCCCATGGAGAAGCAATCCTTTACTCACAGTCAAAACCAGTTGCGGTGCAACTAACAATTATTTAATGATCAATTAATTACCTTGGTTACACACACCTCTGAGGGAAAATGATGGTACAGACATTATAGTGATATACTGTAGGTTTTTATTTTAGTTGTATACAGGCATTTTGGCCTCTTGACAAAAGTGTGAAATAAAATAAATTAAAAAAGAGTGAATAAGAATAAGTGTGAAATAAAAATGGCACGGTTTCTTACATTACACACCAGAGTTTGTCAGGTCCCCACAGACAGTGTATGATGGGAGTTTTTAAAATTAGTCAGGTGGCAACTCCATATCGAACTAACGAGTCAGGCGGAAACCTGAGTCTAATCTATGAAGTGCAATGACCTTTCCACTGTCGCAGCAAGTAACATTATACTCACTGAACAGTCTACAGGTGGTGCTGGTGACACATTTTCCCCATACAGAATTAGTATATTAACATATCGTACATTAATCAGGCTGCTTTTAGACCCAAAATTGTGTCTAACTTGTAAATATTGTCAAAATGTATTAATAATGTGTGACAGGGATTTTGTGACTGATTCAATCAGTTTATATAAGCTTTACTGTACTCTACTACTACTACTGGGAAAAAGAAAATGTTTTTATCAAATAATTTATCATTTATGCTTTAAAGTTGTGACAGGTTATCTGGGTAGTGTTTGTAGAATTGGGGCATAATATTCTGAATTTAGGGAGGCAGGTTATTAATAGCGGTTAATGCAGTCAACAGTAAATGCTGTGCTGTCTCCACTATGATGGCCTGTTTCCACAGTGAGGTCGTGTTCACTAAATCTGGGTTTTGTCAAAGATTTTGTCCGATTTTTAATGAGTCACTGCGGTCTTTATGTTGCTTTCAGGCCCAGGCAAACAGAGGCTGGTCTACTTCTGCATCGACATCTGCTTTCCCAGCAACATCTGCGTGTCTGTGTGCTTCTACTACCTGCCAGAGTGACTGTGTATTCTCTTGCTCTCCTCCCAGCAAAAGATCAGGGAAACAAAGTTGTCTTTTTAGCTCCCTCTACAAGAAAGAAAAAAAAAGAAAAAAAAAAAAAGAACAAAAGCCAGCTTTGACTGTTTCCTTCGTGCCATACAGCCGCCAGTAAAGCAGCCAACCCTCCCAGTCCATTTCCATGCTTCCGAGACAGAAGAGATGGAGACAGGCTGTCACGGTTATTGCCAAAGCCCCGTCGTCACTCTCTTCATGTGTAATACCCTCTCTGGTGGCACACCTCAGAGATTACAGAAGAAAGATCCCCTTTTTTTGTACGTGCTGATAATTGTATTTCCTGTAACCCACTGCTGCAGTGTAATTATGTGTAACCGTTTCTGTTGCAATGAGAGTGTTTTCATCTGCCCAATAAAAGACTGTTTATTGAATTTTTGAGCCACTGTTTCTTGATTAGACTGAAAAAAGAATGACAATAAATATGGTACACTATAACAAAAAAAGGGTTGAAACGGATCTCCTATTGTGCATAGAGCGATGAAGTTAAAAACATAAAGGGTACCTGATGAAAATGATCATGTATTTTATTCAGACCTATACTGTTAGTACAGACGCGTTCCTGACCGGCCGCTTAAAGTTGGTGTAAAATGGGGTGCTTGGTCATTTAAAGTGGATTGTTACTTTATGGCCTTGCTGCTATTCAGAATACTTGCAGGCATCTGGCAAGGAGGAGCACTGTAGACACAAGCCTCCGCTTTCTCAAGATGATCATTTCTGGGAAGCTTTTTAATAATTCCCATTAATGCCCAGCGCACCTCTGTGAATTGAGGCACATCTTCCAAAGAGTCGCTTTTCTGTCCACACTGCCTGCCATCTCCTGTCTCATTCCTCCTCCTCCTTCTCAGCCCAGCACACTGTCATTGAAAGCTAGACACACCACAGCTTTCTGGTGGCCGCTGTACTCCCTCTTGATTTCGCCGGTCTCCACGCACCACAGGCGGGCCAGGTTGTCGGACGAGGCTACGGGTGGAAACAAGAATCAGGACCTGATATCAAGGTGTATTTACACTTAAGTTATAAAACCTTTGCCTGCTTCTCTCTAAAACGCTAACATCATTCAATCTGTAACTAAATATTAAGAAATATGATGATGAAATATAGGAAAGACATTTTTACAACATTACAGCTCATTTTAAGCTTTATTAATATAAACTGCATCCCTAAAGTAGCTTGATGAAAAAAACCCACCATATTGTTTGGATTGTTCTTCACTGCAAATACACTGAACTGTAATGATCATATATGAAATGCATGAAAGCATTGCGTGGTCATATGCATCAGTACAGAAAACTCTTTTTATGGCTTGCAACTATAAGGACCGCAAATGCAAATAAAACCGAAAATAAGTTTGCATTGTTGCAATGTAAGGAAACTTTTGTGCAAATGTTACGTCTTTACGCCTCAAAGCAACAATAACCTAATATTTCAGAATTTTGACCCACACATTTCCAGTCCAAATAATAATCTAATCTGATATTGTAACGCCAAAAGAGCAAAACTTTTTTAAGAGTGTGGGATCCTTGTGTCCAAAGGCAAGTTGTTATAGAATGGTTTTGATGTTACTATACTGAGATTGCATTGTAGTGATAACCCTTTGGCCATGGCTCATGTACTGACCAGTGACAATGTATTGGGAGTCTCCAGAGAAAGCACAGTCCCACATCCAGCCTCTAGACGTCTCTCCGGGATTGTTGCTCTTGATGCTCAGCTCCGTCATCAGAGAGAAATTGGACGTCCTCCAGATCTTGCAGGTCTGGTCTGCTGAGCAGGTGGCCAACAGGCTGGAGATGACGACCAACACCAAAAGCTATTTATCATCGGCCACAACATCAGAGAGGGAAACTAACTTTCTTGTTAAGCAGTCACAGTTGCAAATAAATCCCAGAACACAAAGTTAGTTTCACAATGTTACAACAGCAGGACATTTTCAGCGCAATAACATAATTTTGCTGAAGTATCCATTGGGGCAACATGGCACACATCAACCACACTCAAGTCTTTTCTATCTACAACAACATTATTTGTTGTTCAAGAGTTAGCAAGCAGAGAAACATTTAAAGTGTGTAGAAAAAGGCACTCACGTGGAATCAGGGCTAAACTTGCAGCGGAGTGAGTAGCGTTTGTGTGCAGGGATCTTAGTCTTGGGAATAAGCTGAGTCACCTCATCTCCGATGCCTCCAGCAAGGTTCCACACATAACAGTTTCCCTGTTAAGGTGAACAAAAGGGAGCTGTTTTAGTCATTTAACATAAGTTAACAATAATAATAGTATCAATAAACATTTCAGACTGTTTGGGTACTGACCGAGCTGTTGACCGCTGCCATGTAACTGGCATCTGGGTCAATGTGAACTGAGTTGACTGAGACCTCCGGCTCAGGAATCAGCTGTTCATTGTGGTCGGTCTTCAGATCCCAGATATGAATCACTCCACTCTGGTCTCCAACAATCAGCTCTGCCTGAAAAACACAAAACACTCACTGTTTACTGTTATTTTGGGCAGTAAGCACAGCCTCTAATACAAAAATAAAATACTACAGAACAACACTGTAATAACTGACTTACAATAACATTAAAAACAAAATGACAATTTATGAATCAGTGTACACTGAATGTCTCACCTGGTTGGGATGCAGGCATACACAGTTGATTGGAGCATTGACCTGGAATATCCTCTGACACTGTAGATTTCTTGACCTGTGAGGAGCAGTAGGGATCAGAGTTAGGCTTGTTCGACATAGAGTGAACATGTTTTAGCACAGTGCGTTTCCTCTGCAGTACCTAAGGTCCCATATGCGAGCCATACAGTCTTCTCCTCCTGTGTACATCCAGCGTCCGTCTTCGTGGAAACCCACAGAGGTGATGTTCTTGCTGACGCCGTCGTAGTTGATCACTGGGTTGGGGTTGTTGGAGTTCAGGTCGTACATGCGGATGTGCTGATAACCTAAAAAGCAGAGTGTAAATTGCTGTGAAATATAGCAGCTTTGAATTTAACCATGCAATCCAAGCTGTGCATGAAGCACAATACTAATATAAGAAACAAAGAGAAGGCCTGACAAAAAAATCTTAACTAACCTGCTGCTGCAATCATACTCCTGTCAGGTGTGACCTCAAGTGAGTTTACTTGCTAGAAGCAAATGTTAAGGAAGTGGGTCATTTATATGTTGTTTTACAGCTCAGTTATAAGTCTGGAGCTGCTCTAGAGACAGTAAACAGAAGCTCCATGTATATAGCTTAACATATTATTGATGTCTTAGGATACAGAGTCCTGGTGCTGAACTGTCCTGGTGCAGATCCCGCTGTGGGCCTGCCAGAAACGGACCGTATGGTCGTATCCAGCCGTGGCCAGAATGACTGGGTCGCTGCCCACCGTGCCCTGGTTCACATTCATGCTGGACTGCTGGCTGTCACTGCTCAGAGCGAGGCATGTACGGACGGACGGTACTGCACAGAAATTTAGGAGTTAGCTGCTTTCCATTAAATGTCAACTTAACAGGAACATCCTATAATCTACATTATATTATATCTATATAATAATATGTAATTTCTATATATAGATATAAAAATAATAATCACACTTTGTAAATAACAGCTTCAACTTGTAACGTTGACATACAGGCTAACGTTAGCAAAGCAGCCAAGCTGTGTTCAAGGGCCACTCAATTAGCTCGTCTCTACTTCAAAAACACACTGCGGCTGTAACAATATTTCACTGTAGAACACTATATATGACAATTTAGACCACTTAACAGAATAAATTTGACAAATTTTGATTACCTTTAGTTGTTCGTGTTGACGACAAATCAGTACGTCCCCGTTACGTGTCCGTTAGCAACATACAGACGATGTTTAAAAGGTTCCGTTTTGATAACCAGCGCTTTGCCGACATCTACTGACATATTTTATCACAGCAGGACAAAGAAACCACAGCCGCTCAGACCGATTCAAAACGTCTCTGATTCAACTCTACAGGTTTGTAGTTTGTTGTGCTGTTGTAAATTACATTGTAATATTTTGTAATACTACCAAAATGAAAGCAAAACATTTGCTTTACTGATGCTTTAATTTTAAATTGGTGAAATTACTCGCTTAAAATGTGTAACTTTTATGAATGAAGTAATAATTGAGTCAGTATATGTGAGTAAATGTAACTCTTTGTCTTATTTGTGAGCATGTTTTGAAATATTCTTTTTTCATGGAACAATAAAGGTTGATTAATATATTTGACACAGAACATATTGACATATAACTGTTTTTAAACCGATATATTTATTTAACAGTTTCAAAAAGTGGTCAAGCCAGCAGTACATTCTTTAATATATATTTAAATAAATAAGTTAAATAAATAAATACATAAATAATGAAGCTATACACAAAACACAAAGCCCACCTGTATAATGTGACTTTTGCCCTGGTTAACATCTCAGTCAGAACATTAGCACACAGCAGGTAAAGCAGCAAACTGCAACAGATGTGCCTTCCCACTCAGTCAGTGTGTTGTGATCACAGCCGCAGCAGCAGGGCAGACATGTGCTGTTTCACCTCTCCCTGGTCAGCCAGTGAGCAGGCCACGACTGTCCCCCTGATCCCAGTCCTCATTTTAGTAGAAGGAAGTATCTACAACATAATAACAAATTTTAAACACATCATTTCGCTTTTATAGCTAACCGACACAGCATAGAGTCTAAAGCTACAGTACCTTCACATATATTTTGCATCTCTCCAAAAGAAATTTCCACTTCATTGCAGTCCGCTCGTCATCAGTCAAACTGGTAAACTCCTCCATCTGCAACAGATGAAAGGAACATGCCCTTTATCTCACCTGAATACAGATTACCATGTGTTGGAATTGCAACTACCAGTTTATTAAAGTCATAGCTGTAAAATATAAAATCTGACATTGGATTTAATACATTTAACTAAGCAAATGTTCCCGACTCTACAGAACCACACCGAAATTAAAGACATAAATTGTTTGTATAATTTTCAGCTGGTATTCATCTCTCTCCTCTTATGGCGCCTCTACCTGTAGGCTGACAAATCGTCCTTCTGTGAAGAGATACTGACCGTGCAGCCAAGTGTCTTTTCTGCCACTGGGCTTCTGAGCGAGCAGGCATGCAGGGTGCCGGTGTGGTCTGTGAAATCCACCAGCAGGTCAAAGCCTGTGTTGGTTGAAAAGACCTGATCCCTCCCTGGACACAACTGGTTGATGCAGCCCTGCATGTCCTCAGTCACCTGAAACTTGCACCTGGAGCTGAGAGGGCAGAGTGCACTTTATTTGCTATAGTTCATCACAAGTGGCAGACAAAAGTAATTTATTTCATTTAGCATGTTCAAAATGATCGAAGTAGAAGTCGTGTATTCAGCATCCACTCCATGCACCTTTGTGAACCTACCAGCGTGTCCTGATGACTTTTGAAAGAGAAGAGTCAAGGTCGAGCTTGGAGATGAAGCTGTATGTGATGCCAAAGAAAGGCTCCAGATTCTCCTGGGCCTTCTGCTTCAGCTGGCTCACTGTGTACACGTCAGTGATGGAATCCACTGCAGAGACAAAAACAGATCCACATGTTCATGTCTGCAGTCTTTTTATTTGGAAAACAGGCAATGACAGGGTGGTGATGTTCTATATGTCTTTTTTTATTGTCAAAAAAATTCCATGAAAACAGTGTGTTAGTCCGCCTATCAATACTTATAGACTTTTACAAGTCAAATGGCTCTTAGCCACAAGCACCATTTGGTACTCCTAAAGATGTACATCTTTAAATATGACTCACATATACTATACTATTTGTTTTTTTTAAAGGATCAGTCATTTTTTGCACTGTAGTTTTTAAGAAATGTTACTTTAACAGAAGTAAATACTGTCTTTATTGTGGACTATTTTCAGCCACAAAATGTTGTGCTAGTATTTACAGCAGAATGAGGATATAGCATGTGGGATCGGCACAAAATAAACTACTTGTGATCATTTTCGTAAAGTGTTACATGTAAGCCAGTACAGCGGTGTAGCTCCATGATGTGTGTTGGCACAGAGAGAGAGAATAAGCAGCATTTGTAAGAAGGATCAATTTAATGTGAGTTCTGGGCTTTGCATTGGATTTGTTGACGGTAAGAAAAATGTCAAATGTAAAATATCAAAAGACTTATCCTTATCCAAAAATAGGATTTTAGCTATATAGCTACAAGAACTTGATCATTGTACACTTTCCTAGATTTTACAAGGTACCTGTACCATGGAGTATAACGACAGTACATAGTGCACTGTCTATTAACATTATGACCCAAGAAAAGACAAAAATAGTAGTAAGAGCTGAGGCCTGAAATACGAAGAACATTTTCTATCAACATCCTGATAGTATCAGAATGAAGGGAATCCTTCACTATAACGTACCAGGCACATCTTCTGGCTTCTCATCTTGATCCAGGGCACCAGACTCGGCTACTTCTTTAGCGTAGCTGAACAGCAGGCTGGCCTCCCTGGTGTCTGAGAGCAAATTATTACTTGGACTGCAACAAACTGACTGGCTGTTTGGTTGGTTACCCAAAATAGCATTTCAACCTTGTTTTTGCACAGCAGACAGTTACGTCAGCACCTCTGTTTTTGTAAAAGCTGCTGTGGTATCTTACCAGGGTTGACAGTGATGATGGTTTTTGAGTTGACGGTTGCTGCCATGCCGTTGCGAAAGCTGTCAAAGCTAATCTTTGCATCAGCTATGAAGAGCACTTTGAACGGAGAATGAACGTTAAAACAACAGTAAGTAATATCAAACATAAACACACGTCAGATATCCACTTCCATATTTCTCTTCAGTACAGTATGTTAATGGCCCCTGACAGGCAGGACTAACAGTTAAATAAAGATTCATTTTGTGGCTGAGAATGAGCTGCAGCTGTTAACCGACCCGTCTCTTTGGGTATCAAAGTTTGCACGAGCTGAATGGCCTCTCTGTCCCAGCTGTGAGGGGAACAGTGGAGGTCAGGGGGTTACTCAGGGGAGAACAGAGTGAAAATCAGACACACATGGAGTTCAGCAGGTTAATCAAAAGCTTCACGTCACCAGAGTAAATTTGCGGTAACCTGAAGATACACAGGGGTGATCCACAGGGGCCAATGAGATGGAATATGGCACAAAAGCAACACAAGTAATAAATCTTTATTCATTTGGAAAATGAATAAAGAAGCATGACGCACCAGATGAGAGGGAAGGAAGAGACAGAGTCATCAAAGAGCTTCACTTCCAGCCTCTGCCCTTTGCGTCTGTCTGAAGTGGTGAACTGCTTCAGCTCTCCAATCTGAAAATGTAAACAGACTCATCTGATGTTCCTATCACAACATCTTCCCTTCCAGTGAAAAAAATAAAAATGATGCAGCGACTTTAAGTGCAGGGTCTGGCCTCTCTCTGAACTCTGAAGCATGTCTTTAGGGCCATTTTGGTAAGTTGGTATGTTCCAGGCAAACAACATGCATACCACCATGTAACCACACAGACAAAACAAACACAATGTGCTCTATTAGGAAATTTATAAGATATGAACAAAGATATGCTCCATTATCAAATTTGTTTAACTAAACTTAATATTTGCTCAGCATCCAAACTCATTGTCAAAAACATCCAGCACCACGCTTATCAGGCCTCCCACTCCGGCCTCAGAGACAGGTTCCATGACTTTTCCATGATCGGACCACTTTTTAACAACCCTTCGCTTCTTGTTAATGTTGTTTTTAAGCTAAAGGAAACTTTAACAGCCTGTTTTTCCACCACTGTTGAGTTTACTGTGGAGAAAAAGTCAGCTGAGAAACCATCTAATGCAATCAGGGTGTGTAAAAGTCGGAAAATACATTTTGGTTTTTCAATGAGTTTCTCAACTTTCCTCACATTCTGTTTGAAAAACACCTCTCAAAAAAACCCACTCACATGCTCTTAAAGGAAACATTCACCCTGAAACACTGATAAGGAATATTTTTCTTCTTATATATATAATATTTTTCTTCTTAACAAAGCTGTACTATCACTTTGAATATTTTTTCATTTTAAACATTTTAGTTTAGTTTAGTAACAAATTATCCCCTGTAAAATGATGAACTGTCATTTTTACACTCAGGTCTTTGTACAGATTAAACAAGCGAGATACAACGTATTATTTAGTGAGTATTAGAAGTGCTGGTTTGTTAGCTTTGGATAGAGCCAGGAGCCAGCATTGTTCTCAGACTTCCCCATTTTCTCTACAGGAAAAACACACTGGCTTACACTTAGTTACAGTTACTCTCTCTCCATGTAAGCAGAAAAGCATTCTGGGAAATGTAGCAAATAACTGACAAAAAAAAGCCGGTGAGACAGGTTGGTGGAAATGTGGCACAGTAAACAAGTTAATGAAACTCCTAAAAATGCTTAAACTGATCCAAAAAACATGGATGTATTCAAAGGTGAACTCCTCCTTTAATATGGTTTAATAATTAAAAGAGTGGGGCCTGAAGGTTTCCTACCGATTTCACTGCAGCCAGTACATTTATCACTGTGCCATCCAGCCTCTGCCCGTTGGCCACAATGTCTCCCAGAGAGTAGAAATCTCCGGAGTCCTTCACCGGCAAGTGGATTAGTGGCAGCAGCCTGTCGATGGTGTACATGTCAGCACACAGAGATACCTGGGAATGAGCCTCCGTCACCAGCAGCCTGTAGAGACTGAGACAGCAGATACAGGCCTTTGACACCTTCATCAGACATTACACACTGTTACATCATATTGTACACAGCATTACACTGTGTTAACCTCATTACCCCTCAGCTATCTTAAATCACTGCAGGGTGACAACCAAATCTGTACTGAAAGTGTTACCTTGGTGTTGTAGGACAGAATCTGTCCCCTTTCTCGGGGTCTTTGAAGGAAACTAAAGGATTTTCAATGATGACTGGAAAAAATAATAGTAAACAATTTTACGCACAGAAAAAAGTTTTACTTTTTGTTTAATATTTAAAATTATTAAAACTTACTAAAAATTACTAAATTACTAAAACTGTTTTTTCTATCAAGATCTTTTTTGTGTGTAGCTTTATTTTCATTTTACAAGTAAATAAATACATCACATGATGCAGATTTTACCCTGATGAATAATTTTACAATCAAGAGCAGTCACTTTCTAAGCTTTCTTTCTAAGTGAGTAAACAAGTCACTGGACATGACAAATATTTGTACTATAGTGATGAATAGGGAAACCATATATTGATAATAAAGAAATCTAAGAACTTCATGTTTTTGCCAAATCCATAACTTCTCAACTTCTCAACAGATTGACTTCCTCACCACAGTCTCCAATGCTGAAGCTGCTGGAGAGCCCGTTGATGTATCCGTCGTTTCCCCAGGCTGTCACATTAATGAAGAAATCAGGCGAGTCCTTAACGGTGAAGCCAAAAGTGAATCTGTCCTCACCAATGTCTGGAAATGAAACATAGATTCGGTTAGTGTTGCAGTTCAATAGAGAGAGAGACTCAGAGAAGGGATATTAATTTAACTATTCTCCAGAAGAGGGGGCTGGTGTACAAGACAATGAAGTACAGTGCTTTTAAAAAATGTTGACAGTAACAGTAGGTACACTAATATAAAAAGATAAGTTACTAACTCTTTCTGTCAGGAAAGCTTCTGACATCAGTTTTCCCAATGATGATACCTGCCACTTTCTGAAAAACATTACAAGGGCAATGAGTGTGCAGACTGTACATTTTGATTGTTCAACTCAACAGAACTTAAGAAAAACAGGTCTGAAATACATCTTGTTCACCAGAGTATAACTAGAAGAAGGTTATCCCGGCTATCAGACACTGGTTTTGTTTTAAGGGCTGCTACAAGAAGAAAATATATTAAACTGATGTAATTCTGACATGACAGTGAACTCACCGGATGAAAGAAGTTGGGATGCAGCTCAGAAATGGCAATGTAGGTCTGAGAAGCCATTTTGTTAACTCTTAACTTAATCCCTATCAAGTCCAGTTTCTATTATATTTACAGATTCTGTAAAACAAATAAAACAATATGAGTTAACATTTTGGGTTTAACATTAATTTCACAGGGATAAAATGTATTAAAGCCTTTCCTGTTTTCTAACATGAACCTAAACACAAGACTAAATTGTTGGTTAAGTAATAGTTAGCAAGCTAACGTTGATGTTATTAGTGAAACGAGGTTAATGTTAACGTTAGCTAATATGTTCATGTTATGACACCTCTAGAGTCTTTGGAGGGATTTTATCCGATTTTTATCAGCCTAGTTTATTAAGATAGCTTGATCTAGCTATAGTTTATACATTTGCCGTTTTAACTAGTCTTACCTTTCCCTGGGTCTGTTTTCATGACAGTTTATTCAGCTTTTCGCGGCAAAGATGTTGCACGTGACAGTCAGTGGAAGTGAGGCGCTGCCTTCAATGCAGTCGGAAAAAACTATTTCAAGCAGAGCTAAAAAAAAAAAAAAAAAAAGGATCGTTAAAACATCTGACAGCCACAGCTTTGTCACACACTGATGGATAAGTTTAGCAATTATTTTTTATAAAATGCTTTTTATATTATATATTATATGTTGAACCCTCACTTCTAAATAATATAACTTCTAAAAAATATCAAGTGAAATGCCTGTTGCATTGGCCTATAGTTTCTTACCCACATTCAAGCACTTGCTGTAGCTATGGCATAGCCTACAGTTGATTAATTTATAATAAAAAAGACAAAATAACAATTGATATATGGCAATTATAGATAGATATGGTTCTTAAGGTATTTTGTTAGAAGCTAATAAATGTTGCTTATGTCCTCCAGGAAGAAATAAAATATAAAAACTCCATCACACAAGTTGAAGTAATTTGCATCTCAACTTTCTTTGTAGGGTAAAAATAAAACAACATCCACCAATTGCCATAGTTAATTACCATTATTTCTCTTACTTTGTTAGTCCCTTTTTATTAGAAGCTCTGTGCTGGTGTTCACTCAAGGAACAAGAAATGTATGAGAATCACACAAAGGCACACATGCTGGCACACCACCCTTTTTCTTTCCATCTCATCTATGCAAAATAAATCTTAATGGATCTGGTTTTATTTGGTTACATTTTTGAAAAGGCCATGTATAAAAAAGTCTGTTTTTTACTTTATCCTCCATACAACAATGCAAAATATCTTAACATACACTTATATCTTGTGCTAATTTAGACATTAAAATGTAGCCCTGCTGTAATTAAACATCCATTTAATTTATTCCTAGTTTGTTTATTATAGGACATAGATTAGTTACATACAAGTCTTACAAGTCTTTATGATAAAACCTCTTATTTATCACTGATGGACCCATCGGCAGGAAGCTGTCAATTATACACACATAGAGATACACTGTATACTCCTAAACATATATTACATTTGTACACGATGTGAGTTATTTCTTTAGTGAAAGGCATTCCTGCACCTTAGACTTTGATCTTACTTTGATAATCCATCCCAGTCATCATTCTCTGTAGGGGATTTGCTCGCAGACGGCTATGCTGAGATGAATTTGACAGTTTCCTGATTTGCTTTCATAGCACAAAGCTGCATTTGACATGCGATACTGTCTAATACACCTGAAGAGCAATCAAAAGATGTAACAGTAAACCCTTATTCAGCTTCGCACAGCCTTGTTCCTCTTCCACGGTGACTAATCTAGGGGCGTTCAGATCGGATGTCTCCTCCCTGAGACTAATGTTTATTTTCAGGCAGTAATACGTCTGACGATGTGATGTCAAAGTGTTCCTAATCACTGATTAAAATACAGTGCAGTAGAAGCCATAAAGGCATATCATAACACACCACAAAGTCAACATGGTGAGATTATTCCTCAGCAAACAGCCTGGTGGGCACTGTTCCATCAATGTATTGATGGAGTTTGTATAATGTTGTATAATGTGAAACTGGACTGATGAAAAACGTTGAACATCTCCCTGCGCAGACGAATCGATTTGCTATTTGCAGCCAGTGCCTGGCTATTCAAATGAAACAAAATTTCAAATTCTAATTTCATTAGGTTTTTCTGACTACAGTTTGTGAGTCCATTAATCACAACAGCACTGTAAAGCATCATCAGATAAATCAAAAGCAAAGCGTACTTCACTGATTTATCCATAATGAATTAATAGCCTCTGTTAATCTGTCATCAGTCATACTTTTATCCAATATTTGGTTGGTTCTTTCAAATTATTTTCATAAACTGTATGAATTTCTTTATGATAAGCAGCCATAAGGTCTTTATTGTCACTTGAGATAGCATTGATTATTTAGAGCCAAGCAGGAAGTACCTGCAGGGTGGCGTTAATGAAAACACAGTCACTGCGGGAATGTGCTGTGATTGGGTGGCCTCTCTGCCACAGGTCGTCTCCCTGGAGAGCGAGCCGTCTGACCACTCCTTGGCTATTAATCCATCATCTCACTGTGTGTGTGTTCATTTCCGCAGAGCTGCTACAGGTTGGTACATAGGGATATGTTTCGTGTATACTGACCATGTTCATTGTCACACAAGCACGATGAATACAGGGCTGTTCTTAGTCTTCATAGAAAATCAGGCATGAAAATACATTAGAAGAAATACTAGAAGGCTTTCAAATGTACAGTAATACACCTTCAGGCTTGCAGGCAGCCATATTGGAGTTTCTCAGCACTGACATCTCCTAAGTTATGTGCTTATGTTATTCATTCATCCATTCAGTGTTTCCTGTTTTATTTTATTACTCAACTCTACTCTCGTTTCAGACCACTTCACTCCCTTCCCTAGTGTGATTCCTGCCTGTGAGATTGTCTTTCCCCTCCCAGATGAGTTTCACCTGTCCCTCATCATCCTCTTCCCTCTAATGTATTTAGTTTGTGTGCTCCCCTCAGTCTTTGCCACTTTGTCTTACTACCTTTGTTGTTGAGTGTTCCAGCATTATCTCCTAGTGTTTCACACTTCTGTTTTTTTCTTAGTGTTTTTTTCTGACCCTGCCTTTTCCCTGTAGTATTGCTGTGTGTGAATGGAAATTCATTTCAAATATTAATAGATTTATACACACTTTATTTGACAGCTTAGCCTGAGGACATATGATGCAGCATATAAAAAATTACAAGCAAATAGCAAATCCACCTCAACCAGCTATATTAATTCAGCTTACGTGTTAATGCATCAGCAGAAAGAACACTACGTAACAATCCAATAATATGATATTAAATGACATAACAGGAGCCATTCTGTATCAGCCACCAGTGCTTGAACCTTGAGACTTTAAGCATATATTCATGAACATAAATTGTGGTACATAAGTACTTTTTTGATACAAGAACTTTGCTTGTAATGGAGTATTTTTACATTATAGTGCTATTTTTACTGAAGTAAAATATCTGAATGCTCCTTCCACCACCAGACATATTTAGAAACTATCCAGTGGACCTCCACGATGGCACCAGACAGGAGATTTGCGGTTCAGCTGCACACCCTGTGTAAAACATGAGAAGAGCGGAGGAAGTGCAGACACCAGCGACTGCTCAGAGGCATGGCAACACAAGGACAAAACAAAGCCAAGCTAGGGTCCTTTTAGATCTGCAAGGATTTAAAGGATGTGACAGCCACAGATTTCCTTTATAGTTTTCCGTGTATTCTTTTGTTGTCTGTTGTTGTCTGTGAACAGACCTGCACGGACTTATGGTTTGATCCAAATGACCATTTGTAATCAGGAAGTCTGAGAACAAGTGTTTACACAATATCCAATGTAGCAAAAAAAAACCCCTACACACTGGGGTTTTACAGTATTGCAATTTTCTGTACAGGAAATGGGCAGACAAGTTGTAGTATTTAGGCTGGTGAACCAAAGGGATTTAGTTCACATGGAAGAATGCACACACATAGACAATAGATCTATTGTTAAGAATGAAATAAGTTGTGTCAGTGCACCAACTCCTGAAATAGATATTCAGTAAGGATCTAACGGAACCAATCATCATTATTTTATTGAATCCGATCATTAAAAAATATTGTTCTGTGTGAGCGGCGCTTGGTGAGCAATGCCTTGGCATGGCCTGAACTTCTACATCCAAGTATAGCTTTTGCAGTTGTTGGCAGCAGCCTGTGCAGTCTTTATTGGCTTCCAGAAGTGGAAGGCGTCCAAACTACAAGTATGTGTACGCTGTAATTTCCCTGCCACCTGTGTGACTAACTGTACTATATAGCTGCTGCACCGCTGGGTCTGCTCACATCCATTGAATCCAGCTGGACTCTGGTAGAACAATGCATTCTGTCTCCTCATCCCCATGTCCAGTGAGGTGGCTGGTGGCGAGGGGGTGGGGGACGTGACTGTGGAGGAAACCTTAAATGATGTTAATAACATGCTGTTGAAAAGCAGCACAAAGAAAGAAATCAGTGGCATGCACGATGTCAGTCACCATACTGAGGTAATGGGAAGAACACTGTGGCATTGGTCATGTTATTGCTATGAGTCTTGTTGTCTTGCAGGTCTAAAATATGAGACTTAAGTTAGAAAGGAAGCATTACATTTCATGACATAGTGTCAAGTGACACTGCTGCTGCAATAATGACTGAATTGAATGGACTCTTTTCATTTGTGGTGTGTTAGCGTATCGGAGAATGCTTCCATGCTGTAACCGAATGTAAAAATGAATGCTGTTCTGATGCAGCTGTGGTTTGGGCGCTTTTATGTCACAGACATAGACACAGACATGTCGTCTACATAAAACAGGTACCACCGCCTACACACCCAGATCAGGCATGTTTTCTGTCTTCTTGTTGTCTGGCTCGCACAGTTATGGCCTTAATCCATATTTGCGGTGTCCTCATACACATGTTAGGAGGAGTGGGGGATGGGAAGGGAAATTTAGTCTGTGGCATTAGGTGTGACTTCATGCAGCACTGCGCAGCACTGACTTAACGTGATGCATGCTGGACTTAAAATAAGGCATGCTGGTTGGAAATTGTGTCCGAGTTTCCCCGGCGGCGCAGTTGCTTTTCTCCAGCTGCACTATTGCCTGGTCTTGTGGCATTTTTCTGTGCAAATGCCACGAGATCATTCATTGATCTCACCTCACAGTAAGCTCATACAGGTAGAATGTGTCTGACTTGACGGCGCCGTGTTTATTCCCCGCCCCTGCAGTCGCCTGCAGCTCACATTAAATTTTCAAGTCAGTGAAAGTCAGCTGCAGTCAACTCGAACGCACCTATTGCTTCACAAATGTCTCGGTAACCACGGCTAGTGCCACAATGGAAGCTGAGTGAAGATTGGCTGTCCATAGATAATGGCCAAAGAATAACTACTGAACATGAAAATCTTTTAGATTGAATTAACTTTAAGACTAACGGCGTGTCCTAAATCTATACTACATACTAACTCTAAGCGGGTTTTGAGGATGTAA